AGTGAAATTTTAGGTGAACTTGTTAACCCGTTGATCCAATACGCAAATAAAAGTGAATGAGCAATAGTATGTTACAGCAATAAGTATATATCCTCACTGATTAAAAAAATCTAAATGGAGGTGCACGAACTATTTGAAACCATAAGGGGTAAGTAAATATGCAATTTCGCCAAATGGGCAACTACGTACCGTACTGAATTAATAACTTCGTAGTATTTGACAAAAGCTGGCTTTCCCGCATGTACTTAACAGTGCGATGCCCGGGTGTGATATACAACAATAGTATTTACCTTACTTTTTTCCGATTTATTTTTACCTTCAATTTTCCACATATCATTAAAAACCACAACAATTGTCGAAGCAGGCTCGAACACCATTCGTGCTATGCCTTGAAAGCAACACACATCCGCTCGTTTTCGTCTCGTCAAGTATGTGCATTGGAGCGTGCTATCGAATACGATCTTCGGCCAAAAATGCCGGAGTTGCGCATCATGTTGTTTAATGCCATTGGTTGTAGTACAGGTAATCTGGTGGTAGTACAGATAATATGTGTTTCACGGCCCTCCTCCGGGTGGCGCAAAGGAGCAATTTGAACTCGACTGCGGAATTGAATGTTTTCGATGGCTTGGTGCCCCTGGGGCGTGGGGTTTTCAGCATGATCTGGGCGTGGGATGGGGTTGTCTTGTATTGCTGTATCGTAGTACTGTTAAATCAATGCACTCTAGCACCTGAGTACTGTATGTAGTCACTGTGGGCTTGTACAGTAGTGCCGGTATGTCATAGTTGGGTCTAGCCTAAGCTGGTTACTGGCACCGGTAGGTAACGTGTCGTTACGGTACCGTATTTTCTTCCCAGAATTCCGTGAACTCTGCAGCTCTATGGTACCGGTACAGGTACCTACTGCTGTACTGGTAGTCTAATTTTGCAATCAAGCAAAACGTGCAGACCTGCAGACGGGAAATATTTAACAAACCTCAATAAACTTTTCAGTTACAGAGTTCTTGAACAATATTCAGACATCTGGATATTGTACAGACAACTGGACAAAGTTATAGTCAGATAGTACGGTACCGGTAGGAGCTTTACTTCTGTACTCAGGGTGGTGTAGCCAGTCTGCGGGCGATTTCATTCAAACCGCTATAAAACAAAAACCAATATTTCTAACCCGTTGATTTTTTCACTGTAGGTCACTAGGTGCATTGGCATTTATTCTACGCGCTAAACCTCGAATCAACTTTCTACAACCAAGGGTTGAAGCTATACAAACCACCAAAGTATGACACTCTGAAGACGTATTTGCGACCGAACAACCAGTGTGCGACCACGGATTTCAAGCCTTTAACATCGTTTCTGCGGCGTCGAGACTAGGGCATACGCAGCCATGCGTGAATAAAATGGGCTTCTAATTGCATTTCTGAACGTCATATATTTCAAGAACATGGCTATTTCGAACAAAACTCGTCAAGTTATAAACAAGAATATCGGTCAGAGACCGAAGACTTATCGATCGAAAGTTAGCGGATCCCCCAAAACAGAAACTGCGGTTTCGATTCGAAAAATTCTGCAAACCTGAACTGGATTGTTTTGAATAGTTTTCAGCCAATATCAAAAATGTAGGAAACAATAGCCAACTCCCCATGTCGTCGTCGAAATACTACTCTAGGAAATACTTTTATGAAGAATTCTGCAAATCCGAACTGGATTGTTTGATTAGTTTCCAGCCAATAGCCTATTTACCAATCCTATAATTTGTGTCAAATACAATGGCGCTAACCAGGTTTGCGACGGCTATTCAAACACAGCCTAGCGATATTTTGGTGAGGAATTCTGCAACCCCGAACCTGATAGAGGGATATGGTATGGGCATTGCTTAAACTTTGAAGAGTAATTATAAGTAACGAGGTACGATCTCGCGGCGTGTATCCTTCGCTCTAACTCAATAGCGTGGAAAATTTCTCGAAGGAAACTTGCGCATCGCGACGACGTCAAAGTTACAAGAGAGATATGGACAATGCTTAAAGATTAATCACGAGATACGATCTAGCGGTGTGTACTCTTCGCTCTGACTTTCTATCGTGAAAACTTTCGCAACGGACACGCACACACACATTCAGCGCGACTCGAAAATCTCTCGCTTTGTAAAAATCCAGATCCGATCTTAAGATCGATAAGTAACAAAGCACCACATCACAGCAATCAAACAGACAAAAACACGGTGGTCGGAAATTGGTCGACAAAGATATTATCGATGTATTGGAAATTTGTACCCCCCTATTCCCACTCCTTCGAATGTAGAAACGCGAAACTTTTAAGATGGTTTAAGATGGCCAAGTTTCATATTTTTATCTCTTATATTTGTATGGATTTTCAAGCTTTTTTAAAGGGACAATGGGTATTTGGTGACATGGAAAAATGGTCCGTTTTTTTTCTTCAGTCGGGTTTTCGTTCGTAACTTTTTTGTTTGTGGTCGCATTCTAGTGTAGTTTCGCAGAGCTACGAGGGATAAGTGGACGATAATGCGTGATAAATATTGTTGCGGTTCGTTAATTTTTTCGGTATTAATTTATTCGATGAAGTTGATGGTTGCAAATAGGTCGTGGCCGCAAAGTGGGTAAGCCACCCTATAAAACATGTTTTACCAGTATTTAAAGAAATCCCCCTTTCTGCTTTTTGACTTTGCTTGCCTCTGTGCCTTGTTCTGTGTCTTAAATATTTTGCAATTTGGGATTGCTAGACTGGGATTTGGAATCACTTGTACGACTCTTAAGTTAGACTTTTTTAGATTGTAACAGACACAACTCAAGTTTTTGTGTGCAAGATGAAACACTTGTCACTTGTAATATGAATGAGAGATAACTTTTGAACTTGGAGCAGGTGGCAGGCATCAAAATGCGAAATTGGTGGTGCGTTTGAAGACCATTTATTACACATACCATTGCATGCCTTTACACGAATAATGAAATATGGGCTGATGGAAGGCGCTTCCAGGGTTCGGTACTGCAGTAGCTTTTCATACTGACTTTATTGAAACAAAACTGTTATTGGATATGGTTCTATTCGGTCTAGTATAGTTTAGTACCACAAGTACTTCCAGTGGGGGTAGCATAACGAATTTTGCATATATGTTATTCCTAACCCCAACCTGACTATGTTATCCAAAAATTACGTCACGTCATAAAGGTTGCCAAAGTATAGCTAGGATCGCCCGAAACGGCATTTGCGCCGCCGATAACGAACTCACTAACACCAGCGATTTCTCTCATATCAGGATCATAGCGACGAGAGAAATAGCTTGCTTTGCTCGAGTTCGGGTGATTGTCTACAAGATTTGGACGACCATCGGTACACTTTGGGAATGTTTTATTACACTAGGGATGTCGTAGTGATTTAAATTTTTGGCGACATAGTCAGGTGGGGGTTAGGAATGACATATGCAAAAATTGTTGAGCCAGGCCAACTGGAAGTGCATGGGGTACTAAACTATATGAGATCCGGTCTATTAACCAAACGTTTGCTGCTATCATATCGTCGCCCTTCAAACAATTCAATTTTATTTCAAAAGAGCTGTAATAACATGGGTTTGGGTGCAATGTTCCCTCTAATTTTTTGTAGTATGTGTGCGCAGAAATTTTGGTGTGTGCGCACTTTTTTGGAAATGACTAATATTTGTGCAAAAACCAATGAAGAAATTTTGGCGTTCTAACTGGGTAATAAGTGGGCCAACAACAAAATTTCTCAACCTGCTAACCGAGCACATTGTTACATTAAATCGAAATACGTCTGTGCAAAGTAAATCTATGCGTGTGCGCAGCCTCTGAAAGCTGTGTGCACGCGCACACCTTAGAGGGAACACTATTTGGGTGTATGTCAAAATGATTGGAGGCCGACCCCGAGTTCCTCCAATTGTCCGTCCCTGGATAAGGCTGTGTTGTTTTGTAGAAGCCGAACTGCCAGGAATTTTATTCATTTAAATTCCCTTCAAAGTCAACTTTGTATGTTTATGAGAAAAGTTTTAATTTTAAAATAGTTTGAACAAGTCTCGCTCCTGTGACTTTGCATTTGGGTATTTATTGAATATATTGCCGAACCGAATCAATTGTGATTTCAAACCAGCTCCCCAGCCCTGGTTAATAAACAGACAATCTATGCCTGTCATAATTGCTACCACATTTAGAGATTGTTCCACTTATTTGTTTTTCTCAAACAATCTTAACATTTGCTATCTAGTAAATTTTTGAATGAATAATCATAATAGATTTTATGGTGATATCAATAATCAATTATGTAAATCTTCTGGTACAAAACCTGCTGTTACATAGTTGTTAAATAAAGAGAGATACATTATTAATGCTCAGAAAATGGGGATCTGTCATATTCACATTTATTAATGGTATGGTAAATTCAGTGTTCGCATCTCAGTCTTTAGCAGTCATTCGTTTTCATTCTGCATATTTCTGTCTTGTTAGTTAGTTGTTAGCCATGCAGATAAATTAAAAAAAAAGCTTGAGAATTACAAACTAGCTCGAAATTTTATTACAATATTTATTAAATTTAATTATAATTTGAGTACATTAGAGATGAAAGCTACAGATTCATTTTTTCCATTAAAAAATACTTTTGGACATATTTTTATTTTTAAAGAATTTTTCATTTCTCAGTGGTGTGGTATTTCTTTATTCATTTTTCTGAATGAAATCAGCTTAGCAAGCATTGCTCGTTTAATAATTAAAAAAAAATTTTTTTTTCTAATATCTGGTTTTAAATTGGGAGCAATGAAACCTAAATGGTCGAAGTAAACTAATTCTAATCAAAACCTATCTATAATGGAAGTAGTCAATGATGAATCAGGTATTATGTCGAATTGATGTGATCCAGACTCTTTTATTTATGTATATGTAGTTATCAGTGTTAGCCATATATTAGTGAATGATAATGGAATGATTTCTTCATTTCTCCTAAATAATATTTTTTAAAAGATTACTAAATACATTCACAGTTTATATTATTTTTTGTCTATTTCACTAGAACCATGGCTTTAAAATCAACAATAATAAATCTATATTAATAAAATCCGTGAATGAATTCGTTTCATAGTCTTGTGAATACCCATTTTATTGGTGCTGTATAGGCAGAATATATTCCATCAATTCTTCATCAATTTTGAGCAAAGATGTTCAGCTTCAAGTCATGGAAATGCTTTCCAAATTTTCGTTGCAACAGGTAAATGTAACTATAAATTATTTTTTTTAAATAGCTTTTTCAAACATCTTATTAAAAATTAAAATCAGTTAAGAAAATATGTTTTTACAGAATACCTCATCTTCAAACATGGTCACTGAATTAATATTTTAGGTTGCTCTATAAAAAGTGAAACTTGTCTTGTTCGTCAGTGCTGTGATCGTTATATTTACATGAAAATGGACGAGGGCACTTTTTTAATACAACTTTATAATATATCGTACTTTGTAGTGTTTTGCCAAGTGGATAATATTCTAAAAACTAAGCATCATTTGTAATACAAATGCAAACTATTTCAGGCAAATTGACTCGATTGACAAAAGACATTGCAATCTGATTGTTGTTCCCGACGAAGTTTTTCGTTACAATCGATCGTTGGAAGAATTATTGTTGGATTCCAATCAAATTAGGGATTTGCCAAAGGTTTTTGTTTTTTAATATCTACCGTAAACTAAACTTGTAGATGAGATCCGAGAAAAAATACCAATTTTGAATTTGCAGAAAACTCAATGCTTTTATCAAAATTGTGGAAAATTTAATGGTGATTTGTTATGCCTCAGCCATGGCTTTGTTTTTAATTATGATTAATCTTTTCTCACCCATATTGGTTCAATACACAATTGTTTACTCTGCTGAGTTCTATGTTAAAACATGTGCATTATGAATTATGCATGTTAACTTGTGACCTTCTTTTAAAGTTCACTATGATGTATATCTCTAAGTGAAAAAGGGATTTTGTTATTTACTCTGCTTAATTTAAAATCAATAAATTGGTCAATGTCATGATTACATTTTATAGTATAAGAAATCAATGCTTGTGGGATTTAGTAATTGTTTTTATTCAGTGGAAATTATAGTACTTGACGTGGTCTCGAAAGAAATATGGATATAGGTCAAAATTTAAAATGAATCGCCATCTTTAGAAATGAGATGAGCGAGATTTGCTTGTTTTGATCAATTTTTCTGGTGATACTAATGTTACAAAAAGAATGCGCCAAAAATGTAAGCATCACATTTATAAAAACAGCTTGAGATTGCCAGCAGAATCTCGTCTTTTCAGGAATTTTTGATAAAACGCTATGACGAAATACACGTCTGAGATATCGATTTGGAATCTTTAGCGCGAACGTTTCCTATCATGCAGCTCTTTTAAAAATAATTCTCAACATAATTGAATTTGAGTTTGAGTTGAGTTTGAATTGAGTTTTTTTCTTAACTAAAAAGTTAAAACTTACCAATCTCATGAATTTTGTCTAATCATTCCCTACTACAAATTTTATTCTGATTTTGACAGCAATTTTTTCGCCTCACAAAGCTGAAGAAACTGACAATTGGTGACAATGAAATTCAATCTTTACCAGCAGAAATTGGACATTTGATTCAACTTGTTGATTTTGATATCAGTAGAAATGGTGAGTACCAATGTAATCAGAAATTTAATAAAATACTTTTGAATGAGCAACTCTGAACTTCAATTTTATGTGTTAAATATGAATTTTTATGGTTGATGTAAATTTACCAACTAAAGTATTGAGTGTTTTATGAGGTCAGAAATATATTGCATTAATTTTTCTTGCAAAATAATTGGTTTGACAATTTAATATATGCTAAAATTTAGGTTTTCATTATTTTTATAATAGAGGGAATACTCTTAAAAATATTCATTGTGAGAAAAATCTGTTCTGCCAGTGAATTTCGCAAGTTATTGTTGTATTACCCTGTTATACCCGACTATATAATCGAATATTTCCATTAATTGCATTTTGCACCCTTCAATAAGTATCCAGTATTATTTTTGAGCATTTAAATACCATAATATTTTTATAAGTTATTTGTAATGAAATGCTAAATTAGATATTGGAATTATTTTTAAATTTATTGTACAATTGAACATTTATTCTGTTTCTACAGATTTGGCAGAGCTCACAGAAAACATCAGGTTTTGTAAGATGCTTGAAGTGGTTGACTTGAGTGGAAATCCTCTTACAAAGTATGTTAATAATAATATTGTCTTACTAGTTTCAAGATTGTCGACTATCAGTAAGATGTAAAATGAATTTAAATTTGAACATATTATATGTATTCTTGCTTTTGTAAAATTGTCTAAATTGTAAGGCTTATCAGATATTTGGTGCTATTTGACCCAATGATCTGTTTATTTGTCTGGTCCGGGCATGAAGAAAGCTTAACACAATACAGAACCATAGATAAATGGTTATACCATCTCATCTCTCATTAATAGTAATTTTTTTATTTTCAATTTCTAATATGTACTTGAGATTTAGTTGAGTAATCCTACATGAAAAACATGATTTTCTGCATTTAAAAAAGAATGTACCATATTTTGAATCGAAACAGCGCTCACTCTCAGATCAATATATATAAACTACATGATTCAGATAAAATCTTCAAAAGTACAATAATCGAAGCTTTTCTCCATTAACCTTTCTATGCTCTAACTTACGTAGTACACAAAAAAAGGCTGCGAGGGTTATTGCGGTTTATAAGTGGAACTCTCAAGGACACTTGATAAAAGTTTAACACATTGTCTGTAGCAAAATTACAGTCTCTTTAATCTTTATTAAAAATCAGGTTCTGCTTGAATTGTGTGGGATACAAGAAAATTTGATTTCTATTGAATCATAATTATATGTAGTTACGCTTTGTATAGTACTGATGGTATCGATGAAAAAACATTTGGTATTGAAAACCGAAAAAGTAGTTTATTTACACCTGGATTGTTTGTCATATTTCTCCTTCCCCCTTTGACGTCTAATGCTGATTCAATCTCTAAGGATCAATTTCATTTGGCAATTTCGAAATAAGTTATTAGATCTAGTGCCTGGCTTGAAATATTACGAAATGGAGTTCCAGTTGTTCTCTTTTATACAATTTAGATCTGAGAATTACTACCAATAACATAATTTTTTTTTAAAATCAATGAACCCCAATCACAGTGGACGACACTTGTTTCTTATGTTTACATCTGTCTACCATTTTTAAACTTCAAATATTTTTATTTTTAAAACACAGATTGTTGATGCTTTCGCTCATTGAAACATTCTATTTCGCATTTTAATTCAACTTTACTTTATTTATACAGAATCCCACAAGGCTTATGTGAACTTCCAAATCTCAAGCATCTCAATCTGAATGATGTTTCTCTTCTACGACTTCCCCATGAAATCGGAAGGTAAGTAGTCTTCAATTTCATCTATCTTGTTTAAAAATAATTTACAAAAAGCATTATCTTAAGATGGCTTCTACGTCTCTATTTAGGAATTTCTAACAAATTTATTCAATGGGAAATATAAACATATTGCCAATGTTTTTTAAGTATTCAGCAAGTTGGAATTGAATACTCTTTTCTCTATGGAATTTTCACTAATAATTCAAATTTATTTGATACTTGAACATGGTGCAAAATTACAGAATACTGAACTGTTTGAATATTAGGTTTCTTATTACCTTTGATTAATAATAAGTGCTTTTAAGGGTATGACAATGGTCCCTGTTTGATAAGATATTCCATACAGTTTGTTTTGTAACAACCTATGCATATAACAATTGGTTGTGGTAAAATTTACAAGAGCTATGACGAAAAAAATTTCATCTTTTATCAAGAGTTCTGGAATGAATCATTGCAATATAGAATTCAAACAATTTGCATTTTATGTTCATCTTTGTTTATATAAATACAAGCTGACCTACCATGTTTATGCCTTCAGGACATAAATTTCATTTGCAGCAATGCACCATTGTCTATTAAAACACAATTAACTTGAATGTGATTGAGTGATCGCTACTGCCAATCTAGATAATCAAGTAGATTCCACTTACCTGATAATGAAACCACCAACATTGTTATCCATTTCATCAAATCTACAAAAAAATTTGTTGTACGTTGTATGGAAGCTTTGGATGTTTTTGAACCTGTGTGCTTTATATCATAAATATATTCTTAATGAGTAAATACCTGGTAAATAGGAATTTCAATACCATTCGTTTGAAAATTCAGGTTATTTATTTATTATAAATCTATGTCCCCCTTCTCAAATACTCCCCCTGTGGCCCCCCGAACTTCAATAATGGAAAAACACGTTTTAAACACTTTTCCATCATATTAATTTATCAAATGCCAACAAATGGACGTAAGAAAATTATTGCATTGCTCTCAAAGAATTAAACAAACTATAGTTTATTTAGTTTAAATGTGAAGGCTTTGCTTGTGGTCCCCAGAGAACCACTCCATGGCCCATCCAGTGGGGTAGGGTCCACTTTGCGAAATATTGCGCTTTCAACCCTCTAACCTGCACACCCACAGACATTATTATTTTTGAAACACTCCATCCTTTTGACGTGCTATAGGCTTTTAGTATTTTTTCATATCTATGAATGTGGTTAAAATTATCTAAATCTGATTAGCTCATTAAAATTGTTTTGTTTCTGGGCCACTAGTCAAGCAGATAAAGCGATTAAACGATTATTTTCTTTTGTTAAAAGAATATTTCAGCCTTCTCCGAGGCAATTCATCCATGTTAACATGTTTCAACTAGCCAATTAATATTGTTCATATGTTTACTTATATATGCGAAGGATGTGAATTAATAATGTTTGCTTTTGGACTTTGTTCTTTTAATTTATTCAGTCCGGTATTTTTTGATCAATTTTAATATTTATGAAACTTCTAGCTCTGTATTCTATGCTTGTATGTGCTGTGTATGTATGTAAACTACGTATTTGGAGCACAACTTGGCATGTAATGATTTGCATCAAAAATTGGATACAAAAATTAGGTTTACGATGACTAATGACTATTGTAAAAAAGGGTCAAAATTCGCTATAATTTTTTCAATTTTAAATTAGAACTTCTCCGAAATTATATTGATATGCAATTTCACCCATAACTCACAACTGTGTTTACTATTTTAATTCTCTCAGTGTGTAATCCTTAGTGTTCAAAACAGAAAAGCAATTTATTCAGTCAATTTATTATCACAAGGCCCTGAGCAGTATAGCGTAGCACTAATATAAATGTGTTTCTTTTGAATTATAGTCTTGCAAATCTCCATACCCTGGAATGCAGAGAAAATCTTCTCTCAACCATACCAGAGACAATTTGTCAGCTTAGAAATCTGGAACAATTAGATCTCGGCAACAATGAACTAGAAGAACTTCCAGATTCTCTCGCTGAATTAAAAATGCTCAAGGAGCTATGGCTTGATGGAAATCACCTGGTAGTTATTCCAGAGGTGAGCATCTAGTAATGTTAACTTGATTTCATGACGATATTTGAATAACTTTGATATTGTGCATTAAAATGCAATTTACAAATCAATATAGTTTTACAATATATATTGATATTTTTGATGTTGATTTTTTTAAATTTTTTCAATGTTCAATTAAACATTTCTTCAATTTCATGAATATCCTACGTCATTTGAGCATCTGACAGTCAAAATAATTACATCTGTATCTTTGAAAGTGCATTTCATGTTATTTTGAAAATATGTGATAAGAATTTATTCATAACAGATATGGCGCCAGAATGGTTTATGAAATCATGGCTACTAAATCATAATCTATTTTATGTTCTTACAGTCCAGCCACTTGTATAACATTTTTATCTATTTTTCTACCTTTTTAAACTTGATCTAATTAGAAATATTATATGTTAACTGTGACAAATATATTCTGAATTTATTTGTAATAGTAAACTCATCGGTTCACTGCCGAGTGTTGCTAAAATTCTATGGCAGGATATTTTTCCCTATAATGTACACAAGGCAAAATTTACTATGGAGATTTTCCTGATAAAATGCTTGAAACCTGTGTGATTTGTGTCTCTGCTTTGAGCACACATATTCATAAAAAATTTATGTTCCAAATGTTGTTTTAGACAAAAATTAATTTGTGGCATTTTTGATTTTGGAGAAATGTTTTTGCAGACACGTCTTAAAATTCTTAAATCCTATTATACTATATGACGTATGCAGAGAGACAGCTTTGTGTCTTTTTTTTTCAAACCAAGTCAGATGAATCCTCAATCTTTTTGAAATTGGTTTTTATTTTCTTCTTACGCTTTCAGTCAATTAGGATTAGCAAGATTAACGAAATACCATTGTGCGAATCCTATTTCATCACTTAGGATTATGTTTAAATTAGAAAGTCAATAATTAGACTTACTGGTAATTGAGATAAAACTAAAGATTTGCATTTTTAAATGCTAATTACCAGATGTTTTGGCTCATGTGGAGAATTTTTGTCCTGCAAAATTATACAGGTTTCCAAGGCTGGCACAGGTGGTCAAGGTACCTATGATACCTATTCTATCTTCTAATTCCAAGCCAAGTAAAATTTCAACCCATTCCATTTTGTGTTGAGTCTGCGGGCTTGAGAATTTAAATATTAGCTAATAGGTTGTGATTTTGTACTGGACCAATAGACTTGAAATCTTATTGATGTTAACTCGGAAAGCTATTGCCTTTGTTTGCGAGACTTTTTTTGACAAACGTGGAACTGTTTTTACTCCAAATCCCTTATGCTTTTTTTTTTCATTATATTTGAATACTTTATGCTCTGAACAAGGCTCTGTACAGGCAGTTACTGCGGCGCTCCAGACGTGTGTGTACCAATATGGAGGTAATTAATTTTGTTCGCCTACTTTACATCTAGTTGTGTAAAGGGACGGAAACCTATGGGCAGGGGGTTTATTTATTCACTTGGCTAACACAGACTGTCTCCATAACTTGTAATAGAACTAAAATAAGAAAAATCGGAATGAAATTATGGCCTGACCCTAACCTGGTGCACGCACTACGGGAGTAACGTCACTGCTACGCAAGAGGCTGCAATAGTTAGAATCTTCCCTTTTTGGCATTGTCTATCCAGTTTATTACACACTGGGTGAGATGGTGGGCATGGAATTGAATATTGAAAAAAATTTAAAAAAATCTAAAAAAAAAAAATGAAATACCAAAAACATAATGTAATGTATCAATATCAAAGTTACTCAAAAATCCTAGATTCATGATCGGCCATGCCAAAAAAGCTATGTCTAGTGCTTTAACCACTAGGCCATCAACAACAATATATACAATTTTTCTCAGTGATTCTGGTACGTTGAAAGCATCACATTCGTGTCTAAATATTTTGGCGTTGCTTTGTGGTTAAGCTCTTGTAAATTGACTCGCTCAATGTAATCACTAAAACATCTGTTTCCATTTTCATTTCACAGTCAATTGTTCTAATGTTTCATCTATAAATCACTGAATAATCTTTTTCTTTATAGGGCAAAACAAAGTAGTTTTGAATGTAAGGTTTATAGTAATGGTATAAAATGAATAGAGGTAAGTATTGAGTTTTTAAAGAAATATCAAAATAATACACCTCCCAAACTGGATATATTAAGCTATCATATTGATTACTCAAAAACTGTGACTACAAATTCTTCGTTCATTTAAATTTAAGTGTTTTCAGTTTCCATGGGCGTTGGTCTTATTAACTATATTAGCATCGCAGGCTGAAAAAATCTGCTTCATTTCTCATGGCCACCCACTCACCCAGGCTAGGCATTGGTATCTCATCCTTAATAGCGTAATAGCGTCTCACATATCAGTGGCTTCTATTACATAGTCTTGTTTAGAATGAAAGGTAATGTACACAAAATAACACTATTTATAATACTTGATTTTAAAATGTAAGCTTATTTTGATTAGGGTATTATTAAAAAGAGGTTTAACGGAATTTAAAATTATTGGTGTTTGAAATAGTCACTATTGTTTTTCATATGTGTGATATTTGCCATTTTGTGGGTTTTCTCAGAATGTTCAAAATCAATTGATTATCCATTTCAATAAGGACATTCCTTATCAAATATACCGGTATATAAAATCCTTGGATTTATAATGCCTCACAGTTGAATGGGATGACTAAACCACACTGCTGGGTGCTGGCCACTATCCGCAATGTTCTGTTTTATGGTTTCTTTTCTATCAGACTGTTTTCATTTAATTATGAATCAATGCCTTTCATTGAAAGGCAAGAGATCTGTCTTTCGGAGTAATTGCATATATAGGGATCTCCCATGGGATGTCATTGTCAAACTTTCATTATGCATGTTTCAAATCTGTACATAACATCATTGTTCTATCTGGTTTATAGATTTTGTTGGACCAAAATATTTTTGTTTAGCAGGGTGTATACTTTGTGGATGACAAATTTGAAAACAAAAAATTCTGATTGCCTTAATTAAAAACCTTCTATTTTCAATTTAATTTTGATTGATCTAAATTCGTTAAATAGTTTTTAGTTTTCTCTAACATCAGAACTGTTGTGGAATTAAAAAATAATATGAAGGAGAGAGAGAGTTATGAAAACCAATTGTTTTTCATTTTAAAATGGAGTATATTTTCTCAATTAAACGAATTGTACCTTCTCTGGACATCAAATAAAAATACAATGATCATGTTAGCACAGATTCTTAATAACATTTTCATCATTATTTGGCCTCGATTCTTTTTAAATTCAACACTGTTGAATTTAGGCAGAGATATTACATCATTGCTTGGCTGTTGTTTTTTGGTACGCCGCCACTTTAGCAAAACTTATTTCTATTAATAAATCAGCCCACACAATATGAGGCTGCGGAATGTATAAACAATGTATTATTTATTGATGGCAAAAATACAGAATAAAATAGTATTCGTATAGTCGTCCAAATATTAAATAATTTTTTATACAATTATAATAATAAATGATATATTTTAATAAAAATTGGTAAATTAGGATTGATAAATTGAGTTATTACCCTGTTGTGTGGCAAAATAAAAATTGCATATACATGTTTATAGTTTCTTTCTGTGGATTATATATTCTATCCCACAGAAGATAGACTTCATAACATGATATCATGTATTCAGTTACAGAGATGTCGAAAATAGATTATGAAAATAATATTAAAACTATTTTACTCTGGTATTGTAAGTTCTCGATTTTTAAAATATTCATGATTTTTCTTGTTTAAACATTGCTCTTGACCTATTGCTGTCATACTAAAAGATTCAATTCTGACATTTGTGAAAATAAAAAAATCTACCGGTAGTTCTTTTCACCAAGATTATGCAAGGATATGGGCATGTTTTATATTAAACACTGCTCAATAGTTCTTGTCTTCTTGTTTATGGTGTTTACATGTAGCTTATACATTAAATTATTTGGTGGATGCAACAGCCTAGTGCAGCATTTCCCAAGTGGGTCCCTTGGCCCCCGGAGCGGGCCACAGAGCAGTTGCAGGGGCCACAATACCAGTTTCATTACTTGATATGGTTATTTCACAGGGTGTTTTCACTTTCTTGTGCATGAATTGGTTGATCATGATGGGATTTGGAATCCCCCAATCAAAATAACACTATAAAAGTATAAATACCTCTGCGCTCCGCGAATTCTAACTTTTGTAGCTGGTTGGCAGCCAATCTGACCTGCAGATAACGGTCGAACCTAGTTTACTAAATAAAGACAGTTTCATTAGATTGTGAGGTAGCTGCAGTAAACATATTGTAGATGCAGAAAATTATATAATTTTTTTCAATTCTGATATTCAGAAACAGAAATATCGTATTTTTGGAATGTTGAATAAGAGGGCCATGAGTGCTAAAAGCCTCCGAGAAGGGGGCCACGAGCCATAAAAGGATGGGAATCACTGGTCTAGTGATTAAAGCTTCACACTTCGTTAATAAATATGTTTGCATCACAGGTTACACATCTCTGGTTCATTTCCCTTGCCCACCATCTCAACATGTAGGCTAATGTGATAAACTGGATAGGTGACCTCAAACCAGAAAGATTCCAGTTCTCCCAAAAAATAGCAGCTTTTTAGATATTAGTGGATATATGTTTTTTATATTTATATGCTTCATTTTCAGGAAATCGGTCATCTGACACGATTGACTTGTCTGGATGTTACAGAGAATAAAATGGAAGTAATACCCAACTCAATAGGAGGACTTGCATCAGTTACTGATTTAACACTGTCTCACAACTTCTTGGATTGCTTGCCGAACTCTATTGGTAAGTTGTTTAGGTGTTTTGCAGAAAAGATTTTTTAATGCGCGCACCTTCACTTTGTAATAGCTTGATTTATTTGGCTGATGTTCTTATTGTAAAATCGACATTTACCACCCAGTATATATATGCAGAATATACATTATCTGCGTGGCCACCATGCTGCAATTCTCAGAAACACAAACAGATACAGGGCTTGGTACACATACTACGTTCCGGTGTCCACCATCTTGGTTCCCATACTACAGGAGTACCGATTATTGCAGAGGATATTCACTTTCTGAAATCACTGTCAGTTTTATATGATTCTTGAATTTTTTCTATTTTCCAATTTCCTTCCTTTTCGGGAGTTTTGGGAGTTTGATTCTTCTTTTTTAGGAAATATCACTTTGTGGTAGTAAATTTGCATTAATGAAACTTTATAGGGATGCAGGGCTTACTTTTCGAGTTTTTTCCTTTGTATTTACTCTATTTTATAATTTTTCAGTAATCAACTATTTTCTGCTTTTTCCTTCATCCTATTCTCTGTTTATTAGTTTTTGTCTCTTTTTTTGAAAAATTTCAACACCATTTTGGATTATATGTTGAATACATAATGTTATTCAAATACTTTTTCGTGAACATTTTTTCTGTAATCACCTTCAACATTAGCGATTACACAAATTTTTAGATACATTGAAGGCAAAGGGCAAAGTCATTGATTGCTTGTACTTGGTGAAAGTGTTTACATTTGAGTCAAAATTCTTGGTTAATAAGCTTGCAGGCCGATCAATTTCAGTAGTACGGACCTGTGGGTTACTAATATCTGCCAAAACTTTCATTAGTGCTCTTGTATTGATTTTGTACTCTTTAATCTTGTTCTTGTCATTCAACTCGAAGTTCATGACAAGACACTGTGTTCCGATAACTACATATTACTGAGGATTTGCAGATCACTGAACAGATTGCGAAAAAGCTAAATTTTAATGGAATTCGTTGTCTTAGTTTAATGTATTAATTGAATTGTTGAAAATCCACTTGAAAATAACTTTCTATATAATACTCTGTATTCTGTATATTATAAAGATTGGGATTCTGTTCTTCAATTAATAAGGATATTTGTGGTGGGAGTAGTATAAAAAATAAAGGCAATTTTACAACGCGGTCTAGGGCAGGGAGGGCTAAAGGCCTCTCGTATACACGCTACTCATTTTACGGTCCATGTACCAGGTTTTTGGGCGCATTGTCAATAATATGCTGAGAATTTTTAATCATACGTAAGATGCAACCGGTATTTTTACTGGTTTTGAGTGTTGGCAATAAAGCCTATATAAGGCACAGTGGCACGCAATCGCTTTTTGAGAAGAAAAAAAATTGAAGCGCTTTATAGTTCATAAAAAACGCTGTTATATTTATGTTTTTTGGTTTTATATGCTTCCCCATTGACAAAATAATGTACCCACTCCAGGTGTAATGCAAGACATTTGAATCTCATATATTGCTTGTTTTGATTCCTGTTTCTTAAATCTTAACTATTTTAGGGATAGCATTAAATCTTCATTCAGCTTTTCATATTTCCAAACATTCAGATTGGGGATTCAAATCAGCATTTTAAAATTTTGTTAGCGTTATTTATTTTATTCAGTGATTTTTTATTGATTTTTAGGTAAAATGGAGCGGTTATCGATATTAAAAGTGGATCAGAATAGACTCACCGTACTCTGTCCTGAGATCGGGGATTGCAAAAACGTTACGGAAATGATGTTAACAGAGAATCAACTAACATCTCTTCCACCATCAATCGGAAGACTCAAAAATATGACAACGCTTAATTTGGACAGAAACAAACTAAAAGAATTACCGCCAGAGGTCAGTATATACATTTTCGTTTTATTTAAATTTGGGTTCTAAACTGGGCCCTCTACTCCCCTGTGGGGGCCGTTGGAGCTGCTTTTGGACTCTTTCAGTAAGTGATGGGAAGGTAACAGGAACATACCTAATTGCACTAAAATCCGCATATATATGATTGAGGGGGTTCAGCATTGGTAAAAACAATGATGAAACGACAGTACCATGGCCTGTCATATCACCCACACAAAACATACTGACAAGATTTATATATATAAGTCTCTCCTCAAAGTTCGTAGTAAATTCGTACAGCATTCTTAGTCATTATTATTATTCATTATATCTCCTAACAATCAGGTCAATTTAGTGACTCTCTTTTTTCACATATGGTGGGTGTACTTCATTTTGACTTTTCAAACAATGCAATTTTGAATCATGTCTTACTATCAAGCATATTTTTGTTCGTTAGATTCGATCAAAATTCTTGATGTTCAATCATTCAAGGAATCAATATTATAAAACGAAAAATAAATGCATGAATTTTTGATTGATACAGATTATAGTATTATGTCTGGGATGATTCCTCAAGGAATATTACTTGAATATCTAATGGCATAAATGACGCATTTTGAATTGTTTTCAATTTCTCGTATGCATCTTATGAATAATTCATACCGACCACATAATTGCAATGTCGGCATGTTATGAAACCTTGTTTTCGGAGCCGAAATTTCATTACTTCGTCTTTGCTATTTGGTTTGGTTTTCTTTGCTGTTTGTGTTTGGAATTGCAAGATAATTCACGAATTGGATTTTCAAAATATACCTATGTATCAGATGGTTCAATGTTAACGCCATGTTTAGTCCGAAATCGTGTAATCGATATATTAATTTTAATAATTTTAAAATTTGCATTCACTAAATTTTAGTAATATTTTCTGAGCAGAGTATTTCAATATTTTGTCTTGGTAATTAATATTCTTGCAATTTGAGATTGAAAGCGTGGAATTGACCATGAGTTCAATTGTCCGAATAACGGTTTTGAGAACATTCATATGTTATACCTACTAAATTACATTTCTCCCTTTAATTAACAATTTTTGAATATTCATATGTTTAAACTTTTATGCAACAAATTTATAACATACAAATAAATTTTTATAAATACTATTATCTTATTTTAAAATTAAGAATTTTACAATTTTTATGCAAGTTATTAATGAATGAATCTAAGTATTCTCCATAAACTTGTCATAGTTGAGTTTATTTTTTAAATCCGGTAAAAAATTTGCAACAACATTGCGAGAACAAATCAAAGCACAATTTTACTAGGGAAGGAAGGGAAGTTACTGGGCGATCCAGTACCATTGGAGTTGTTATCCAGTTCCAACACAAAAAAAATCTGAACAAAATTTCAGAACTCTTTGGCTTGCATATAATTTCTGGATAGGTATTTCTCTCACATTGGTATTGTTCTCACTAAATTTAAAAAGAAACATGTTTTTAGATTGGTGAATGTGTGGCTCTCAACATTTTATCGGTACGAGAAAATCTTCTGGCGTCGTTACCTGATGAACTCGGAAAATTATCGAATCTTCGTGTTCTTGATTTGAGTGGAAATAAACTTGAGAATTTACCAATCACAATTGCTTCATTGAGCTTGAATGGTAAGATGTTTTATTTGCTGTCACCGAAAAAAAATTAATTCAGGGATTTTGTATGCGTTTATGTACAGGAATATAGGATAAGAAAGGATTTCTAATTGAACCAGCAGATCAAATATTAGATTTGACAAATTTACCCTTTGTATAATATTCCTTTTGTTCCAAAAAATCACTATAGAAGCAGATAAGAAGCTAGTTTAGTGGAAGAACCAGTATCTTACCCGTTCGACTTTACCTACCCAATTCATTACAAAATGGGTGAGGTGGTGGGTATGGGATTTCAACCTGAGATTTTATCCTGTGATGTGATCACAGTCTAGTCCAAGCTTCGGGAATCTAATTCTTTTAAAGATTTTAGGATTTGTGTTGTGTTTTGTGCTAATATATATATATATACAGGGAAAACAATACTGTTAGTTATTAATTGAAAAAAAAACTGTACCTTCAACTTTAAGCTTCAAATACATCATCATATTCGGTTTGATGATATTCTTCAGTCATATATTATAACTGTTTGCCATTAATTGTCAATTGTAGTTTTGGTGAACTCTGATTTTGTCTAAGATTTCCAGCTTGTATTAGAATGTATGATTTTCATGGATGTTATTATCGAATTAATGATTTGATGAAATTAGCAAAACAAGAAGAAACATTCAGTTCATTTTATAAATATATATTTTATAATCTGCTTGTAATTGTTAGTTCATTTCTAGTGGTTTAAAAGTCATAAATTTCACTTCCATTAGTTTTATTCTGTAACATTTTGTTTGACCCTAGTCTGGCTTACTTAGACAATCAGTCAACAACAATAATAAGATAAGGAACATGCATATAGTTTATTAAAAAACATGAATATAAATAACAGAGTCAAAAGTCATTTAAAATTGGATTACACAGCTTAATTGTGCAGAATAAACACATAAATGAGTTTTGGTTCATTCACTTTTTAGCACTCTGGTTGTCTGAAAATCAATCTCAACCTTTGCTGAAGTTTCAAACCGAGACATTGGAAAATGGAACTCAAGTTTTGACTTGTTTCTTATTACCACAACAACCTTCACAAAGCATGAGTAAGTCTTGTTTATTTGTTGAACTTTTTTTTGTATATATATTATGGTAATTATTCAAAAAAATCTCAGGCAAATTTATATATCATCAATAGGAGAACTTATAATGCTAATTTACTTTTAATTCTCTCCATGAATAGAGTTGGAGGTGATGATGAAATTTTCAGACCAGAAAATTTATAGTGTAGTATCTGCCATTTTTTGTTGAAAATCATTATATACTGCTGACTGTTTCAAACAATGGGTAGACTATGCCACATTGCCGATTACTCTACTTGGGTGGCAGAGATGGCCATTTCATTGAAAAATAGTTTGCGTTTGTCAAACTCGTTTGGCTGTGAGCTCTCTTATGTTCAATGTCAGTGTGCATACCAAACCAAATTTCATGCTCAAAGCCTTTTTTCAAAAACTCTAGTTATGTTTATTAAATCACTGCCGTGTAGCTATTTTCCTGATCAAATTGTGTCAATGAGTATTTGCTAACGGGCAATTTTAAACTATGATTTTTAATAGTCTCAGCAGCTCTTCACACTTTAGTGGTAACTTTGCTCAGAGATCGGTCTTTTTGTTTTTGAGTTTGCATGACCTAGCTTTGGGCATATTTCCTTTAAAAAATTATCATCCTAATGCAAGAGGATTACTGATCTGAAACTGATTGCATGATAGTTCATTCAATCGCTGGTCACTTATGGTTCCTCTTATTCACCATGTATCGGTGTGAATTTATCGAACTAGTAGGCTATCATAGGATCACTGGGATGGTAGAGATTGAGATGCTTTTGTTTATCATGTGATTAATAAGCAATTTTGTTGGTTTTCTGTTTCTTGTGTAAATACATATTTTTTCGTTATCCTAATTGCTTATATTTCTTTTATAGCGAACCTGCTTAATGGCAGCGTCGCAACAGAAAACGACCTGACAAATCTTGAGAAACAAGGAAAGAGAATTACTTTCCATGAAGATCAACTTCAGCAGGATGAAGAGAAAGAAGGCGTTGGACTGGAAAGACATCTCACTCCTCATCCGAAAGAAATGAAAAAACATCAACAGAGTGAGGTTCTCAAACGACACAGGGAATTACAAGGGCAACTGAAAGCCGAAAGTATGTAGCCTAGCTTTAAACTTTCTAATTTTTGCTATAAACCTGAGTCACTGCAGTCTATGGAGGCACTGGAGTATTACATTCAAGTATTTGTATTTCTACAATATGATTGTAACTGTTGTCCAATTTTGGGTACTCCCGTAGTATGTGTACAAGTTTAGGGTTAGGGCATAATTTTATTTCAATTTTCCTTATTTTAGTTCTATTACGAGTTTGGGGATTGTCTGTGTTAGCCAAGTGAATATACCCCCTGTCCATAGGTTTCAGTCCCTTACTCAACTTGATGTAAAATAGGCAAATTAAATTAGTTACCTCCATATTGGTACGCATACTTCTGGAGCGCCCAATTTTGTTATGAAAGAAGAAAATTCTACTACTATTCTGAATGCAATTTGAAATATTATTTATTAATATGCGAAATGAAATGCATTCTATCTTGGGCCATATTTATTGAGACATTCGCAGAAATCACAAAAATGAAGTTATTAGCACGAGATAAACATTGTTTTTCATTTCAGAAAACTTTGGTGTTATCAGATAAATGAGGTTTAGTTTGTTTATCTATCAAATGCACTATTCCCTAGAATCTACTATATCAAATATAACCAATTTGGAATGTATTCTAAAATTTGATTCATTTTGCAATTTTCTAATTGAAATATGCTGTGACCAAGGGTGCAGGCAGGACGCATTTATTTAATGGCATATCTGTGTTACCGTTACCGACCACGATTTTTACTTTTTTAAATGCTTTACCGCTACGCACATTGCACTTTTGCCACACTGTTTAATACCAGCATAACCTCTCCCCTTTAAAAATTCCTCGCTGTAGCAGTAATCTTCCAAAACAATGCTAGAGTGCTCATTTTGAAGATAGTCATTTAGTACTATCCTCCATAAAGTTTTCTTTAAATATTTCAATCAAATTCCAAGTTCATAACTCCTATAATCTCTACATTTCAAAAAAGCTCTAGAGTGTTTATACTCCCTATTAAGAGGATAATACATGATTTGCATTTTTATTATTTGCTTAAGCTCTAACTGACCCAGATTTATGACAGTGAACAAATCAATTTATCTTACTATGTTTCCACTTTCCATACATGATTCTTCAGTCACTGATCCATCAATCTTCATTATATTACCTCTGTGACTTTTACTAGTTCCTACTATGCAATTAATCAGTTTTATAGCCAGATTATCAGCGATCGAACATGATGGTTTATAGTTTATCATGCTTTGTTCGTCCAGATTCATAGCTTATCATGCTCGGTGGTATCTATTGATAACATAAATTGTAAAATTGTATAATATAGTAAATCATTTATATTTCCAGTAAGTTGTTTTTCTGGTTTCTATAAATATGCTATAAACTACTGTATGTCTTTTTTTTTTAAAATATCATTATTAATACAAATTTCATGATTAATAAATGTAAATGCCTGTCATATTGTCAAACTGGTACTGATTTTTTTTAAATTATATTTTTGTACCTTTCGCAAAATCTTTTATAATTTACAAATATCATTGAGTGATTTTAATATACGAGTTGGTGATGAAAATGTTGAGAAATTTTTATTAAATGAGATGAGATTTCTTTTAATTGTTTTAATTTATCCGTTTGTACAGAAGCTGAGAAATCAAACAAAGATCTTGATACTAAAGAAACTGATGAATTATTGAAAACTGAACGGGATGAAGAAGATAAAATGCAGGGACTTGTAGTTTGTAAGTATCGTACTTTGAAATGTGCTCTAATCAAATCAGAAAATTTTAATGCGAATTACTTATGAAATTAGTTGAATTCAATATTTGATGAACTTTTAATTTTAACAGTAGACAATGTGTGAATCCCCTACACTTGAGAAATTAACTATCGTATGTGAGCCTCAAAATGATCAGCTGATTACTGTATTGCCAACACAGTTTTGTTACATAACTGTTACGTAACAATATAGGCAGACACTACATGCTGCAATGTCACTGGATGCAGATTATTTATCTTCTGAACCCAGTTTAGCGAACATAAGTGATTTTGTAGTATTTCAATCTGGAAGAAATGAAGAAGAAGAGTTGAACTTTAAACCTTAAACTTTTAAAGGCAATTAGTATACATTAGCGATCCAAAATTAAGTTTTATTTAGAGGCAGCAATTTTTTTTGTGTAAGTGCACCAGGAGTTTTTTCCCAGATAAGTTGGCGCCACACTAACAATAATTTAGAGAGCTGCTGCATTACAACATCGCCATTAAAATTTGTCTCAAAACTTAAACATCAAACTGTATCATAAAAGACTTGCCGTTTACCTAGAAGAATTGTTTAGCTTTTGTTGATTGATATAAAGCGTAATGTATTACTACAACAAAAACAAGGATACAACATGTGCAAACACAAAATCTAAATTCACTCAAACAAGACTATATAAGAGAGGGTCTTATTAGATAATTTAGTGACATGGCGATTACTGGAATTGATAAGTAAAGCATAATTATGACTCTTTATTAAACAAATCATCTCATTATTGACAGAAGTAAATTTATCAACGGATAGCGCTAAGTAATGCTGAGCCTATTTTATTCCAGCATTCGACAGAGAACCTGAAGTTTTGAAACAATCTGATGAAAAGAAACAATTATATGAAGAAGAAGAAGAAGATGCCAAACAAGTCAATGGTGAGGCTGACAGAAGATCTTCATCTGGTAGTCAGTCTAGCCTACATTCACAGGAAGTAACAGATGAGGTATGTCAACTTTAACAAAATATTGTGTTGCTTTCACATTTCCAATGTTTCAAAAAATGGTTTCAAGCTCGACTATTCCTGGTAATTTTTGGGAATGTTGTAAAGTATTCATATAAAGGTCATATTTCATCATGATTGAGAGGAAATCCGATTGAATGACCCATGACATCTTGTCCGGCTATCTGTCCATGTCGGGTATGGGATTAGTTGGCCAGTTATTTGTTTCTGATTCTTGGACTTGACAGTGAAGGAATCGTAACTGACCACTGGTTGCTTGATCCACCCTATGACAACGAGGAATCGAGCAATCCTCTCGCACATATATCCCCGCATAGGATTCAAATCTGTGAACCCACGTTGGGTAATCAGAGGTGGGATGGCAAGCATGTTCTTAACAACACTTAGCATGGTGTGCCAACTGTAAGTTGTAGACAGTTCTGTTTGACTCTGACTCGTATGCAATACGACCTAACCATAATTGTGTTATATGGCCCTCGAAACTTTTCTATTTGTATAGTTTTTTTAACAAGTTATAAAAATGTCTCCAAAGGCTAGGATTCCAGAATAGATATCTTTTGTTTTTTTGAGATTGTATGATTTCAATGTTGACCCCTTATCTATCATTGCTCATGGGATGTAAAAAATTGAGGAGACTGTGTTGAGCTACCAAGATAGCAATCCTTTTAATATTTGCTGACATTATTCGAAGTGATTACATGTTCAGAACTTTTTTAAATAAATGTGTAAAACAAAAAAAGTCCCCCCATCGCACAATTGAATTTTTTTTTCTGTATCAATGTCAGCTTTCTTGATTTACAACTGCTAACTTGATCTTTGTAATTATGAAGTTTGATATTGTTAATGAATCTTTTTAGTACGCGGAGAAAGAAGTCCAATTTTCACCATCCACTGAGAATACTGAGTTTAAGCCATCTTCATATGATAAGTTACAAAGGAAAGATACTCCTCATTATAAACGAGATATGAAAATATCAAACACAAGCAAACCTGAGAATGTTATCGAACTTGTGCGAAGACAATCTAGTAAAAGTAAGAGATTATATCATTTTTATTTTGTGTGTATATCCCTAATATAGTCTTAGTATGGTAAAGTTTGTATTTCATCTCAAAATTTAGTTTGTAGTTTTTCAAAGAAACAATAACAATATGCCTATAATTTTGAAAATGAGGGCTGTCATCTGCAGAAATTATAGATTGTAATGGAATATCTTTTATGTTATCATGTGATGTATGATTTATTATAACATGCAATGTGCTAAGTCAGGTTATTAAATTTCATTGAAAAAAATTGATCTTGGGTAATAATCAAAACCAAATAATTTACTAAATCCATCTTGAAGATATATTTAAATATGTTTGTTTATTTTTAATTCGAATATGAAATGTTATTAAAAGCTCATGTGGGAATTTTTTAAATTGGAACATTTTAAATTATTCTCAAATTTAACAGTTCGCTGTATCGCGTTTATTTTATATATTAAATTGTTCAGACATCTGGATATCTATTTTAAAGACATGATTTCTACTGTAATACAACTGCAATTTTCATTACAGAAACACAGCAAAATGAAGCCACCAGTCATACAGAAGAGGTATTTTCTGTTTGAAAATTCTAAATTTATCCACATAATTATAGTCTTATTTTTAGTAGTTTTATTATATTACTATCTGAATCTAACTTTCTTTTTTAAATGATATACCGCGATGCTCATTCTTTTATAAATGATTTGGCGTGATAATCAACCAAAAACTTTAAACCAAATAATACCAGCGCAAATCGGGGGGGTCCATGAATTCTTTTTTGATTTGAACAATTTTATCACATGGATTTTTGAAATTGCAAAACAACTTTTGGGCACGCTGTATAATAGAATATATTTTGAATCTGTGAAACCAGACTTTTTGGCAACATGAGAAAATTACTCAAACTTTTGCCATTTAATCAAAATGGGTATTAAAAATAAATAAAACATTACGAGTTAATTTTATTTCTGTAAAGTATGCAGTTGCAAAAACTTATGTCATTTCATATCACTTGAAACCGTTATTGTCCAAGGTTTGATAGTACAGAGATTAATACTACTCAAATCACAAGTTACTTGCTTGCTTTATATAATTTGTAACTTTTCTTTCAATCTTTCAAAGTTCAACAAAATAGAAAAATGTGAATTACCCAAATATTTAGTACTTGGTCTCATCATTCAGTTATTATTTAAATTTAAAGTTTTAACTCCTTCACAATTTAGATGGAATTGACAATCTACAGACAAGGTGGTGGTTTAGGGTTGAGTATCGCCGGAGGAAAGGCATCAACACCTTACATAGGAGAGGATGAATCAATATTTATATCAAGAGTAACAGAGGAAGGTGCAGCAGATAGAGCTGGTGTCTGCGTTGGCGATAAATTGCTCATGGTAAGATATATTTCATTTTTTAGGTTTTTCACTCTGTATATTAAGCCACTTATAGGTAAGACCAGGGGCCACAAATTTTGCCCACCTACACTGGCGGGCCATGTAAGTGTGACGTAAAAAGTTGCATTTTATAAACAAAATTTACAGTGTTACAAAAGAGAAAGCGGAAAACAATAAGCTTCGAGCCAAAACTAAATTTAATCGCAATCCCAATAAATTTCATGAGCTATTTTTTAGCTAAAACATCGAAATTTGGTTTTAGTTTGGTTGTGGCAGCATCAGGCGGGCCAGATTGAATTACTCAACAGGCCGGATTTGTCCCGCGGGCCGTAGTTCGCCCATGTCAGGATAAGCCCCTACTATAGTTTGAAAGACCAGAATTATTCTGGTTCATCATTGCCTACCCAATTTGTTTTACCTAGGGTGAAGTGGTGGGCATGTAATTTGAATCCTGAGATAGGTAACACAGTTTAACCCACCGCTATTCACTGTTCTGATTAGAGCGTTAGACCTAATCTTGAGTTACACAACCGCATACCAACCATTTCAATAATTTGAATTTGCAATGCAGAAAGATTCTGGTCTTTCTAAGTTAGTAAGTAGATCCATGCATATTGGTATATGCTTGTAAGAAGCCTTGTTCAGGGTCAAGTTAGTTATGAGATCGTTTATCTCATTTTCTTTACATTAAGAGACAAAATCTTTAACAGAGAAAATTTTTTGAAATTTAGTTGAATTATATATGCACCAGATATTTTTATCTAATCATGTACATTTAATATTCATAGACATAGGAAAACATTTGAAACAATTCAATTTGAAAATTGTCATTTGGCAATGTAAATCATGCCTCGTTTTTGAACTGATTTTACTTTATTTTACGCTTGATGAGATTCCTTATTGTCTATCTCCTATATAAATTTAACAATTCTAGTATGCAAATTTTCTTCTTCTAGGTTGGTGATCATTCATTAGTCGATGTAGATCATCAAACTGCCGTTGATATTTTGAAAAATTCTGGTGAAACTGTTGATATTGCCATTGAAAGAACTCATTATAATGAGGTTTGTTTATATGGCACTCCTTAACCTGCTTCATTTTGAAAATTTAATTGCCAATATAAAAACAATTGTCAAATTTTATAATATAAAAGCTTTGTGATTGTTGCACTTATATTTCTAATTGGATTTGAACAGTTGTATACTTATTTATAATATGGTGTTAAGTGAAGGCCTAGTGCAGGGGTTCTCACAATAAATTTATAAAAACAAAAACAAATCTGCAATATTACTTATCGATTTTAATCGGTAAGTATGTTGATTGGTATTTGTCTGTTTGTCTGTTAGAGGCACGCGATATCTCACGAAAGCGAGAGTAAATCTGCTCCAGATTTTGCATGTGCATCTCACTTTCAAAATCTATAAATACTGATATTTGTAATGAATAGTTGTTAAGATGAACATTGGTTTAAATTATTTTATATCATTAAATTTTTAGAAAATGAACAAGTCTGTCCTTTTCCTGTCAAATATTCAAAATGACAAAAAAATTTCAATAGAAATATACTAAATTATTATATTATGCTATTTCTTCTGAGCGTCGTTAATTTTTTCATCTTATTATACAATAATTTTAGTTACTAGCGTTCTGCTGTTTTAACCTTGTTTTGCCAAATTTTTTGAAATTATATTTGTCACCAATGACTACATTTACATATATTTTGAATACTTTTATATTAAAATGTTTTCTTTCTTTGTCACAATCCAAGGTTCATCAAGAGTCATCCATTCATGAAGTAGAAGAAGAAATTCCTGTCAAACAACAAACTGTAGTTACCTTTGCTCCTGAACCTGAGATGAAAATTCACGGAGAGGTGAGAAGCAATTATTTATTATCAGGATTGTCCAAAATGATTGGAATCCTTCCAAAATCAAATATATACCGTTATATTATTCTAAATTCATGATTTCGGGATTAATTTAGAATTCATTATTTCAACCAAAATTGTCAATTTAAGCGTTTGCAGTCTCTTGATATAACCAAAAAGTGTCTCTATCAATTTCTGAGAACAATAAAAATAGAGGGGATCGATTCACTGTATCCCTCCCCAGCTCATATTATTTTACGAATCCATATATGGTCTATTTTCAGACGATATCAACGAGTTTGGTAAAATCGGAAAATGGTCTTGGATTTTCAATCGCTGGTGGTATTGGTTCAACCATGTATCATGCCACGGATCCTGGGATCTTCATTTCTAAGATTGTTGAAGACGGTTGTGCTGATGTTGACGGAATTTTACAAGTTTCTGATAAAGTAATTTCGGTGAGAAATAAAAATGGGTTGCAGAATAATATTACAAAAAATTTAATCAAAGATAGTTTGTAATGGGTGACCAAAAAAACAGAACCTAGGTTGCTTGGGAATTATTCTAGAGACAGCATAAGTTTTGTGCATTACTGAAACTTCTATGGTACAATCATACACAAAAAAGAGTTTGATTGTTAAATGAATTTTGTTGGTATGCAACGTTGCTAAATAACCTTTGATTCTAAGTGGTATAAATAGTATTTTTTTTATATTGAAATGATGCGCATGTTTTCCTTACAAAATTCTACAGCTCTTCATAAGTTATTAGCTTGACTGCATATATAGCTAGGCCTTCTACCCTAACAAATTCACTTATTGTACAAATTTAGATTACATAAGGCTAATATAATGATTGTCATAAGAAAGGAACTATATTTCGAGAGTATTTTTATTCAAATGCCACAAAGTACTAATGCGAATTTAGTGCATGTTTTGATCTTTATATTCGCTGTGGATATTGTCAGCAATAGTTTTTACTGCTGTATGGCTAAGCCGTGGCAGGTTATAAGTTCGAAAACAATTTTCACTTTTATTATCATGCATATAATCTTCATTTTCAGATTAACGGCATCGAAATGAAAAACATGAGACACGACGAAGCTGTCAGGCTTTTAACACAAGTTCCTATATCATCACCTGTTGTTATCGTCGTTTACAGAGAAGATATTTATTATTCCCAGCCTTCCCCTCCCCCTGTTCAATCCAATAATAACAATAAAAGAAGCGCAACACCCCCACCACCTCCCACATATAACAATGTCAATGCTGATGAAAAGTTTGTAACAGAAGTAAGTTTAACTGTTCAGTCTATTTGAACCTTTGCTGATGATGAAAAAGTATTGTATTTGGTAAACCTTTTCATTTTCAAGAATCAATAATGCATGAAAATTTGAACATTATTTATTGGTAATCAAAATAAGGTGAAAACGGAGGTATTTCAGGAGTGGTTAGTTTAACCCTCTGTGAGTTTTTTGCTAAATTTCCATGAGTTTGGAATTCTGGTGTAATGTCCTGATTTTGAAATGTATTTGTAACACAAGAGATAATGAATTATTTCATGCTTATGGTTATGCATGTTTGAAATTATATGTTTGTAATTTGGCATCAAGATGGGATACTCATAATAGTTTTTTTCTTCTCATTTTTCAGGAAATAATTCTTCACCGTGGAGATGGTGCTCTTGGATTTAGCATAGTTGGAGGAAGTGATCATATAAGCCATCCATTTGGTGTTGAAGATCCAGGAATTTTTATATCAAAGGTTTGATACATGTCTTATTGAGAGATTCAAGAATCTTTCGTATTGGACAATTAATAATGTACATATGAATTATTTTGCTAAATTGTTGCAGTTGTTGGAGTGACATTGTTGTTGGGAAAAATGCTTTTCTTCATAACTAACACACAGATTATTCTCAAATTTTCAGTGAACGATAATACTTTCAATTTTTGTAATATGGGACCCTATATTTTTTGACCCTGCTTTCCACATATTTTGGCATTCTATTGTTCCATATATACAATAATCATTATGTGGCATGTTTTCAAGCAAAGTTGTCACCAATATAAGAATTTGTACTAAAATCATACGATTTGGCCATTTTGCCCATACTAGTCACTCACTTCGAAGTTGGGTTTGTTTGTTTTAGACAAATTTTATATGAAAAATTGCTCTAATGTGGAAATAATTTTTCAATTGATATTATAGTGTTATAGTGTCTGTATTTGACTGGGTTAAATTTATTTTACTGTATTAAATTAACAAATTTTTCTTTTATTGGTTTATTTAGCTTCAACCGGGAGGAGCAGCGGCATTAAGTAACTTAAATATTGGTGATAGAATTCTGGAAGTTAATAATACTAATTTAAGAAAAGCAACACACGCCACTGCGGTTGATGCGTTAATAGATAGCGGAGAAAACATAAGGTTACTTGTCAGGCATGATCCACCACCTGAACAAATGCAGGTAATGATGATGAATTTATAATCTGTTGATCTTTAGGACTTCGAAATGATTTCATAGGTAGTCCTTCAGTTTTTAGTATAGATCTTTCAATTTGAATACATGGAAATGGGTTATTTTGGTTTTTCCAAATGAATTTCATGCAGGATTTTTAGATTGCCATTTTATCTGAGAAAATTATTCAAATATATGAAATGCTCTTGATCACTTTTGAAGTCATTTTCAAATTTGAAGGATTGGATGTGTCATAAAAAGACAGTGGCAAGCAACTCAATATCTTTCTATTATCGTCTAATTGAATTCTCTCTTTCAGGGGTCGACTTCGTTTTAGTGACTCATTTTGTTATATTGACATACCCATTATCATATTTACAAATTCAATTCATCTTATACAGATTTCTTTTTTTAAATACTATTATTGCACTGCAGTGGGGAAGGCCAGCATGACATTACCAAATTTTGTTTGATTAAAATAAAATTTCTCTTTACCTGTGCAGTATCTTGTCACTTAGTTTTATTCGAGGCAATGATAATCCAAATTTAGCCAAAGGAGGAGATTTAGTGGAAATATTTTATTTATTCCTTAAAGACCTTTTAGTTTGGCTATGCTGCTTACTGCTGGCCATTATTTTAATATTTTGTCTTTCATTATTCCTTTGCAGCATGTTTTCCCAAGGTAACTTAATTCTATGTATTTTCAATCCAAAATATGTCATTCTCAGGAGATCAATTTCACAAGGTACTCCGGTGAAAAGTTAGGAATCAGTATCAGAGGTGGTGTACAAGGACAACCTGGAAATCCAAATGATAACACTGATGAAGGAATTTTTATATCAAGGGTAGGATAATTAGACTTTGTAATCACCGGTTAATTTTTCAAATCTGTCTCATCTTCTGGTCTCTATTTGCTCAGTAGTTGTCTATCTTAATTGCAGGCAATCGTGTAACAATACTAATATAATAAATAACACGTTTTTAAGAAGTCATTAGCGGCATTGTCTTCTTAATATAATTGTTTTTAACCTGATCCCATTCACTTGTAGTAGTAGCACCAAGCATTTGCTTTTAGATTGCGAACGATGGGGCAGCGACTCGAGAGGGTCGTCTCAAACCTGGTCATAGGTTATTGGAGGTTAATGGCCAATCATTACTCGGTAGCACTCATGCTGAAGCAGCAAAAGCACTCAGAGCTGCAGGAGAGTATATCTCTTTACTTGTGTGCTATGGATATGATGCTGAAGACGGAATTGGTCCAGAGGATGTAAGTCATTTAACTAGATTTGGTGAATATGATACACATTGCATACGCTTGGTGGCGGGCTTGTTTGCTTAGTGCTGATACATGTGCATGCTGATTTTAATGCAAAATTTGCAACGCACTGTTTGGTGACTGTTTGGCTTTGGTGGCATTCCGATATTCCAAAAATTATAATTTTGTCCTATGGCTGTTGCTAAAGGCTGTGACTGCAATCACATTATTGCTTCAAATCAACTGCTGATATGTGATAAAAATTATTACATAAATTTTATCATTCTTTTCTTTCAACAATTATAATCAGTGAAATTAAATTTCAGTTTGCATTTGACATGAAGATTTATTTAAATATTGAATTTAGTAACGATGAGAGAACTGTATATTTTGGAATCTTGAAGTAACATCTCATATGCAAATCAGAACATACGTCTGGATTTTGTCAACCTTTATCATTATTGCCAATTCCTCATAGTTATAAGTATTTATTTTATGAACGTTGCGAGTTGGTCATAGATAGCTAACATGAGGTTTTCATCAGGTTGTGTGAAGATTAACGTGTAGGTTGTTTCGTTTGTGTGTGTATGTGTAAAGGGTATAGCCATTTTGTGTGAACCATGGAAAAATTTCTCAATCTTGGACATGAACAGTTGAAGTTTATAATATATTCTAACTGGATTTTATTGTTTTATTTGGTTTTTATTTGGATTGTGATATATAATACCTTCTTTATGTTAGTCAAAATGATGCCTTAAAAAATATAAACTATTCTCTAAAATAAATATTTGGGCACTGTGGCCTTGTGGTTAAAGTGCCAGACTTAACTTTAATGTAATTGCAGGTTCAAATTATCGTATTCATTTCAAATCCAGTTTTAGTTACGAAATATGATTTTGCTTTTTCAAAAACCAGGTCTCTGTAAGACTTGGATAACATGAGTCGCTGGAAAAATTTAAAATCATATATCATATTGCTGAAGAATTAGAAAAATCTGGCTTGTCAAAATTATACTTAAAACTTACCTGATTTTGGAATTTTGAACTTTTTCCCATCAGTTATCGGCAAATCCAGATCAGTTTTAAAATCTGCTTGACCCCTGTTGCTTAGTCTGTAATCATTACCTTGTAACACTGCATGTTTGATTGAAATCACGTCATAGGTGAATATAACGACTTCAAATAATGTCAGCGATAGCATGGGATCCATCGACCAAGATTTGTCTCCCGAGGAGTTTAATATTAAAAAACAGGTAATAGTGATAGACCTCAATATTTTTGTGCTTGTAAACCAATAGTTCTTTTTCCTATATCACCAATTCACCAAATGACTATACTTTTGTCATTGGATTACCTTTTAAGCATGCATAAAGAAAGTGTTAGTATTTTAATAAACTCAGATCCTTTGTGAAATTTTCATTTCAAGGGATTTCATTGCCAAATGGCTTGGTAGCCAGACCTGACAGCCAGAGAAATACTTGTTCCTCAGCTATTTTATCAGTTTTTCTAATGCTATTTTAAAGAATTAACCGTAGCCTTGTTGTAGGTTATTTTTCTTTAAGTAGCACAAGTTTTACTGGTGAACAATCATAGTGTTTCATAACTTATTTGTTTGGATTGTAACCATTTAAAGAATCTTGAACTTATTATATGGCTTATGCTTACTCAATGTCATTTAATTATTCAACATTTACTGGCTTTTTGTATGCTTGGTCTTATTTTGCCTTTGATGTACCAGTACGATTTTTGTTGTCAGATTTCATGATTCCTTCATGCACAATTGAATTTTGGTTCGGAAGTCTTCTGCGATGAAATAATTTTTATGCAATCATGTGTGTGCCATTGCGTGTTTTTTTGTTTGTATACTTAATTGAGTTATAAACTGTTTGAATAAGAGACAAGGTCATTTTTAATATTGTGAAGCCGAGGATGTCCAAACTGAATTGCCGAGGAATTGATTATATTCAATATTTTAAATTCTTGATATAACAAACACAACTTTAAATGGCTTCATATGAAAGACTCATTTTGATATTTTGAAGTCTTACAGCATGTTCAAAATGGCATTCTTTCAATTTTTGAAAACTATGAAAAAAACGATTGAGTCACTATTTGTCATAACTTTCCTACATTTTCAAATTGAAACTCATGAATACAGATTGATTTCTGTGTGTTATTTGATGAATATAAACCCAATTCGGAATATAATTGAAGATACTATTTTGGAATGTATTCAAAATGGTAAATTCATTATTTTTGGTCATCCCTGTTTGAAGCAATCGCACTAGTTTTGTGTGTGAGATGCAGTGATTCTACTTTATTTGTGTGACATTTTGAAACTTTGGTGGTTTGAAAAAGTTTTTTGCGGAAGTTTAAAAAATGTGGTTTTGGTGATAAAGGAAGCTGATATGATCAGAGAACAAGATGAATGGGAAAAAGAAGAAAATGAAAAAAGAAATAAACAGATTGAAGAAAAAGTTCAAGAAGAAGAAGAAATTAAGAAAGTGAATGGAGAGGTAGGAATGAAATGACAGTAGTGAGACTTCAATTTTGGTATTTAGAGGTACCGTACCGGATTCACGCCCTATCCACCACCAACAAAATTGGATGTATTGTATATAGGCAATGCCAATCTGAAAGATTTAATAGGATTATATCCTAAAAGCTGTCATTTTGACCATCCTGATGGATGGTCTAGTTGTACATAACACTAGTTTGATATATGTTATACTTGCGAAGGTTTGCTTCTTTGGTGTTGTCTATGTTTAGTATGTAATGTTGTCTTCATTTATATTGCTATTAATATTAGTGGAATTCAGTTGGGGTTTACTGTAATATGCCGAACAAATACACTTTCAATTAATTCTTTATTTCTATCTTGTATCAATCCGAATTTTTGTTAACACTGTACAAATATGCACTTGACCAACAATCCTTTATTTCAAATGTTCTCAAACAGGCCATCATCGTTTACCTTCTTCAACTTTTCTATACAAATACAAATTCTAGTCCACTTGACTATTTTCTATACAACTTCTTTCCTTTCGCAGCTTTTCTCATCTAGAGCACAAACCTTGCCTATAATCGGTAGAAAATTTCCATATGGAAAACCACTTCTCTTACCAAAATCAGCTACCATGGATACTCGCTCTTCTGCGGCAACAAGATTCTCTGCTATACCGGCTGGTTTTGCCACTCTTACTCGATTTCAAAAGATGTCTGAATCTAATCTCGTAATCCGCTCACAGCAAAGGCGCTGTGGGCAGAGGTATCTACCAGAGTATACTTTTCGTGGCAATGAGACTCATAGTATGAGAAGTAGTGAAGACGTTTTCTTCCCGTGTTTAAGAAGTCCCGGCCTTGATTGGTCTCGTGGTCCAAGGCAACAAATTGGCTTTCTCGATAAGCCACCGGATCCAGTCGTGGAAGATATGTTTTTGAGAAAGATACGTCGCGCAGAAGGGAAACACGCTGTTGCTATATCACACCCACTCGGAGTGTCACAATCTGTCCCAAGCTCACCCGGTTACTCACGGCGTCCTCGAGTTAAAGTGTCAGATTACAAAGAATTCGCAGCTCTCCCACATTCAAAACCTCTTCTTGGCAGGAGACGTTCATCAGTAAGATGCGTGACTCCATATTGTCACCAATCACTTCATTACTGTGTGAAATGTCATCTCGTACTTTCAGCAATATATTATGAAAACTAAGATGCTCTTGTTTCAATTATCGAATTATATATGCAAATCAAGTTCCAAAAAGTCGTTTCTCTCTATATCTGCTTCACAAACTGTGGTCTCACTTTTTTCCACTATTTTGTAATTTTCTACTCTACGTTCACTTCCATTGCATGACACGCGGCATCTTTATTATCTATTCCCACAAGCATACATATTCTTATATTTCATCATTTCATTCAGGTTCACACTACTGAACCAATTGAAGAAGTGACGGAAGATCCCACTACATTTAAATTCAATTATCATGATCTTGCTGCTTTACCAAGCAGAAAAAATATTGATAAAGTATTGCCTGCTGCACCGAAGGTACTAAATAACCCGATGCCATTTGTCCCAAATAGGATTACATTATATTTCTTCTGTATTTTTTTTTTTGTAAGATTGAGTTTATGATAAATTACCTGGCTTGGCTTTTAAATCATATCATACTGATATGGTTTGCTTTTAGGCTTGGTGGCACAGCTTGCTTTTAATTAGGTATGTGTGTCCTATGTTTTATTCTATTATTATTTTGTCTACGCTATTCTCACAAGTAGTATTCTATTTTTTCAGAATTTTTGTAATATGTCTTTTAGACAAAGAAATTCACACTAGGCGCGATAGACTAATGGTTAAAGCGTTGGACTTAATCATTTCAGCATTGCCGGTTGCATATCTTTGGTCCAAATTCACATCTCACACAGGATGTAATAAATTGGATAGTCAATGTCGAATTTGGAAGATTATTGTTGCTAAATATATAGTTTCTCATTATATATTGTTAGATATTATCGGTTACTTAATAAACATTGTTTTAGTATTCACAATTTTTTATGTTGGATGAGATGTGCTTTTTATATGCGATAAACTTTTTTCATGATCTTCCAGTTTTCTAACAACACCAACAACAATGCTGTTGATTTTCGCACTGCATCACAACCTCGTTCATTTGAACCCCCCATGTCTGCTCCCCCAGTCCCTATGCGGGTACCTGCTTCTAAAGTACCCCCACCTGTACCGGAAAAAACAATGTCGTTTAAAGATCGACGCAGTATGTTTGAAAGTTCTGCTTTCAAATCACCTGATCCTGATGCAAGTGTTCGACGAAAGAAAATCAGTCTTGTTAGTGTTCAAGATCTCGGGAGTTTAAAGAGGGAAGAACGTGAGTTATGCTTTGAATAAATTGATTAAAACATTAAATGTGAAATTTTTTGTTACATTATAAATTGCTATATTAGGATTAGCAGCATTATAAAAGTTTGGATCAATTCTAAAAAATTAAAAGTTCTCGTATCTCTATGTCATTTTAATCCACTTTTTCAACCATTTAGATTCCCAATTCCATAATGTATTAATAAATAATTACACTGAAATTTGTCTCACGATTCTGTACCATTTTTGGAGATCTATTTAAGCTCACAATATGGTCAGGTTTTCTCTGTAAGATGTGACATTTTTCAGTAAAATCATGTTCTATCCTGACAGAGTAAATTTTGGTGAATATCTTGTGACAAAATAGGATTGTGTTGTGAATATTCCTTTAATGAATCCATTAAGATTGCCCAACATGAAAATGTGAGCTTGAATACATTTGAAATTTTTTCAAGAAAAGTTGCTCCAAATGAGGTCAAATGCACTACCCAGATTGAGGTGTATGAACCTTTAGGTAAAATGTATCATTCGCCATTCATCATCAAGTAAAACTTATCATTTTGCCAATCCAATGCTTACAGAACGAAAGTTTGGTACACTGTCAAAAGAAGATATTCGTAAATCGTTGGATCTAGATAGGATGGCAGAGGGTGCAGATGAAGTTGTTCACAACATTGAGGATATGTCTGAGCCAGTACCAAAAACACCTCACACACCTTCACAGAAAAGTCCTTCATATAAAGTACCTGAAAGACAATTGTAAGCAATTAAACAACTATACATTTTACTCTTCCATCTCAGTGGTGCTTGCAAAATCATTTCAATTTCAAACAAAAACACTGTTGAGCACCAAAATCTATCTTTTTGAAAATATAATTTCATAAGATAGTCTTATTTCATTCCAAAATAGATACTTTTGCCTTTGGGACCACTATTATAATGGAATGTGTTATTCCCAACTTTTCCAACTTGTCCATTAAAAAAAGTTTCAAGTCATGGAACACGGATGGCTGTGAGCTCTCACCTGGTTACTGTCAATGTACCTACCAGACAAAAAAATTTATATCCCAAGTTTTTTTTCTAAGAACTTCATTTATGTGGCATCCCGATAGCTGTTTTCTTGATCGTATTGATGTGAACTGCTGAAGTAAATTATGATCATCCCTGATTCCCTGCTCAAGCCTGACCCCTATCGAAGCAAACTCATTTATGTTCAATCGATATGCCCACAATAAATTGATAGAAAAGATACTTGCATTCTGCGTATGGATTTCCACATTTCAACGTATCAAACCCTAATAATGGTACTGGGAAAATTTTGTCCAGAGAATTCTTAGTTCGGAAAGTTCTACCCAGACTTCAACCCTAAACCTAACCTATATCAAAAATCTTTTTATGATTGAAATTTGGGGGCTCCCGATGTATGCGAACCAAGATGGCGGACATTGGAATGTAATATGTGTACTAGGGTAGGGTTAGGCCATAATTTTAGGTGTAAATACTACGGGAGGCTCTTGGCTAGTCTTCGAACTGATAATAGGACTAAAATAAGGAAAATTGGGAAAAAATTTATCGCCTAACCTGTTACCCATGTTACGTTCCGATGTCCGCCATCTTAGTTCGCATACTTCGGGAGCACCGAAATTTGTATAGGGTCATGTTTTTAGACTTTTTCAGACTTGAATTCTGTGTGAAATTTTCAGGAGACTGTTATTAATTATATCTTTTACATATCAGGACGGCTAAAGAAAGACTGATGGGACAAGCTGCTTTAAAATCAATGTCAGATGGACATGATAGGGAAGCGATAAGAACATTAGAAAGGGATATGGACAAGACTAATAAATTTTTCAACGAACCTTCTCCATTGTGAGTATGGAAAAACTTGCTTTCTGCAAATGTGAAACAACATGGAAATATTTATTCAATATGTAGTGAAAATTAAATTTCGTTGCTCACAGCATTGAAATGGTTTTTCGATGTCTTGATACAATTTGCATCTCTCAAAAAAGTATAAATTGATTGCATCTTCGGTATCTTTCACGTAAAGGATTATTGAAATCCTGACTTAATCCTTAAATTCTTGTTTAGGAATTTATGATTAATTTAAACATGACCTTTCTTATCTTACCAGTGCTCACTCTGTTGACCCAAGGAGAGATTTATCGCCAGCTGATAAGAGAGCACACGAAGCAATGAAAAGACAACAAAAAAGACAGGAAGTGTAAGTTTTAGCAGTAAGTTTAAAAAGTACAAATCATATTATTATATTAATTATACCTTTTGCATTTTAGCATCTCATAGTTACGCATTGTCTATTTCTGTGGGCCCGTTTTGCGTTCCATATTTTGTACTGCAAGTATTTTGGTGCGACTTCGCTATGCGTTGCTCTTTACAATGAATGCTGCTGCATGTCCTATAAATAACGCTGGTGTTTTCAAGTGGTTTTCATTGTTTTCTTTTGTTGCAAAGCAGTAGGTGTATAATTTAATCAAGTGCTAATATCATTTACTTATAATGTCATACGTATATTTACATGCACTACTGTGAATGTGTCACGAGGGGCGAGATGAACTAACAGTTACAACGTTAGGCATTACTGCGTTGCATTGCAGGTTTTACATCTTTGGTTCAAATCCCATCACCCAAGGTGTAACAAATTGGGAAAGATTTCGGTCCTTCCTAACAATAGTAGCACTTTACGTATCGTTAGATATTAGTGGATGCTTGTATATGGCCACCGTATAAAAGAGAAATTATTGTGATTACAATATTGCACTGTAACTGTTGACTATTTTGACAGCTTGAGGTTACTTGAAGATGACGCAATTCAAGCTCAGATGGTCATAACAAAAGAAAAAATGATTCAAAAAAGACTGAGCGACAGAGGGTCTTACAGTTAAATAAAATACACACTGAATCAAAACACCATGTAGTTACCGACTAATCAACAACATTACCACGACTGAATAAAAAGGGATCTAGATTTCTATCAATCAAGTGTAAAAAGAATTTTGCCAAGTTTGAGCTGTGGATAAGTAGGAACATGCTACTTTATGAATAACTCACTGCTTGTCGAAATATTTGCTTCAGAAAAATTGATATTTACACTGAAAGAAAGTTTGTATATATTTGGCAATGGCTTCAAAATTTATTTTACTTTTCTTGTAGTCTGTCGCGTTTTAATCTGTTATTGTAGCCGTTTTTATTGCCTTATTATTGAAAATAGTTTGTCTGCACTCTATAATAAAGACGTGGTGCTATTTTTTGAGGTTTTTAAACAACTTGTTGTTTTTTGCGTTACTATTAATTGAAATAATTATTGATGTTTTTGTCACAAATCAACACCAATCATTGAAATTTTTTATTACGTTGTCGCAACAAAAGTTATAGCTGTTGTAGTTTTTAGTTCATTGCTTAGATTTTACCCAAAAAAATGGTTTTAGCATTTAAATATAGAAATATCTGTTTAGAACAAGAATTTTAAAACCCATGTTGATAGTAGTAGTCAAAGTAGTTTTGAAAATTTAAAACTTGCTATTACAAAATAAATTTACTAAGTAAAATTTTTAGCATTCATAGTAATTTTACTGTTAACCATTTTGAAACATGATTCTCACATCTGACATTGATTATTCAATATAATGGTATCTAACAAATGCGAATGATTGTGAGGTTTAGATTTGAATTCAGATTTAACAGCCCACTAAATGGAAACACAATTTTTAAAAGCAAAATTCTCTGATCATACAAGGATAGTCGATCATAGATAAGAAGAAATTTTTAAAGATAAAATTTTGATAATTTTTCAAATACACAAAAATGCTTATCGCAAAACAAACACCTTGTAGGATTCTGGTCGATCGTACCAAATATGATTGGCCAAGGACGTGACACATGTGAACAAAATCTTAAAGATGTGATGTATATCTGGCAAATGCATGGTTGAACATGAAATTTAGTCAAATCAATCTAAACTGATATGTCTTTTCAATATTATTGGTAAAAGATACAACTCCATAATGAAAATAATTTTATTTTTATTATTTTTCAAGTAATTCATATAATCTGTACTTTTTTTTTGTGTATGTTACCTTACTGTTTTTTTTTTTTACTATTCAGTGTGTTTTTGTGTGACTCTTCTTACATGTTTCATTTCATTTTATGCTGCCTATTATAATGTACAATAACATAGATTGTTTTGTGTATAAAATATGATAAAAACTATGATAAGAAGAGTTAGTATAGATAAATACAATGTAGGTTGTGACGTTATTCTTTATTTTTTGCGTCATCACTTGGCAAATAATAGGAGCACTTGAAAGAATAATAAAATTTCGAATATGAATTTAATAGGAATATGATGGATTTAATTTGATGGAAAATATTTGAAATAAAAATGAAATCAATTGCACAAGCTGGATAATAAAATTTAAGAAATGATACATTCTGTTTTAAACCCTTCTATTTGTTTGGTAATTCTGATTTTTACCATGGATACTTATAGCACCCGAAAATGACTATAAAATTTTCTGTAACAGGACACTACTATGATGTAATCTTAATCCTATAAAAACATTTTTTTAAACCAGGAATTAAAATTCAGATTATAGTGTATTTATTATAAAAAGCATGAGGATATTCAGCAACTTTCGAATGGAAATTTGAGTTTATTTTAACATAAGGTGGGCATAATATGTTAATGAATTGATAGCCTTTAATTACTGTTGATCGGTGCTTTAACTTGTAATATCTGACAATATTGAATACTACTATAATTTAATTCAATGGCATGAATTTTGTATGCACTCAATGATTGGGTTATTTTTCTTTTATAAATAAGTGGTTGCATCAATTTATATGTATTCAAAGTTGATACTGCAGCTAAATGAATTGTTGGTTGATAATAAGATTTATAATTTTATGTAACCTGTATTTTTGTTTTGTTGCACAATCCCTGTATGTTTTCTAATAATTGTAGTGAAAAACTGTTTTTAAAATTTTTAATAGTAGTAATAATATTGTAATTTTATTCTAATAAAAATACCAATTTTATATAATAAGCCATTTTTTCGATTCATTAATCCATGATAATCGCAATGGAATCATAAATATCTTACACAAAGTCGCCAGTTGTTTCTGCAGAATATTTTAGCTTACGTATTTCTGGGTTTATTCTGGCCAAACGGTTGTGAGCAGTTTTATATTCCATTGTCTATAAAAAAGAATGTGTGTCCAATGGAGCACTGTACATCATCAGCTAAAGATGGAAATTTAAATCGATTTTGGCGAGGTGCTGCCCGAAGTATTAAAAGTGAAAAATGCTCTGTCTCAAACCTTGACTCATTGGTTCTTGAATATATCTGGTACATAAAATGGTAGAGAAGGTTTTTCAACTTTGTGAATGTCACTTAATTATTAATAATGGGTTAATTTCCCATTGTTATAGTTATACTAGTTTTTTGTTCTTGAACGCTACAGCGATATTTTTTTTTTGCGTTTTAACTCAATAAATTTTGCTACTTAACATGTTGTGGCATTTTACGTTTGTGTTCTGTTATCTGATTATAAGGGCAAGGACTAGATCAAAAATGCGCACGGGGGGTTGCCAACTTGTTTTTATTTAGTATTACAACTTTACAGACACAAAGCAGTAGCGCGTTATCTCACTGATCAGTAGGATTAGGAATCAATCAGTAAAGTTCACATCTGATAATCCTGTAGTGATTTTTCGGCAAGAAATGTAGAGGCGGGGTTGCGGCCGCGAATTCGACAGATCTGATTGGACCGGTGTTTTCATAGGTATGGGCGTGAGCCGCATGACTTCGATTGGCTAAACGCGTTTCGAAAGTGCGTTTAATTAAACAAGAAATTTTTCATCAAGTATGTAACGTACTATGTCATCTTTTGTTGCAATATGTACGCATGTAGGGAAGCATCCTATCCATAGCCTTCGCCCAGTGCTCTGCTCATCGGAAGCCAGCACATATTGATTATACAACATGCAAGTCATTGCCGAGCTATTGCGCAATCACATTGCGAGCGACGGGCGGCCATGTTTTTTCTCTCGTTTTATTATACGTCACCAGTAGACGTCACCTATTCTTTTCTCTTTATTCTCTTCTCACGCCGAGTGATGCAACACATACGCAAGGTCGACAACGTGTTCGAATTGACTTTTATTCCGTCACAAACACTCTAATCGAGCGCCAAGACGGGACTAATTCCATCCAGCTGCAGATGAATGTAGCACACCTCAGTTTCCTATGTGATGAGTCTTAAGTTTGTGCAGACTTCGGTGTACAGTTCGTTTATAATTTTCTGTAAAGAATTGGTAACATGTGCCATCATAAATACGACACGCCAATATTTCAAGCAGCTTTTATATGGCATACAGTGAAATATGTAGCGGGCCGTTGCCGCAAAGAAGTAGCTTCGTGAGCTTTAGGAGAGCTAGGTTATGGACTTTCAGTGAACGACCATTATACCAACTTTCCCCGCGTTCACATTTTTTAAACTGAGTATTACGAAAATTTTAAAACTGGCTGCAACGAGTTTGATTTTCGTTGGTCGTTCCGAACGCGCTAAGCAGTCGTTTGCTGAATAGTTATGTGTATTTAACGGGTCTGTTCTCGCGAGCAATAAATGTGATTGCTTACAGACTTGCAATCACGCTGACTAATCGACCGAGAGCTTATTTACCGGCGTTTGAATGATACGCTCGAACGCTGAGTAAGAGGTCACACGTGTTTCAAGGTGACCGCGTGTGGAGTTATTCGTCGTAAAGGATATACGATTAGTGATTAGATTTGCTTCGGGCGCGAGGTACGGCTGCACTTGTGATGGGTGTAAAGTGCATTATCAAGCATTTGACGAGGTGACGAAAAATTATTATGCTGCTCTTTACGAGACGACATGTGTTCTATTCATTGTTAAACACATTGCTTACTTCAGAATGCTGATAGCATTGCGCACAACTTAGCATTCATTTCTAATGTCAGTTGACAGGTTGATGAGAATTGAGGAACGTTTGAGAATATAATAATAACTGGATAGTGAGAGCATGAATATCAGGAAGTCGAAAGTTTGCAACAACTTATTGATTACAATGCAAACTGGTAGACTTTGTTTTAATTCAATTTCCCTTCCCCACTGCATTTCATGTGTTCTGATTTAATGCTACAATATTTCCATTTTGTTTATATATAAGAGTTAGTGTTAGGATTAAGTACCATGTCAGCCCACGAATCTGGTGGATTGGAAGTGGAACAAGCTCAAGAGAATCATTCCAAAGAAGTTCAAAATGAAAATAATGGAGGAGTGAAAGAGGAATCTGATGATTCTGCTGTTCATAGTGGGGATGATGAGATTGAAAAATCTAGTGAATCACCTGTAATCGTTATGTGAGTATTGAATAAACTTAAATCTGTAAATGCAAGGCATTTTCACATCTTAACTCAAAACAAGGCCTTGCACAATCAGCTACTGATAAATGGATAGATATCACAAGTTCTTGAAGATTTATTTAGTTCAGCATTGCCTACCAGTTTATTACATCAAAGTGAGACCATTTATGCATTTCATAATCACATTTACTGAATGCCTTTGTTTCCAAGAACGAAGATGTTGGATTTGTTTATTGATTGAGTTTTCTTGTATAATTTCCATTAATAAGGCAAGTAAGTTGAACTATAACCTTGGTTTTTGGATGTATATGTCTAAGCACACATTTACTTATTCTGTGTTTAGTCAAACCAAGTTTATAATAACATTTATTAGCTGCGGTTCCAAATCTTGTTAAATCTCAGGAGATTTGTGGGAGAAATTAGTTTTGTAACATTATTTAATATTAATTCTCATCTTCTCTTATTTATTTCACTTAACCTTGGATGAATGACAACCACTCCATAGGGAATATAACTGAGATATTGTCGGCATTCATGCTTTGTTTTTAATAATAGATAGTTAGATACTATAATTATAGTAGATTTGGGATAGACAACTTTATAACAAAACAGTCGTGTTGATTTTGTACCTTTCAAGGTTATATAAAGTGTCCTTTTTGTTATAATCGCAGAAATGTTCTGGTGCATCGTGAGGGCTGAGGAGTTCAAGCATAAGACTTAACTATGTTGGCATTTCAGATTACAAATCTCTGGTTTGAATCCCATGCCCACCACCTTACTCGGAGCGTAATAAATTTGGATAGGCAATGCTGAATCAGAAAGATACCAGTCTTCTAAATAAATCGGTCACTGCTTGTAAAGAGCCTTGTTGAGAGCAAAATGCATGAATAAGCATGGTTTACAAAAATGTACATCATAATATCGCTGACAAAAATGACTCTTTCCACATTTTCGGTGCACTCTCGTGTAACGTTAGGCTTAAGACAATTCTTGGTAGAACATCTTATTTTCAGATGATTTTGTGGAATTAAATTCTAATATTTACTGTATGTTATTTATACAGGTCAAGGAATGGCATTGCAAATGACGCTGAAAAATTGCCAGAGCTAACGACAGCAACTGTTTCCACGAACGACAATGAAAAGGAGGAGAAAAAAGCTGTCAAGATCAAGGATGGAAATGAACTAGTTTTTATTCAAGATGACTTGATTTCGATTACAGTTACTCCTCCCAATGCTAAGTCATTTGAAGTTCAGGTGATTTTATATAATTTTTATTGACTTCTAGATCTGTATTTTCATTCTGTTGTACAAATTCATCTGAATTTCAATCACATTTTGAAAAATATGTTGAGCAGGTTATGATAAATAATATATGTGTTAAATTGGAAAACTAACATATGAAAATGCAATGTTTATGGAGTGGAATATTAAACTGTTTGCAAAATAATGATCTATTCGTTTTCTGTTAATTCATAATTATCAAACATGTGAATATTATATTTCCAAACAGGTTTCACCGCAAGAAATAGTTCAAGAACTCCATCACTTGCTTATTGACCATGAAACTACTTGCCAAAGAACCTGTTTCAGTTTAAGACTGAACGGTGTTAAAATGGATAATTTTTCTGAACTAAAAAGCATTCCTGATCTCGAGAGTGGATGCGAAATCAAAGTTGTGGAAGGTGTGTTTGTGATTTTTTATGTATTTTATGGCAATATACAGACTCTAGGCGATGATGAATTTGGACAATCCGATTCTGTATGAGGGACAAATGTAGAACTGTTTCTCTAGACTGTCTCACGCAGTTAGTTTGCATTGTCATCAAATTTGGCTCTGATCAAATATTTGGTAGGCGTGAGCATTTTCTTTTGTAAGAAGTGAAAAGGTTGTAATTTTTTATTATGTGTTTTCCAAACTAGGTAATTTTGAATCCATTTCAATTCGGAACTGATGTCAATCTGTGTCTGTGTGCTAGTCTTTAATTTTCACGCTCGACACATACGTCATTAGTTAGCCATTATTCTTGTGTATCAGACATCTCTTACTAACCTAGTGTTCTACTTAGTTAATCTACTGAGTGGTTAATTATTATCTATCGCTTCTCTGAAGAATATAATTAAATAAATCCTCAAAAGCTTTTATATGAAACAAATGTTGGAAACTCATTTTAATCACATGTTTCGAATTAGTGTAAGTTACTATCAAGCAAAATTAAAGATGCTTCAAAACAACAGCACGCACTTACAGTTGCTAGGATTTATTTAATTGGGTTAGTAATAGTAATATGGCCAATTTATTAATGAAATGTGTTGATGAAGCGTGGTTTTGATTGTATATGCTGAAATTTTAATTTGATCTTATGAAGTGTGGTTAATAACTGACTTAAAGCGGAGTTTGAAACATCTCTGTAAAATTTTAACAAACGGGTTTAAAGCTATGGGATTTGCTGTAACAATTTTTTGTTTTTAGAACCCTACAGCCTGCGTGAAGTAAAAGTCCACTTAAGACATGTCAGGGAATTATTAAATTCATTAGATTTTGAAGAAGCTCATCTTGGTGCTGAAGGACACAGTCTATCCTATCTAAATATTATAACTCAGAATGATGTTTCAGAAGGTCAGTTCGTATTTTTCTTGAGTGTTGGGCATAGTTTTTATAATAAACTATTAGGGTTCCGAATAAATACCTCAACACCCTCGAGTCGTTTGAAAATAGATTCTCTGCTTTTGGTTTACTGAAGTTTTATCTGCCCAACTACAGTGGTTACAACTTCTCAAATCTGGAGTGTTAAAATATTTAATTAGTTTTCAAACTGTGGTGTAAATATGTTAGAAAATATGGCTCAGATTTAATAAAAGCAAGACTTGACTTCGCCGCTATAGGCTCCTTATTGACCATTAGGTCACATACTAAAAAAACATGAAAAATTGTTTCTGGGTAACTTTTTAATTCATTTTAAACATTACAATTTCAGAAGCAGCAGTCAAGAGTGAGAGTCCTTCGTCGACCCCGAATTCACCCCCATCACCTAGTCATGTTCCATCTTCTAGTCGTTCCAACAGTCCGAACAATAACAAGAAAAGCAATCGGAATAAATCCGATTCAGATTCGTCGGAAGAAAATGGGAAGCCAAACAGCAATAATAAAATACATCGTTATAAAACTCTTCTTTCATCTTTGCCAAAACAACTTGATCCTGCATCATACAGACCTCCTGAATATGTTTTACCAGGAGTAAAAGAAGCATCGCTATTGCAAATGCATCCTGAGAATACATTAAAGGTATATATCAGTTAAATAAATTTTTAATTTTATTTATTTTTACATTGAAAATGACCAAGTAAGGCAATTTCCCCTGATGTCTTTATTACGCAACAGTTTCGGGGAGCAGGGTGTTTCAAGTTTTCTAATCTCCGGTTCGAATTCTATGCCCACCGTACTCTAAACCAGCGTGTGATAAATTTGTTAGGCGGTACTGAAGCAGAAAGATTCATAAGTCCTTAAAAAAATATAGTAACTTCTTATACCAGCGGCTGCTTGTTCAGAGTACAAGGTTCAAACGTGAACAGAAAGATTTCAATATTTCTGAAATATGGTAGTAGGTCTTTACATATCAGTGTCTGCTTGTACAGAGCCTTGTTTGGAGTGCAAGGTTCAAATGTAAACAGTTCTCGTTTTATTATTCAAGGTGAATAATAAAATTTTAATACTTTACTATTCAGGGTGAATAATAAAATTTTATTACTTTACTATTCAAGGTGAATAATAAAATTTTTATTCAAGGTGAAATCCTGTGTAAAAGTTTTAACGATGAGTTTATGGAATCCACCTCCACAAAATAGAAAACTTCACGGAGATCTCATGTATTTATACGTTATTACAATAGAAGATAAACACTTCCATATCACTGCATCATCTAGAGGATTTTATGTTAACAAGTAAGCGGATAATCCTATTTAAGTAAAAAAATTGCAGCTTTGAATTCAAAATGAACCACTATTATGGTTATATAGATATTCTTATGCATTACTCCAAAATTGTAGACCAAATTTTGTGTCTTGAATGAACTGGATTGACATTTGTGTTTAGAACAAAGAGACTATGTATTTTAATGTTGTATTCACTTAATTTTTTTTCAATTTCCAGGAGTGATTTGACTACTTTTGATCCTAAATCTGAAACGTTCTCACCACCTTTTCATTCTCTCATTGATTTACTGATGGACATATCACCGGGATTCCGAATCAACTTTCCTATTTTGAACAAAGTCCGATGTAATCGACACATTTTCGAACGAGTCGGAACGCCTTTTCAGGTACGTAACATGACACCTAGTGTTTTGTAATCTTTGTTGCGGCTGCTCCAGCGCTCTTTCTGTTGATAGAAATCCCACTTGAAAAGTGTCTCTTACTCGCTCGTTTTTTGTCAAGTGTTTGAGGAATACACGATTGTAACATTATCTGCATTTGATAACAGTATCCCTGTTTCACCTCTCTCTAGTTTTGTGTTGAATACCTAGTTGTATAATCACCAGTTGCTACTGATAATATATCTGGCGGTTATTTCTGTTAATATTCGCAGAATACAAATTGTTTTGAATTCAAAATTTTAAGCATTCAATGGTTATGAATTTAAGCTAAAATTGCGGAATGCACACTACATTATTTTGTAGTTTGAAATTTTGTCATACATTGTGATTTTTCTATTTGATCAATGAATTAAATTAAACAACTCATATTTCAGAACAAAAATAGTTGCACAGTATTGCTATGTTCTAAAGGTTTTTTTATTCGTAATTAAGTTATATTAAATTCTTATAAATAATGATTGCTGGTTGACTACGTGTAAAATTGTTATAAAAAATGTTCTTTGATTCGAATCTTTTTCTAGTTAAATCTGGTTTGATCAATTGCAGTTTCTACCAAATTCTTCAAATTCAATTTCTCCTTAATCTAATCGAATACTTTTTTCCTCTGTCGGATAATTCCCGCAAAGCAAGGTAATGCACACTCATTCAGATATAAATAAGACTCATCTCTGGGGGCAAAGTTGTGGGGAAACCACTAAAATGCAGAGAGCTATTGACACAACTTCATTTTGAAGCAAATGGTTGCCTAGTTTCAAATTATCATTTTGAATTTTTTTTTGTCACTACGGCTCATTTCCATGTATTATAAGAAAATGTTTTACTTCCATAACTTTAAGATCTTATTCTTATTACAGATACATGCTTGGACCGCACCTCAACAAAATCATCAAGTGAATCATGTTCACGCAGAAGATTTCTTGAGTACGAGAACGTCTGTTGAAGAAACAATCCCTGGACAGGTCAGTTCTTGATAATTCGGTTTATCAAATTGCCATAGTTCCTTAGAAATCAGGTAGCCATTTATATTATTTTCTAGTATTCAGAATTTCTTGTTTTGATTTTAGTCTACAAGAGACTGGAATGAAGAACTTGCTGCAACAAGGGAATTACCAAAGACAACGTTGCCAGAAAGATTGCTAAGAGAAAGAGCAATGTTCAAGGTAAAGTATTTATTCGGATATTTAAATTATCAGATGATATCAATATAGACCAAAATGTTTACCATTATTGCTAGGCTACCATTCCCATTAACTATTAATAAATCGTGGCTAGAGAGTTAGTTAGAAACCATAATGGCTCTGGCCCTAGAGCTACGATATGACCGCAACCGGGAAAGATCAGTCAAATGTATTTTATTGTACAAATTTTATTACACATGCAAACATATTCTTGCAAATAAAACATTTTTTGTTTTAGGCTCACTGTGACTTTGTAGCAGCGGCTACTCGTGGTGCTGTTATGGTTATCGATGGTAATATTATGCCGATCAATCCTGGAGAAGACAGAACAATGCAAATGTTTATTTGGAACAATATTTTCTTCAGGTATCTGATGAAGTTTTAAATTAAATTTTCTTTATATCAAAAAGGTAGCAAGTGTGATACTTGGGTTTGGTCATTGCTTGTAAAAATGCCTCGAGCATGTTACAAATTTTAATATTGCGCAATTCTGCTTGCCCGATGATGACAATCTTGCCTGGAGGGATATTAAACCGTACAAAATATAGCGAAAAGTGATGTCATATTTCTTGTATTTTCATAATCAATATATCCCGAGAACCTCACCTCACAACTCATTACTTTCTGCTATAGTTTTGTTTGGTCTACCCAGTGAACAATTGAGATTATGAGATCTGAGGGCTCCTAGGCATTAGAATATTAGTTTATATGATTGCGGTTCTATTAACATTGACTTTTGCTTTTAAATTTTAACACTTGATAACCTCGAAGACTGTTTGTACAATATAATTTTGGGTGGGCTGGGCCTATCATATATGATATAAATTCAGGCCAAATATTGATCAAAATACAAGAGTTGTGACTTGTTGGTATATACAAGGTTTGGTTAGGGCCAGAGATGGCCAAAAGCTAATATTCCACTGTATTTGATTGATTTCTCTATATTTTAGTATTCAGAAATAAATGAAGACCATATGATCGAACTGAGACTCCAATTGTTATGATTTTTTGAAAAATTGAAGTATTCTAAATTGGAGAATTTAAAATACGGAATATAATTGATTTCAAATCATTTTGAATATTTGATTTCACAATTCTATTGCTCTTGTAAGAATATTTAAAAATTTACTCTGAAAAGTCATTCCACCAACAGATGAAAGAACCTGTACTGTTTATTATTAACTCATTCACTTCATTACAAATTTTTAGTCTTGGTTTCGATGTGAAAGACCATTACAAAGACCTCGGTGGAAATTATGCTGCGTTTTACGCTCCACTTGCTGATCTTAATGGTTTGCGGGCTTATCAAGCAGTAGATGCAGAAGGTCTTCATCTACTCGGAACTGTTGTTGTTGATTACCGTGGATACAGAATAACAGCACAATCTATCATACCTGGTAAGAAAAAGAGCGGACTGTGACAGCAAGATGGGATGATATGTACCTAATCATAATATAGGCTGGTAAAAAGCATGTTCAAAGCATATGACTGAAATGTAACAATCATGGATATAAAGTTTTTGGCATCAATCGTTGAATGAAAAGAAACCTTTTTTGGCATTTTTACATCTTCAGTCTGAACAAGGCTATGTATAATCATAGGCAACCACTGCTAAGTAAAAAACTATTTTTGTAAGGAGCCATTCTGGTTCTGTATTTTTAACCCTATTACTAACCCTGGGTGCAGTAGTGGACATACGCTTTGAACTAAGATCTGCAATGCTAAGATTGTTAGGTTCAACACCATAGGGAAGTTGGTAGTTTACGGACCTTGAGGGTTTGATGCATTTTCAACTCATTCAGTTAAGAAATCAACTAAATTCACTTAATAAAGCAGCTGATTTTTTGTCAGTTCAAAATTTAATGCTTTGTGGGAAGACTTGGATGTAAATTTTGGAAATATGGGCGGTCTCTTTAAATAAAGTTACAATGATAATAAAGTTACAATGACAACCCATTTAAATCATCTTCCTTCACTCCCTTGGCGTTTTTGGAAAAATAATTTTTAATAGTTTTGAGGAGTCATCTTAGGAGTGTCTGTCAACAACAAAGTCTGAATGAATATACAACGTTAGATGAATTGAACACTGTTTAAAAAAAAATGTGAAACAAATTTTACTATGTATCATTGCAGGCATTTTGGAAAGAGAACAAGAACAAAGTATTATTCATGGCTCAATTGATTTTGGAAAAACAGTCATAACTAATAAAGAATATGTTGAATTAATTGATAAAGTTGCGAAACCCCTCAGACAATTGAAACACTCGATAACGAGTGGAGAAGGAGAAGCAAGCAAAGTTGTTGAAATTCAAACTTCTGTTGAGTGCAAAGGAATCACAGGTAAAAAAATGCTTGTCCCTCAGCTATTTCAAAATGTCAATTACTTTTAAAAATATAGTGATAAAAATGACTTGGGTAATGTTGTATTGTATTGCACAAGAGCCTGCACAGCATTTTAGGGGGTGAGAAACTATCTCTAAAGTTTAAATTCTAATTTAATTGTATTCAATATTTTCAATTCTATATTTCGGGAATAATTTGTGATAAGTTTCATTTGGAAAATTAATAATTCGCATCGAATGAAATCTCCTAGTGTGGCCAAATAGGTCTTCATTCAATTTCTAAAAACCAACTGTCTAATTCGATAACCAATCCAGTTGTTCTTCAAAATTACCAAATCTGTACTCATTGAATATTGATCGCCTTTGTGGAATCTTGTTGAACAAGCCCTAGTTTATAATATAAGAGAAATTGATCGTGTGAGTTTTGATACCAAAAATGTATATAAATGCCTGAAAGATATAGCTGAGCAGGAGCAAATGCTGATGGATGCACATAAAGTAAAGCTTCCAGAGTTTCCAGAATCTTCTTTTTCAAGAATAATCATTCTTTTTTCAACTATTTAAAAATTTTCTCGTTGTTTGCAGGCAATGATGGACGACGTTATCTACTTGATTTACTTCGGACCTTCCCACCTGATGTTAACTTTTTAAAACACGACGATGATGATGAACCAGAACAACTTCTTCCCAACTGTGTTAAACTTGGTTTCCCAAAGAAACATCGTCATCAACTCGCAACATTGAGACCTGAATTAGTGGAAGCATTTGCGGAACAAAAGTATGTGAATAATTTTATTTTAAATTGTGAAGTACTATGGTATGATAAGATATTGTCTTTTGACTCGCTATTCCAGATTTCTTGTACTGTGATCCAGAAATGTCCAAAATTGTTTGAATATTCTGTTTAAATGGAAAGCATTCTCAAATTCAAACTTGTTGAAGTTGAGTTCCATTAAACAATGAATCTGTTAAAAATACATTCCTTTTTTTTCCTTTTATAAGAATATTATTATAGAATGTATTAGAAATAGTAAATTATTTGATTTTGGCTATGCCGCCTATGCCTAACAATATCTTTCTTTACAAAGAAATTTGCACAAATCATTGAAATGAAATTTTAAATGTATACGTGGTAAGTTTGTAAAAAAGAATTGGAATTTGTAAAGAATATTTTTCCAAGAAACATAACCACATACATGCCCACTCTGCCCAATGATGACAATCTTGCCTGGAGGGATTTGAGATCATGCAAAATATAGTAAGAAGTGATTTCTTCTCTCCCTATTTCGCAAACCCTTCAATTCATCCCTCTCTAACCAAATCTGTAATCACTTTTTACTATCATTTTGTCTGGGATCTACCCAATGATCAATTGAGATTATGAGATCTGAGGGCTGTTATATAGCTAGGATTTCGAGGTTGTCGTTCTGTAGGAAACTTTCATTCCAATGTTATACTAAAATATTCTCTTCTCCCAGATATATTGAATTTATGCAAAGTTGTGCAGCACAGATATTTGCATTAAGAAGTTTACCTGCTGATGCTGTCGGGGAAGCACAAAAAGGTATGAATATAGAGTTAATACAGCTGATGTTTTTCTGAATTTCCGAAGTGAAGATTGCTGGCACTATTGTCTAGTTATATTTATGTTGTTACACCTGCGCTATACAAGCTTAGCATCTTCATACGAGGTTGCGCTATACAAGCTTAGCGTCTTCATACGAGGTATAGAAAGATAAGATTGTTTTCAATTAGACATGAGCTATGCACTGACGGGAGTTTGAACAAAGATTTCCAGTCTGCGTCGCAATATTTATTTTAGCTGCAAACTCCTCGATGCAGTTATATGCATAGAAATAAAAAAAATTCAGAAAATTTATTTATTATTTTAGCATTCCAAGCAGCAATTCAAGGAGCAACAAACAAAACTGATTCTAAATCCACCTCCACAACTGATACTAATAATGTACCTCAGCCCTCAGCCTCGTGCGATCAAACAAAGTCTGCTGGTAAGTGCCATATGTGGAATTCAATACACTGTCGATACAATATTTCTTGTCGTACATTTTATAAGATTTGTTTGTATGTCTTGCGCCTATAAATAAAAATAGCATTTTATAGCTAAAATTTAAATATTTAATCCTACAATGTTGCAATGATGAAAATATTCACTCGCCGTTCTTAGAAATTAATGCTGACGAGTGATTTCTGAGCTCTGTAAAGCAAATTACATGTAGATTGAAAGACTTACTTTATCTGGTGTTGACAATTTTGACTTATACATATACATTTCTCATACACTGTACATTGTATATCTTGCACATATTGTAAATCTGTATTTTAAGTCCCTAAATTATGATCACAATCACTCTGAACGCAAGGTAATGAGAGGTGTAGTGGCAAGTGTATGCCTAATGCTCACCCCGATGCGTCATACCGTCATGCCATATATGATATAATATCTTCATTTTGATTTCAATGTATTTTCTCAACATAGTATCTGCTTTAGGTCAACTCCATCGAGCTGTTGTACGTGAAGCAGCGAGAAAGGCTGGATCATGCACAGATTCAGAGTTTGATCTGAGATTTAATACTGATTTATTTACGAGAGGAATCAAACATGCAGATGCAGCTGAAGATATCAAAAATCAAAAAGATTTAATTAAAGAAGCTGCAGAATTCTTGGTCTCCAATCAAATACCTACTTTTGTGAGTATTTTTTTATGCGACGTTCTCACTTTGAGTGAATATGTGTCCAAGAAGATACTTTTTTGAGAGGAATGGAAGTTGTTTGAAAGTGCGGAATTGCCTGCTCAATTTATTTCACCCTGGTAAGGTAGTGGGCATGTGCGATACATTTTCTGCAAAATATCTTAATAAGATTAAAAAATTAGAATGTATTGTAAATTGGGCCACGATAAACAAAAAAATTGCACAAATCATTGAAATGAAATTTCAATGCAAATGAGTTAAATTTATATAAAAAAAAAAAAAAATTGGAAAAAATATTGTTTTAAAAAAAAAAACACAGACAGGTCCACGCTGCCCAATGATGACAATCTTGCCTGGAGGGATTCGAGATCATGCAAAATATAGTAAAAAGTGATTTCTCCTCTCCCTATTTCGCAGACCCTTTAATTCATTCCTCTCCAACCAAATCTTCAATCACTTTTTACTATACTTTGTCTGGGATCTACCCAATGATCAATTGAGATTATGAGATCTGAGGGCTGTTAGCTATGATTCTGATGTTGTCGTTCTGAAGAAAACTTTCATTCCAATGTTATTCTGAAATATACTCTTTCCCCAGATATATTACATTCATGCAAAGTTGTGCTTGAAATGTGAGATTGTATAGTATGTGAACGTTTTCTCTAGTTTTTTTTATTATTAATAAAAACGACCCTTGTCGTACACATAATACATGAAATATAATTTCACTTGAATGAAATGAATTTTCTCTAGTTGTATCTCTCTTGTAGATTCGTGACTGTGCACAGCAAACTGTTCTTCCAGTAGACGGTCCATCCATGATCGATGCTATGCATGAGAGAGGTATCAGCACAAGATATCTTGGAAAGATAGTACAGCTTCTACCAGAGAGTAGTAAACTTGTATATATAAAGGTTTGTTAATACTTGCATTTGAACTAGGGTAAACTTCTTGTTTGAATTGGGATTTACCGCTTTTTCATGATTGAATGTATTTGGTTATTCATTTTTACACAACGAACAAGGCTCTGTACAAGCTACTGATATGCAAGGAGCTATATTTTGTGTCGTACCAGAATATTCTATGTAATATTGTCTGCCCCAGGCTTACTCAAACGAGGCGGTGCTCTCGACAAATTTTTAGCTCCGTTTCTTCGCCAACTTTGACACAGTTGATCTAACAATAATTTTATTTTTTTTGTTTAGCGAATCTGCGTCACAGAGCTGTATTCAAGATGTATTCGTCATATATTCCGAAGTTACCTACAATCTGCATCACAGACTTACCTCTGCGCGTCTATTGTACATTTCCTAAACTGCCTCTTTAGTTCGTGCAAATCAAATCCTAATGTTTTGGATCATGAATCAAAGTAAGTTTAGTAGTTTTATGTGGCGAATACCGGGATGACTAAAATCAAATAATCTGCTATTCCGAATGTTCTGTAATTTTTGAATATTGAATAAAGTGTGTCATAGCAAATTTTTTATAGAAGACTATGTATATCCAAGGGGTTTGCCTTGAAAATACAGGAAATTGCGATAAAGTGATTGAATAATTTTTTGGTTTTCAGAAATTAAATGACATTTTTGGTCACATTGTGATACTCTCTCTATTGATCTACCATTTTTTATAAATAAACTAATCTGTCTAAATTGAAGAATTCAAAGTTGCATACAATTAATTCCAAATCAATTTGCATGTTTTATTCCTCCCATCTACGGCTGTCATGATAGACCAGAACCTTGGGAGTTCAGCAATGTCTACACAAATTATTCAACTCTGCGTGGTCTATGGCTCATGATTGCAACATGAAACTTGTGTCGCTTAAAATATATCTTTGGTAGCAATGATGAAAATATTCACTCGCCGTTCTAAGCAACTCCTGCTGATAAGTGATTTCTGAGCTATCCCTTGGTGCAGGATGAATGCCTTTTCAAATGGTTGACAAAGCATCAAAAAAATCTAATTTAAACTTTTTTATATTATGCTCATTTTCTACTTTCGCTTACAAGGTCATGTGCAAGCTGTGCGTCAGGGGAAATTGAATACTAGAAGTGTAACCTGCGTTCTCAGCATAAACAGGTTATTAATTTTTTTTCCTAGGAAAAAGCGACGCAATCGTCGAATGAAAGATGTGAAGAGCGACTGGAACAAACTGACTTCTCAATCACTGTGGACACAAATATCAGAAGAAGCAAAACAATATTACGATTATACATCGGAACTGAAATCAGTGGATGAAATTTTTGAGAAACATGAAATACAAAGAGTTGCTTTGTTGAGGAATTTTTGCTTGAAAAATGGAATTCAGGTGATAGTGCAGTACCGGTATTTGATAATAATACCCTAGCGCTGTTTACGATTACTGTAAGCACAATGAGGAATATCTGAATATTTGGTGCTCCTAAAGTATGCGCACCAAGATGTCGCATAACCTGAACCCTAACCTGGTACACAACCAGAGTTCAGGTTGTGCGCCATCTTGGTGCGCATACTTCAGGAGGTCCGAATATTTTCAGTGTAGTATAGCTGGGGCAGACAGATGTTTAATATAGAAATTTAATTCAATTTGTGAGCGGTCCACTATGCTCGTTGAAATGAGGACGAATAACTAAAAATTAACTTATAAATAATACGTATTCAATTTGTAAGGCATTTGTTATTGATGTCGTATGTGAGAGATTCAAATAAATTTGGAGATCAAATTTTAAACTCAACTTTATATTTCACTGTCTCTAGTTACTCATCCGAGATTATGATTTCGAGAGCAAACACAAACCAACTTTTACGGAAGACGATATTCTGGACGTTTATCCTGTCGTTAAACACGTTGCTCCTAGAGCCAGTGATGCGTACCATTTTTATGCAAGTGGCCAAGTCAAAATCCAACAGGGTGAGATTTATAATAAAGGAGTCAAAATCCTGATTTCCCCCAAAATCTGGGTTTCAGACTTGCATTAGTGATAAAAGAAATCAGAAGCTCGCTCAAAAAAGAGTTTTTGGTGATCTATTATAAAACGCTTGTATGCCTGGAAAAAAATTTGTTATCCAAATTTAATTTTCTGAGATCAAGACTAGAGTTTCAATTCACATATTCAAATTCAAATATGGCTTTAACCTATCATAGAATGGGTTCTACATCTCATGTTAGGTATTCAAGTTCCTAAAATTTTATGTACAAATCTTCTAGAAAAATATGGACTCATTTTCCAACAGTATCATTGAATATGTGTATACCTTGCCGTAGCTAAATTTATACTTTTCATTCTAGGTGCTCTAAAGCAAGCTATTGAGTATATCTCTGAATCATTGAGTTTATTCAACAATGTATATGGAGTTATGCACATGGAAATTGCATCTTGCTACAGAAGTATTGCTAGGTTACAATATATATCTGGTGATCACCCAGAAGCTGTCAGCAATCAACAGAAAGCACTCATCATGTTTGAACGAATTTTGGGTAAGTTAGCAAGAATCCCATGTCATAGTTCATGACACGGACGTAAAATTTGGTAGTTGTCTCTTTTATATTTGGATAATAGATGCATAAGATTAATTTTTTGGGTTTACAACATCTCGTTTTGTTTACTTGGAACAGTACTCTATATAAGCAGCTACTTTAAGGCAGTACTATCACTACTATGTATAGGTATACTTATAGGTTGCACTATTAGTTTTGTGTTAAGAAAGTTTAATTTAGAGTTGACTCGAACATAAGTCGCACTGGAAATCTAGGGATTTAAAAGGCCCTCTCTCTAGCTTTTTTGCATAGATAATTCCCTATTTTTTATTTGTAGGGCCCAATATAATCAAAATATGTTTACCTGCAATAGCCGAAAACTTCAATTTTGTACCGACTTGGTGGCGATTTGCACTTATGTCGAGCGGATTGTTCGCACCTATGTTTTGAAAATTATTTCAATCGCACATGCTTTCTTGAATGCGTGGTTGTAATTTTTAGTGTTCGTTTATTTTTTCCAAATTAATAATTTTTTTACTACAGGTATTGATCACGCAACAACAATGTTTGCTTATGTCAATCTGGCAATCTATTGTTTTGCAAATTCTCAAATACAATCCTCACTCAAACTTCTGTACAGAGCAAAATATTTATTGAATGTCATGTATGGTGATGATCATCCTGATATGGCTCAAATAAATGTAAGTAGATAAAAATGGCGGAGCCCTGTGTGTGAAAACGTTTTAAAAAGTTCGAGATTATGTTACTTGTGGCCCTGTTCTCTGAGAACTGACATGTTTATATACTGTACTGGCTAATTTTAATTTACTACCGATTCCAGACAGTAATTGCTTGCATTACTCTAATTTACCTGTAAATTTTATACTCTTACTGCAGAAAAACTGCAATTTTTTTAGTCATTATTACTGTAATACTTAGTATTCTTCGTAACAGAGCACGATTGGGCTTGTGCTTCATGGACTACAGGAATATGATCTTTCGTTAACATATTTAACTGATGCATTGAGGATTAATGTTCTTGGTGGAAAACAAAATTTAAAGACAGCTGTGAGGTAAGAAATCAGTCTCAGGCATAGTTCCCGAAGTAATAGTTTGCTAAAAGTGCAAAACCACCAAAAACCTTGCTAAAACTGGTAGAAATGTCAAAAAACCATCATGGAGAATTTTTAAGACTGAAATATAGCATCTCAATTTGGGATGTTGTGAACTGTGACCTAATTACGAATTTAGTGTACAATGGTATCACATGAAACCTATTCCTGTTTATTTTGGGTTAGAGTAGTCGAGAGATCAGTTACTTTTCATACATTGATTGACTTTTCATACATTAATTGAGAAGTGTCTTATGTGATTCGATGAAGCATCTGTTTGAAAACTGTCATTTCTTCAGCTATCACCTCGTAGCCAGAGCATATTCATGCAAAGGAAATTTCCGACAAGCACTTCACAATGAAAAACAAACTTATAAGTTGTACCAAGCACTGTTAGGAGACGACCATGATAAAACAAAAGAAAGCGAGGAATTCTTGAGACATCTCACCCAACAAGCTGTCAGCTTGCAAAGAACGGTAAGCATGACTTGAGAGAAATAATTATAGCTAATTGAATAGGAGATATGGCATGATTAACATTGGAAATTTATCAGAATTTTGCAATCGTAGTATTTCATGCAATATTTTATTTGCAAATAATAGTGTTACTAGTTTAATTACACCTATGTTACACCTGTGTCAGGTTTTTGTTAACTTTAACTAACCTGACAAAACAGTGTAAATTCACATTTCTGATGGTTCTCTTGTAACACACAGTGTAAGAGAATGAACCTTTGGTAAAAAAACTGTTTTTTTATTTGTTCAAATGTTTCAATTTATATATTACCTATTTATAAATGAAGTGATCTCACTTGTAATTAATCCAAGTTTGTTGGTTTGTTTTTCATTTAGGAAGGCGTACATATATGTTTTCTGTAAAATAATTAATGAATATTCAATAAAGTCCAAATAACTTGCAAATGAAATTGCAGATGAATGAGATCTATCAGAAAGGTAGCAAGGCAGCGATACCTCCTCTACAAATCATGCCTCCGAGTATAAGTAGTGTTGTAGATTTGATCAATGCTATTAATGGGATTGTGAGAATGGTACCAGCAGAGTAAGTTATAAAATGAAAATCTAATTTCTAAGTTCTACGGCTAGATGTCAATGTGCTAGTGATGATTTGAATTCCTTTTATATGGTTGCCATATATAGCCCATGTATAAATGTATGTTTCCTCAATAAGTTATAAAATGAAAATCTAATTTCTAAATTCTACTGCTAGATGTCAATGTGCTAGTGATGTTTTGAATTCCTTTTATATAGCCCATGTATAAATGTATGTTTCCCCAATCATTGGAGAAAAAAATATTCAATACCTCATCATTATGGTATGTGGGAAAAATTAGTGAATAATTCTTCAGGAGCGTTTAGTTTTGTCCAGACAACCAAAAATCAAACTGAAAATAATCTAAATAAATTAGTGTCCACAAGACTTTCTGTATCACTGGTCAAATAGTTAGACTGAACTGATTTTGAAGGGTCTTCTACTTGTTACAATTAAAACACTTTTCGAGTATGTCAATTAATGATACTAGAAATTTTATAAATGTCCGGATATTCATTTAGTAGCGGCTTTAACTTAATTTTGAAATTTTGATTTACAATGTTCAAGTATGAACTACCGTAATCGTTACAATCAATACATCATTTCTACAGAACTAATGTGAAGATTCCTGAACCAAGCAAACCAATCAAAGATGTCACTGATGTTGACACTGAAAAAGAAAAATGAAATTTATGGTATATTTGAAATCCTGTGTATGGAAACTGTTCAAACTGCGGAACCTGAATGAAAAGTGATTTTCCGTCCTTGAAGAAAATAGTGTTTAACTTGTTATTTATTTTTGTTATAGTGTGCCAAACATTGAGCAATTGGAGAGATGAAGAAATTAACTTCTCTTGTGTTAGTATAAGTACTTAGTTTATGATTTAGCCCTTTTGCCACTTAGTATCTGTGAGTATAGCAATGCTTCCATTGAACTAATCTTTCAATAATTAAACTTGCCGCAAAAGAATCTTTTGAAAAAATTTTTTTTATTACAGAGTTCCTTTCAATACTTGACCAACCTCTTCAAAATTCTGTAATCAGAGATGGTAGGGTCTTTTCACATTTACCTAATTTTTTTGGGCCTATACACAGATGGTAGGACTGAATGAGCTTTTGATGAGGGTGTTGGTGGCACTGGTACCAATGCCTAGTATCCACATTTGATGAATATTGTTCTATTATTCAACTTGGTAATATGGGGGCCTTGATCAAGCCATATTTAAGCTGCATTTATATGTTAAAAGCTCCCAAACTTCTACATTTGTTGATTTACAACTCGTACATGCATTTGTTGTTCGACTCTCGTATGAGAATGAACTAATCTAATATAGAAAAAGTATTTGTTGATTTACTATTCACTGTTCTGTCTTATTCTAACACTTTTATATTAGCTTAAACGCTTAAACAAATGTTGAAGTTTGTACATGCTTGGTGAATTATATTATTTGTTGAAAATTCTATCAAAAGTTCTAAAGAGTATCAAAGTTCAATAGAATACTTTTGTTGCCAAATTGTCAAACATGCGTTTAAGCAATCGGCCATAATAGGCACAATTTATATTTACGGTAAGTTTCAACAAAGTAACCAATAAAAAATGTTAATGCCAAATAGAGAGAATTTAGATTTTTCAATAATGATAGTATGTTTCAAATTTATATAGCAATATTGTATTGATGTTATTTGTTCAACTAACTTGTATGTGGTCATTATCCGATTCTACAAATCCTATGCTAATAGTGAAGTGTTGTTGAATGATAAAATTCATTCAAGTTGCCATACACCATGCATTTGTTATGTCATCTGTATTCATTTTTAGTTAAATTGTTGATGGTCGAAAGAGTCGAGAATACTGTTTGTTACAAAATATTTTCATTTCGTACTGTGTCAAGAGTTAATTTTGTTCAATTTTTCTTTGCTATTCGCCTTAGTGTATTTTCGTCCAATACCTACTTTTTGCTTTCTTAGAAGTTTAATCCTGAATTTGAACTTGCTTAATCAGTTCCTAACTAATCGTACTATGTTCGATAATTTGGGTTCAAATTTCTTTGTTGGCTACTCAGTATGATGAGTAACTGTTTTCCTTCTAATTATTTTTATTTGACATTTTTTATGCTTTTCGTCACAATTACATAAAAATTTTCTAGCGCCATTGATTATGCTTGAGCTTTGAACTGACGCTGGGCTGTAGAAGCAAAAGCAGTTTTTTTTCTTTTGTGCTTTTGTTGGTATTTGGTGATTTAATATACCAACCGAATTATCCTATTTGTTATGTGCACAAGCATCATATAGAAATTTGAACCATTCTAATAAGTTCTCTTTTGTGTCCCTGAAGGTAAATAAAACATCTGTTAATGAAGGTGAACTAGTTTATTTTGAAAACTGTGCTACAAGCTACACTAGTTCCTTTAACTCTTTTATTTACTTGTTTTTCAAGGCATGGCTATATCTTGCCTACGAAACGATTGGTCACTATTTTTCAATGGTACATTTTGATTTAATTTGTTTTTCTTTATGGAAAGTAGCTAAAGTCCTAAACGCAGTTTATGTTTAAGTTCGTACCCTTTTTACCTCTATGTGTATCTAGGGTGATTTGATTTTTTTTGTTAAATGTCGGTTATCTAGGAGAATTTTGAACTACAGAATGCTAATCCTTTTTTTAGTATTTGCATTTAGTTGTCTGTTTGCTTGCAATTGTGATTTGTTTTGAGAAAGGCACCAAATTTTGTGATCCATTTCTAGTTTGTGTGCGTTAATACAATCTAAGCAAGATTGCGTTCCAAGTCTTTGAGTCGTTCGTGGGCGGCTTATAGGAAGCAAATACATGCATAAATACGAACGGAAAGTGATTTTGCAGACGTTGAAAATTATTAGTGTGGTTTAAAGTAAACTATATCTGGAAGTGAAGCGTAGGTTCAACTAAGATACGAGGAGGAACAGTGTTCCGACTCGCAACGTCTTTCATTGAAACCTTGTTGACCATGGGTGTTTACGGCCAGCGAACTAGTCTCTAGTGATGTGGAGAATAAAATCTGCCACGCGTTCCATGCCCGGACATTTTATTTTTTGGTTGGAATAGGTGGTGGCCGACTATGATGACCTTTTGCCCCGTTGCATCTCCCAGTCTATAACAAAAAAGTGCTTTGTAACTTCAATATTTATTCGTATTTTGGTTGACAAAAAGGGTCTTACTACTTACTGAATACAGCGCGAAACACCGCAAAGAGCACGAAACAGGAGACGCAGTCATTACCACCTCCTGCCACGAAAGAACCACGGTGCCTCTCGCCATGGTTTTAGGGCGCTATTTCCGGCATATTATAGGTCATCATGCGAAATTTTATGTACCTTTTTGGTGCTCCAGAAGTATGTGCAGCAATATGTCGCACAACTTGAATCCGCTACACACACACACACACGTACTATTTTCAGGTTGTGCGCCATCTTGGTGCACATACTTCTGGAGGTCCCTTTTTACCTAACCCTAAAGCCAACCATATCGATATGGAAAATGTTCTAAATTATGGTACCCAAAATGTGTCACCAGGGGCAGACCTGCCATTACAGCATTTCTGGCTACATCGTTGGTTTGTGTTTTTAATTTGCTGCCGTGGTACTCCAACTCAAAACAAGTTGCCCCGAACTCATTGCAAATTTTTTTCCGCTTCACACTGTTTCCCTCTATTTTAATCTCTTTCGCGCTGTGTTTCCACACTGTTTTGCGCTGTTTCCCTCTACTTTGCGGTGTTTCGCGCTGTATTCAGTAAGTAGTAAGACCGGACAAAAATGATCAACTCTACCTTACCGGGTTCGACTTGAAGTGTGGTGCTCCGGTTCCTCGCTGATATGGTGGGCGACTGGGCGTTTATCTCATGTTGCTTTCGGCACGCACCGTACCGGTACCGTAGTCTGTTTATCTGGACAAAAATTACAGTAGTTTTTTGGGGAGTATTTTCGTATTATTCCCAACGGAGATGTAGAACAAGTCTCTCGCCCGGTTACGAGTACCGTAGCACTATGAGCTGTGAACGCTAAAGACAGAATGGAGCTTAGAACGTAGAAGTTACTTACGGTAGACTATACCTGTATACGTAAGTACGTTAGGTAATTCCGGTTATTTTTAAACAACTCCCAAAGCTGTAAAGCCAATGTAACACAAACTGTCTAATGGTCGCCATATGGTTAAGCCGTTTTATCTACTTTCCTCTCCCCCCGGATAAATATGTAAATCCTATGATAGTCTATGTTCAGATGTTATTTCATCTATTTCTGTATTTATAGTCATTTTGATCAAGGGGATGTTTTTTCAATTGTTGGTTGAATACCTATTGCAAGTAAGCTGTCTTAAATTAGTAGATAAATGATGCACATTTTCCCAAATACGGTAGGCCTACAGTTGTCTCGGTTTTGTCTGTTTGTTTGATATTTTGACATCAAAAATGAGCACCGAGATAGGTATGGTTCTGTAATTCAGTATGGCACAGTTTTCCAATTCCAAGAATCGCCCTAATATTTTGGGCCCTAACATCGCCACAAGTCAACTGCACAATAAACTAGAAGGAAGCGCAATTTAATAACATCACCATTGGATTCCTGGGAAGAAATAATCTTATTTTACCGAAGCAAAAAAAATTTCTGTAACGTTTGAGAATTTTCAGCAAAAAAACGCTATTTTGGTCACATGACAGCATGACGGCCTGCGCAAGATGCGATTGATTTGAATTAATATAGAGACAAGCCAGGCACGATTTGCTATCGTTTCAGAGACTAAATACAATGATTGTTTCATTAAACAAAATGTTGGGACATCTTTGGAATCCGGAAACTGTGCCTAATCTCTGAATGTAATGGCTAGTGAACTATTCCTACATCCAACATGATCGGGTAACCGAGCTAGGGATATTGGTTAGCCACATGATTAAATTGTTTACTCAGCTTTACTCTACCCCGGGATAAGTTTAAAATTTTAGGTTCAATACTGGACTCACCGGAGGATGATACACTCACTCATTCGTCAGTTACAGCTTCCTTCGAATCAAGCTCCCTCTGCAGTTAAACTAGCATATCTGCGTATGAAACAACGAAGTTGGACGGATAACCAAATGAGAGGCGATGGTTTTCCATATGGTTTAGCTGTCTTGCCGATATATCTGTATCCCAAAAAATATGATAATTTTATTCCCAACTAATCTATAGAATTTTTTATTAACAGAATAATTCTACAATTATATAGTGCAGTAGTGAGGTAGGAAACCATGAGTGGGGTCCTTCCCTTTGTGAGAGGTGTTGATTTGACGCAATATGACTTTAAAGGAGGGATGTTTCCTGAAAAAATAAAGCATATGTCTGGATTGAGATGGCTAAGACTTGATCGCACAAATCTCTGCTATCTTCCTGAAGAATTGGGTGACTTGAAAAAGTTGGAAGAAGTGTCCGTATCAAGAAATGGTTTAACTTCACTCCATGGCGATCTGGCTTCCTTGACACAATTAAAAGCAATAAATGCCCATCATAATCAATTGAAAAATGCATCAGTACCATCAGATATTTTTTCTCTTGAAGAGTTAACCACACTAGATTTGAGCCATAATTTAATTACAACTGTACCACCTGAATTGGAAAATTGTCGCAGTCTTCTTGTTTTAAATCTCAGTAACAATCAAATTGATTCGATTCCACCACAGATGTTTATAAATCTCACTGATTTGATCCATCTTGATTTAAGTGGAAACAATCTTGAAACACTTCCGCCACAAATGAGAAGACTTGTGCATTTGACTACCTTAATTTTAAATGATAACCCAATGGTACATGCGCAATTACGACAACTTCCATCCATGATTGGCATCAAAACTTTGCATCTACGCAACACACAACGTTCTCTATCTAATTTTCCAAGTAGCTTGGATACATTGAAGTTCTTAGAAGATGTGGATTTATCGCATAATGAATTTACTCGTATCCCTGAGTCTTTATATACTTGTCAAACTCTCAGACGTCTCAATCTATCCAACAATCAGATTCATGAGCTCTCACTCCTTGTTGACTCGTGGACAAAAATGGTGACATTGAATTTGTCAAACAATCAATTGACTTCAATTCCGACATCAATGAGCAAAATGCAATGTCTGAGAAAATTGTTTTTAAATGATAACAAGTTAGATTTTGAAGGAATACCAGGAAGCATTGGCAAAGTAATGAGTTTGGAGCAATTCTGTGCTGCAAACAACAATTTGGAACTAATACCCGAAGGTTTGTGTCGATGTTTGGATCTCAAAAAGCTTATTCTAACCAACAACCGGCTTGTCACCCTGCCTGAAGCCATACACTGGCTTGAGCATCTTGAAGAACTAGATGTAAGGGGTAATCCTAACATTATTATGCCACCTAAGCCACGAATGCAAACAGAGGCACCAGATAAAGTATACAACATAGATTTTTCGCTTAACAGTCAACTACGAAGGATTGGTATCACTCCCCCAGCTAGTACAGAATCTGCTACTACTTCACACAAAGATCACATAGCTCGTCGACATAGATTACGTCGTAACAGGAAGGATGATGGTGGAAAGGCTGCGCAAGTGTTGCAAGGCTTGTCTGATATGGCAGCTGATGATAAAGTAAAGAAGTATTATGATGACGATGAATCACATGGTGCTTTGATAAAAAGCTCAAAACGATGGGATGAACAACTTGAGAAACCTGATGTTAATTATACTTCTCTTTTTTCTGATGAAGTTGGTCAGTTTCCGGGTCTAACTCTGTGGCAGATCGAAAATTTTTATCCAGTATTGGTAGAAGATTCCGCATATTATGGGAAATTTTATGAAGCTGATTGTTATATTATACTAAGAACTGACCAAGATGACAGTGGGAACCTAAACTGGCAGATTTTTTACTGGATCGGGCTTGAATCAACAATGGACAAGCAGGCATGTAGTGCAATCCATGCAGTGAACCTTCGAAATATGCTCGGTGCAGAATGTCGATGTGTCAGAGAAGAAATGCAAGATGAAAGTGACGAATTTCTTGACTTATTTGATAATGATATCGCGTACATTGAAGGTGGAAATGTGAGTGGATTTTACTCTGTGGAAAAAATTGAATATCCTTTACGATTATATGCATTAAAAGGAACAAGAACCCTGACCCCTTTTCCTGTACCTGTGGAATGGGCTTCTTTGGATCCACACCAAGTACTTATTTTAGATAATGGAATGATTATTTATGTTTGGGTTGGTGCGGCTGCAAAAGGAGTTGTTAGATCAAAGGCAAGGTTAATTGCTGAAAAAATAAACAAAGATGAAAGAAAGAACCAGGCTGAAATTATTATGTCCTATCAAGGATACGAGGAAGGTGATTTTTGGGAATTGTTTGGCGGAATGCCTGATGAAATAACACCCTCTGATTTGAGTGTTTACAGAGGAGGACGACCAGCACTTTACAGGGTCAATTTAGGAATGGGGTATCTGGAACTACCACAAGTAAAATACCAGCTACTTCTGGAGCATGAAACTAAACCAGATCTTGAATTATTACCAAAAAAAAGATTAGTTCCTACTCTACTCAATTCAAAGGCTGTTTATATACTCGATAGTCATACTGATGTATTTGTATGGATCGGTCGTAAATCACAGAGGCTAGTTAGAGCTGCAGCAATGAAGCTCGCGAACGAAGTTATGAACATGATACATCGCCCTTCGTTTACCCTTGTGTCTCGACAACTCGAAGGTACGGAGAGCGTGATTTTTAAAAGTTATTTTCAAGGATGGACCGATGTTCTCAGAGTTGATTACACCAAAGCTACAGATCAAGGTACCATTATAAAACAAGATAAAAAGAGCAAAGAAGATCAGATCGATCTATCGGCAATATTCATGCCTCGACAACCCCCCATGCCAGATGAAGAAGCAGAACAATTAATGGAAGATTGGAATGAAGATCTTGAACTTATGCAAGGATTTATTCTTGACGGAAAAAAATTTGCAACTTTGCCGCAAGAAGAATTTGGGAAGTTTTACACAGAGGATTGCTACGTATTCTTGTGTAGATATTGGGTTCCTCCTCCAGAAGATGAAGAAGAAGATGAGGAGGAGGATGAAGATAAAGAACAGGATGATGATATTCAATGTATTGTGTATTTCTGGCAAGGAAGAGAAGCTTCTAAGATGGGTTGGTTAACTTTCACATTCTCATTGCAAAAGAAATTCGAAGCTCTCTTCCCAGGTAAACTTGAAGTCGTCAAAATGAAGCAACAACAGGAAAATTTGAAATTTTTGTCGCATTTTCATGAAAAGTTTGTTATTTTCAAAGGAAGTAGGAAAGCTGCTATTAAAAGAAAATCAGATAATGAAGAGCAACCTCAGTTCTTTCAGATTCGTGCTAATGGTGGGGCTCTTACCACCAGATGCATTGAGATAGATACTGATCCACATCTGCTCAATTCAGAATTCTGTTATATTTTGAGCGTGCCGTTTAATAGTGTTGACATGACAGGGATTGTGTATGGTTGGATTGGTAGAGTCAGTTCATCTCACGATGCTAAGTTGATGGAGGATTTAATATCAATGATGTTTTCTCAAGATCACAGTATACAAATTATAAATGAAGGTGAAGAGCCAGAAAATTTCTTTTGGGTAGCGTTGGGTTCTAAACCAGATGAATATCCAGAAGACGCCGAATACTTGCATCATTCACGACTTTTTCGTTGCTCAAATGAAAAAGGATATTTTTCTGTTTCTGAAAAATGTGCAGACTTTTGTCAAGATGATCTGGCTGATGATGACATTATGATTTTAGACAATGGTGATATTGTATATATGTGGGTTGGTGGTCAAACGAGTCAGGTTGAAGTTAAGCTTGGTTTAAAGACTTGTACCGTTTACATCCAACATTTGAAGAGCAAGGAAATAAAACGACGCTTACGTCTTGTTCGCAAAGGCAATGAACCGAAAGAATTTTCAAAATGTTTTCATGCTTGGGGCAAATTTATTAAAGCTCCAGAATAGATTTTAATTCTTGTTATATTACTTGGAATCTTATAATATTTATATGCTAGATAACTAGGCTTACCATACGTCCGGGTTTAGCCGGAACAGTCCCGGTTTTGACAAGCTGTCTCGGCGTCCCGCCCGGTAGACTTAAATGTCCCGGTTATGTAGTGTGGCAGTCAAAAATCATTTTTTCATATAATATTATCACAAATTTATTTTCTTAACGAAAGCATCCAATTTATCTATGATTCACTAGGAGAGAGAACTGCTGTTTTGTTGTGTCATAGGTGTCATAATTATGTTAATTGCGATAATTTGACACACAATGTTAACTGACATGTCGATAAATTATCAAAATGCCAAATGGACGCGTAGAAAGACGAGGGGCAATAATGTTTTTTTCAGACTCAAAAATAAAACTGAAACGAGCCTTCACGAGACCGGCATAGGATTTGCGGCTCATTTACCTTAAAACTGAACTCAATATCATTCCGTGTCTCTCTTATGTCGATTATTGAAATGTTCAAATAATTGACTGCTTTTATAAATAATGTTTGGCGACTGCGCGTACGAATTAATTTATAGATAACTTAATGCCCGGTATCTACTCGCAAAGATATGATAGAAGTTTCAGATATTACTTAGCCTCAGAATCGAACCAAAGTTAATCCGATCCGCACTGTCCCGGTTTTTTGTTCCAGATATATGGTAAGCCTATAGATAACGCAACTGTTGATTCTTATGATTTCATTGTTTCGAAATATTATCTCCTATAATTGGTCAATTAATGAACATGCTTGCCTTGCCAATACTTTGCATATGTGTGTCGATTTGTTTTAAAATAATTAGTCTAAATTAAATATTGGATACGAAGTGAAATGGATTGGATTGCTTTTCTAAATTGTGAAAAGAAATTTTTTCCTGTTGAACAAATGAGCCAATCGTACTCGGGGATGTGGGAGATGGCTATTACTTTTATTTATTTGAAATGTTCTTGTGTCCTGCACAGGCGCCTCTTCATATTACATTTTCTTTTGACATTTGTCTGGAATTTCACTGGCACTGCAGTGGCCATATGGGTCATTTGAACTCCATGTTTACATATTGAATATATTTCAATCCATGGAAATAAATGTGACTTAATACCACATACACCCTATAATCTCCCTACATATGCGCAAAACCAGGTTTGTTCCATATAATCTAGATGCGAAATTGATTTTTTCTGATGTCAAATTTGTAAACATACAATTTCAAATATTCGTTGATGATTTTGTTTAAATTGCTTCAATTATGACATTCACCTACTGCACAAAACATCTGGCACCAATGTTTCACGAAGACGTTTTATTTTCATTTTGTTAGAAATTTTTATGTTTCATCTCCATGTTTGAGGATGTGAATTCATGTAGATTGTTTTTGCATTGTCATACATGCATGCAGAAGCTGATGCCATATTCACCCCTATTTTGCAGTCAAGTACTTTAATTGTGATTGTTTGTTATCAACAAGAATAATAGTTTACTATGATGATTTTTAAAAAAAACTTCAATTATCGATTCCAAACTTTAGGTTTACAGCTCTGGTATGACTTTTACAAGTTAAATGTTCACACTATTAGAATTTTGATTTGGGAACACATATATGCCTGCCTGTACATAAGTTTTGTAATAGAAGATACTAAGAGTACTAATCCGAAATCAATTGTGGAAAAATGATTTTTTGTTTGCATGTTACTTTTCAATGTCATTTGCTGGCTGGCCACAATGATATGCAGTATTTGGATATATAATACAAGAATATATTCACGCTTCAAAGCAATTTTTCTCCTGGAATTGGAAGATTATTCAATTTTATCTGCATCTGAAAAGCCAGTGAGTCCGTCACCAGCTAATACCTGGTGGGATAATAGTTGAGCAGTAAATCATCCCTGATGAAACCTACCAGCGGGCACCTCCTGACCGCACATGATTTGCGTTTAATAACTGTAGGAACTAAAAAATGGCCCGGCAAACAAATATTAGTATTTATTTGAGTTATGTGTTTTATCCAGAAGTGGGAATAAGGATTCGCGCTAACCGGTACTTGCAATGTTATCCCGATCAAATTGGCACCTGAACACAGCTGACCGCCAGCATTACCATGCATTTAACGATACGAAAGTTATGTACCGTACCCTGTGAGATTTCTGCAACGTGTGTCACGTTCCTTCCGAAGTGACATACATAATTTTTTTGGAAGAGGGAACCCGTTGTTAGTGAACACAATACAAAATAGAACTCGTTCTTTACATTTCGAATCCCACCTGCGGTTATAAATTCAATGTTAAACGACGATCCGTACGCCGGCAATTTAGTCTACATGCCCCTATTGACCATGTAAATGTAGTCGTTCAGATACGTTTGCGAAGCCACATTCAAGGAAATTATTTGAAGAGGAAAAAAAAACAGGAATCTTTATTCACCTTGCCTATCCACAAATGAAATATATAAACAACCAATGTAATTAATCGTTTGTGTCCCCTAATTGACACTGTGATAGGTAATTGTCCAAACAAATTAATGCGCTTGGTGATTCGTGTAGTTTATGTACGGTCATGCGAGTCAGTCCCAGCTTGCATACGGAGTACATACCGTGTAGAACATGGGTGGGCAACTTCTCTAGTCGGCGGGCCAGATGTGAGAAAATGAAGTCCTCGGCGGGCCGGATTATTACAAAAAATACTTCGGTATCAAATCTTTGTTAAATGCTCGACACTCTCTGTCAATTTTACGTTTCTTGGGATATTTCATGGTTAAAAAACCTAATATTAATATAAAATCTAATTTCTCAAATCTATTTATATTTAGAATCTGAATATAAATATAACTGATAACAGTAGTGAGGAATGTTTCCAACACTCTCTGCGTTTGTTTAACAAGTTTGCTAACTCAATAGACCTTCCTCCGATCATCAACTTCCCTGTTTAATTCGTGACATTGGCCAATCAGCAAGAAGCAAAAAGTGACGTAACAGTGCTCTCTTTTCGCATCCGCACAGACACTTTTTGGACACGTAGTGGACATAGCGATCGTTTCAATATTATGTTGTTGTTGTTCTTGTTCTTTGACACGTTTTTAAAAAGTCGCTTTTCTCTTTGATTACTGGACCAATTGCTTTGAAATTTTCAGTGGTTGAAGATAAAAATTTTCTTATTATTACAAAAAATACTTCGGTATCCAATCTTTGTTAAATGCTCGACACTCTCTGTCAATTTTACGTTTCTTGGGATATTTCATGGTTAAAAAACCGAATATTAATATAAAATCTAATTTCTCAAATCTATTTATATTCAGAATCTGAGTATAAATATAACTGATAACAGTAGTGAGGAATGTTTCCAACACTCTCTGCGTTTGTTTAACAAGTGTGCTAACGCAATGGACCTTCCTCCGAGCATCAACTTCCCTGTTTAATTCTATTACTTTTTTTTCTGCAATGACGTCATCAGAATTATTGCCCTTAGGGGGCGCTACGTGTCCATATATTTGAGCATAGCTCTCTTGTAGGGTTAGTTCGGATACCTATAATTTTCACTATCCGGATAACGGATATATCCGGGTATTCCGTATTTTAAGTATACGGTTAACCGGATAGTTACTGCTGATTTTAGAGAACCGATTTCGCAGGATTTTCGCAGTGAATTGAACGAATAACACCACACAGTTCTGTTGTAAATACTCACATATGTATTATTTTTCTTGAATATGAATTATTGTGCATTTTAATATTGCATGTGTCAATAAATAATAATTTAAGCTCAGTAGTCGTACCGATGTACAGCGGAATAATACAATGAAACATTTTTTGAAAATATTGTGTCCTAATTTTTTTTTCCCCCAACTGCTGAGTTATTTTCCCTATTCAAATAATATGTAAAGATTTATATTATTTCTACTTTATTGTAAAGTTTTTTAAAAGTTTCTTTTTGTGTCTAGAGCCTCTTTTCTTTAAATTTTGACTCGTACTAAATTTTAGTGTCGCAGACTCACAATGATCATTTCTGATCATCCGCACCTTCCTATCAATTGCAATGAAATTTAATATTGTCATGTATAGTATTTTGTTTTCTATAATATTTGGTGATTTCTTGCACGACGAAATAAACTTTGTTGATATATACCACAAGAGCATACATATAAATGAAATCATGAACACAAAAATCGTGCATTTCGAACATTTTATTTCGGTGAGAGAAGTATCCAAAAAATAGAATATAGGGGGAACAAATTCCGTGAAGTGTATAGGAAAATATAAGTCATTTGAACAAAAATTTTAATAACAAAGCAAATTGATAATTATGAAAAAACCGAAGTGGTCAGAAATTTCTTCTAATTTGAAAACTTCACTTATTTAACATGTCACTGTAAATATTCTCACGTTTGTACTAATTAGGCCACAACTTTAAATCTATTTCCATTCGAATACCTTTTAAACTAAATTAACAGAGCCAAAACAATGCTGCGCCAGTTTTTGAACAACTTTACTTATCACCCTAAATGAGTAAACGAAAAACATGACACGATACAGAGTCTGTCACATTAAACTTTTCTGAAATATTATAGACCATTTTGCAAACAAATTTGTTTGTGAAAGTTCCATGAAAACCATAAATGTAATAACAGCCTTTCCTCCTCATTTTGAAATTTTCGAAAACGTCACTAATAAAGGCGGTCGAATTTTACAGGCTAATTGTATTATCATCGCCGATCGTTTTCTTCCGCATCGCGTTATTATTTGGGGAATTAACATCGGCATTATGCCAGTTTTAATTTGAAAAGAAGTTACATCCCGTGAAAAGTTACCCTTGTTGTAAATTCAGTAAATACGATTATTACGAAATTTTGGCGATTCAACAGCGCCTAAAATAGAGTCTTGTTTTATCTATCACTGGCTCATAAATCAAGAGTCGTGGTATTTTCGTTAGCATTCAATTCCTTATTGTCAGTCAAAAATGTGTGTTTCAGATCTACTCTCTTAACGATAGATAGATACGACGATAGATAACATACTGCGGCCATTTCAGTTCCGGGCGAAATAAAACAATTATCGGCGTTATATACCGACGAAACTGAACCCGACTTTTCTCCCGAAAATGTTGATATATAACTATAAGCTAATTAATATCTGCATTTATTGTACTAAATAAATTATACCCATTGGAATTGCAATAATAGCTCAAATTTGATGAATTTTCAAGATAGCAAAAATAGGAAATTGGATTTGTTCGTGCAGCTTACCATTTATTTTCATATCTAGAGTAGAAATGCTTTTATTTTAGGGTAAGTCGGGCTCTTCTATACTGCAAATACGCAATAATCACATTTTTCTGCGTGTTTTGTGATGTAATACTATAGTCAAGTTCACTCCAGCATTACACGGATGACTAAAATATGCAGAGTGGTGTGGATATAAGTGAATATTATATGCTCTAAGAGATGTCATTGGCCACTCAACAAAAAATATAAAAAAATCACTAATGCGCATATGCATTATTTATACTGCTCTATTATCCGGTTAACCGTTACAATAATATCCGGTTATCAGATAGCAAAATACCTCTTGGTTAATCGATTATCCGGTTAACCGCTATCCGGATAATCCAACCCTACTCTCTTGTTTCACTCAGACAGATTTTCAGGCGTGGTCGTAAACATTACCTCGTTTTCGCGTTTTTGAAACTCGTATTCGTTAGTTTTCAGTTGTGTTTCGGAAATTTGAATATAAATCAGATAATTCAATGAGCACTCTGTTTTCCCAAAGTTTTAATTTAATTGCAGTAATAAAAAATTAGTGTAGAAATAACTGTGATAGACTAGGCCAAAATTCTTTACCGGTAGGCCTACTTTTAAAAAAACATATTGTTGTATGCGATGAATCATAATGATGGTTTCAAACACAGACCCCATTTTACAAGCGCCAACTCGCGAAACCACTCTTAAAATAAGCCCCGACAATTTTGCAATGGTAAAATATAGGAAGACTTTTTCGGGGGTCAAAGGTCGGGGATTGTTGCATTGTTTGTTCGCTAAGACAATTTTTTATTTCCCCAGCTCGCACTGACAGTGCGGTGAGAGTAGAGCGATCGGCAATTTTCAGGAATGATGCGTCGGACCACATTACAGAGTGTGGTTGGATACAGTCGGCGGGCCGGTCAAAATTTCGTCGCGGGCCGTATGTTGCCCACTCCTGGTTCCCCACGGCTTCCCTTCCCCAGTAAAATTATGTTCTTGAATTTTTGCTTATTTTTTGCATCATTTATTATTTTACTGGTTGGAAAAAATAAACTTGACTATGACTATGACTATGACTATGAACCATGCCATCACAGGCTTGAAATCAATTGCCATTTTAGTAAGAATAAGTTATTATTTATAAGACTGCTTAGTATTATGGCCTCTGCACTCGTCCGGTTATCAGTTCATTTCGGGTATGAAATTAGTTAACCAGTTAAATATATCAGACCACACTTACGTGAACCACGCTACGGCACCCCACATGATTGTCCTCCACGGGATACGAACCCAGATAGCTGCGATGGGAAGCGTATTCCAACTTGTAGCGCGATGGGCCACCTGCCGAGTGAGTACATCGGCGAGTACGAAAACAACTGGAAATCCATATCTGCAACAATATCTTAAATTGAAAATTGCATTTAGCGTGTATAAATACATCCGGAGAATAGTACTTTTCACTGTATATCGTATCAGACTCGGAGAAAGAGAGAAGATTTCGTAACATATGCCGTGTTTCCCCGAAATTAAAACCTACCCTGAAAATATTTTAAAAATGATCATAATATAAGCCCTCCCCTTAAAATAAGACCTAGTCAATAAAGCGAAATTTTTTTTTGACCTAGTCGGTAGCAAGAAATCTCTCCTACACCTTTTAAATGATTGATAATCTATGTTTTGCATTTTTTTTAATAAAAACATGTTATTTCTAAGTAAATGGATATTGCTTTTCTTAATTTGTATATTTGAAAATCTCGTAATTCTCTAATCTATAATTTTGGTTTTGATAAATAAAAATATAAGATATACCCCGAAAATAAGCCTAGTGTTATTTTTCGGAAAAAATTTAAATAAGACTCAGTCTTATTTTCGGGGAAACACGGTAGCACCAGAGCCATAATGGCTATGGTAACACTGTCAAATAACTCCGGCGTGTTTTCTCTCGGGAACTTGCAAGTCGTTGATAATAACGATGTACGATTAATTGACATGTTCTCCATAACACCCCATTCGTGGTTCCAAGCCAACTGCGCATATTCTTGCACAGTAGTAGAGGAATAAATGCTACACTCTTTAGAGACGCTGGTACAGTCCCTATTAAATTGGTCTTTGGGGGTATATAAATTCGTATGTCGTCACACTCAACGCCTTTACTGTTTATTGAACCTCTTTAACATAATTTGCTTTGATATTGCAGGTTGATAAACTTATGTTACGATTCGGGCTAAAATTGTCGCAGTAAAATTGTGTGCTCGTTTCCATTGTCAAACATGTATCTTGTTGTGGTTGAATAATTAATTAAATGGTGTGTAGGAATAAATAATGATTAAATAACAACCCAGAAGAATATTGGACATACAACTATGTATTAAAACACATGTTTTCTGGTGTATTGTTGCCCATTGCCTATCGTCCTGTTACCCGTTCATGTCGGGTATGAAAATTGTTAACACGAGCTATATGCGTGGATTGGTGGTGGAGGAAGCCGTAACCGTCGAGTGGTGGAATGTATGTTATTCAAACTTGTGGTATTTCATCCATCCATGCTAATCAAAACAATATGTCATTATCTGCATATTTAAACATATGAGTATGATATGAAGTATATATATTGATCTGCACGAAGGTGCGAGGGATAATCCTTCTTGGCCAGCTGTGACACAACTGACGTTGCCAAATGTGCCAAAAACTGATGTTAGACAACAACTGTCGCTGCGATGTTGAAACGCGCGATGTATCGCACATCTATACTGGACGTGGATATATATATATAAGTATTACTACATATGGGATATTATCTCAGATCGAGTCATTAATCGCTGGTTTTAGGGAACTGAGCAGAACTGCCCGTAATTCATTCGAATTTGAGGATGGTAAAGGAAACGAAGTTGTACGATATTTTGTGTGTGAATCCGAGCGCCTCGCAAGATGAAATAAAGAAGTCCTACCGCAGACTAGCATTGAAATTCCATCCGGATAAGAATCCAGGCGCCGGAGAGAAATTCAAAGACATATCGTACGCTTATGAAGTTCTTTCTGATTCTACAAAGCGACAGGCGTACGATGAAGGCGGCGAGGAAGGTCTGAAGAAAGGGAGCGGTAGTGGATTTCATAATCCAAGCGATGTTTTCAACATGTATTTTGGGGGTGGCGGAGGGCGACGAAACCAACCAACCCGCGGAAAAGATATTGTACATCGCCTGCAGGTTTCATTAGAAGATATGTACAACGGCGCTACTAGAAGGCTGTCTCTGAAAAGAAATGTAATCTGTTGTGATTGTAGCGGACGTGGTGGAAAAGAAGGTACAATACAGACGTGCAAATATTGCCGGGGAACTGGGTTCAAAGTTCAAATAAAACAAATCGGTCCTGGAATGGTGCAGCAAACACAGTCACAATGCCGAGATTGCAATGGCGAGGGGGAGTTTATTCATGACAAAAATCGCTGCAAAGAATGCAATGGGAAGAAAACAATTAAACAAAACAAAATTCTAGAAATTCATGTAGACAAAGGAATGAATGAAGGACAGAAAGTCACATTCCACGGAGAAGCGGATCAAGCACCAGACATGGAACCAGGCGACGTTGTTATTGTGATAATGCAAAAAGAACACGATATATTCAGAAGACAAAAACAAGACCTCATTTACAAAATGGGTCTGACTTTAACGGAAGCACTTTGCGGTTTCAAAAAAGTCATTCGTGCTTTGGATGGTAGAGAAATTGTGATCTCGTCACCCCGTGGTGAAATTATCAAGCATCTGGATACCAAATGTGTTATGGAAGAAGGGATGCCGGTTTATCGGGACCCTTATCAAAAAGGTAGACTCATAATCCAGTTTAGCGTTGAGTTTCCCCAAAGTGGCTGGGCTTCAGAGGCGGATATTATAAAATTAGAAAGTTTATTGCCGGAAAGGGAGATAGAACTTATTACCCACGAGATGGAAGAAGTGGTTTTATCAGAATTTGATCCCAATGCCAAGTTTCATACAGCAAAAGAAGCGTATGAAGAGGACGAGGAAGACGGATGTCCACGCGGCGGAAAAACCATGGAATGCCAAACCCAATAGATGCCGTAGTTTAAATGTTTTATGAAAACAAATAAAAGATTGACTTTTTATGTCATCAAAGTAAGCAAACGAGCCTTGCTTCACTAATACAAACTTCGGAATTCAATTTTTTCTAGTGGTTTGGAATTGATCAAACTGATCATAGAGTTGTGCTTTTTTAACGCATTTTTAAACCTATTCACTTCATTTTTCGAAAATGTATATATATATAATACAATTTATGATCCTCAACATTATACAGTACTTTCAATGTTTTGTGAAAAATTGTCATTTCTTCTATTTTTTTTTAAATTTAGAATACACTAAATTGGCCGGTTATTCCGTCGGGAATGGTATCCCCCATTAGCTATGTTTAAAGTAGGCAAGTCTATTAGAACATGAGTATATATCAGTCAATCATTTCATGATTTGCTGCGTTTAAGTCACGTATTGAAGTAAAGAACTTCCAAGATCATTACAAATGCCGTTATTAGAGTGCCTGGAGGTAATTTCTGGCAACTGAACAATTTCTAAATCACTCATTCTGTTCGCCCCCACACAAATAGTAAGAAAATCATCGATTATCGAGAAAGATATATCGCACGATCAACTCTCATATCCTATTTATAATATCACGTAATATATACATGTGGCGAGAACGATTTATTCTACTCGATCATATAAGCATATATATATGTTAATCCCTGTCGTAATCCTTGATAGTTTAATTCAATATCCACTTGGGGAGTAATGATTTACTGAATATTTGAAATGGCTGGCGTAATATTTTGATTCTATTATTTGTGCTTGAACTCAAACACAATCGCTAACACAAATTACGTAATCACTGTTGCGCTGCATAATCAGCATGGGTGACACGGGTTCGGATCCGATAGTAGATGGTCATATTGGCCGATGGTCTCTTCTTCGTCGCATTCTGACCTAACCGCTTGAGAGCGTTTCCGTTTATGATCGGAACATGACAGTAACATCCTAAAAAAATACTTTATACAGTTGCTAATGAGCTAATGGCGCCCCATGTTAATCTTACTGAGATATATGGGCTATCTCGGGCTGTGCATTTCGAATCGATTCAGACAGAAATTTTGAATCGTCGCGATCATGTTTTGTTTTATTTTCGCTAAAGGTCAAGATCAATTCCTCAATTTTTTGTGAATCCTCCGTCAGCTCTTTTCGACCGCTGTTTTACTTTCAATTCTGATCTGACAGTCCCATCTGAACATGTATGGCAGAGTTATGAACTCTATGTTTTCACTAATTTATGTGTTACCCATTACAATACAAGAGCCACAAACGATTACGCGTTGCATTAATTTGAACAGCTTCTAAGTGTTCGCGATTCGATTTGGTTCATATCCAACTATATTGAAAATAGGTATTTCATGAAACCATAGGTCGTTAAACGCCCATTTGTAACACACTCGCGAAAGTAATTGACGTAGGCCCTATATATATATAAAATATTACTTTTCATGTGGAAGAGATGTGATAAATATTCGCCCAGCTAACATCGGGCAGTGGTGGGGATAGTGGAGACGGGGTTTTTAATGTCTGGCATGTACTTCAACATAAACATCGCATCGGATCAAATTAAAAATTTCAATTTGGCATATTAAACGTTGCAAATGTATGACATTATCCTATATTCATTATAGGCGCTTACGTATATTTTTTAGCAGTTCAAAGAAGGCAAACATTTACTTAAATCTGATTCTCCATTGCAATATATTTAATCACTTCCTTGTTTCCATTCGGAAACAATCAACCTCATGGTATGCTTCTATGACCAGCAATACTGCATCAGGTCATGGTATTTGACATTATTTTTACGTAAATGAAGAAAAAGATTATTGAAATTTGTCAGCAAATGCATTGAGGTCCATCATTACCATGATCTGTCTTTATTTGTTACTTTGTCTTCTCCTTTCTTGCAATCGACGGTCCCATCGCGCAAAGACGTTTTTTTTGTAGTCATTGAAACAAGACCGTAAAACATTGGTCTGCAAATGCCGAAAACTGCGGCATAATATTGCTGAACAGTTAAAAATTTCCTAACTTGTACGACTGTACATCTGACAAGCAATAGAGTAGTAAGTCTACTACTCTGCTGCTTTTGCCGCAAATCAGAAGTACTTAAAACTTTCAGATCAAAGGCGGTAACGCTAGAATAACTTCTATCTATTCTATATTTTTCTCCGACATACAAACTCAGCAATATGACCTGCGGTTCAAATCACGACACAACTATAATTTTAGCAATGACTCATTTATTTACACATTTCTTGTATTAAGCTGACGAAGCACTCAAAACATTTTTGTCATACAGAAAAAAAGAAAAGATACATTTGTCAGACAGAAATAGCCTCCCCTGCACGGAGGCATACGCATATGACTATGAAATATAAATGCCTGTTCAATATCATCTCCATAGATTTCTCACAATTATGCCGTCTTGTCCTTTGGAGCTTCTTCTCTTACTGAATATGAAAATAACATTTTTTATAAAATTATAATAGTTGAAAAAAATGGCGATAATTTTGAAGTGATGAAACATGACCGTATTACTCCAAATACCAAAATATGTTCTATATATATAATATGTATGAAAACTAAGTTTACGGTCAAATTAAACGAAACAACATTTAAAGGTAAAGTAAATTACCAAAATACTTCCGAATTCATTATTTAATTAGTCTTGTAAATTACACTGCTTATTTTATTGGAATAGATAAAAGTTATCACTTACGTTTCTGACAATTGTCACTAAAATCCCAATGAACAAAAGGACTAAAATCGGGTTGGGTGGCCAGTATTTCTCCTGTTTCCGGGTGAAGGCAGTAACAAGTAAATAGTCCTTCATCCTCACATTTCATGGCACTAAACAGGCCATTCTCATCACATTCTGTTAAAAAAAAACAGCATTTTTTATTGAACAAAAATTTTTGCGATATATTGGAAATATTGCGTTGTGAAATATTGTAGATGTTATCGTTTTTAGCAGTTAAAAGGATTCCGAGGATTATGGTGTTTCAATTATAATTTTCCTGTTATAAAATCATAACAACAGTTAAAATTTTGAGCATATTATATGTAGGGCTGGGCAAAATATTCGAATAACGAATAGCGAATCGAATATTAAATTATTCGAATGGCATTTTACTATTCGAATATCGGGTACCACGTGATCTGCGCCGCCTCGCTTAGACACAGAACGTCTCTGAACCGATCGTGAATTGCGCGAGAATTCACCTACAACGCTCGCTAACAGACAAAAGCGCTAAATTTGAAATATCGTCTTCGCGTTGTGGTGTTATTTGTTTTCTTTGCGTTTCAATCGTTCATTTCAATTCCCTATTTTGCAAAACAAGGTACCGACACCGTATCCTAAATTTAGAAACGTCCAATCAGATGAGATATTTAAAATAAATTTTAAACTCCGTATGATTGCCGTTTCATGCATGAACCAAAACATACATTTGTTTAACGAAAATTAAAAGTTGAAATAACTTTCGCATTAAACCATACATAGTATAACACGAACAAGCTATGACCAGTAAAGAAATGGCAGGACATAATTCTTTTAATGTACCTACAAATTAATTCTTCAGTGATCCCTTTCATTCTTGACCAAGTAATGTTTCGAAAATGTAAACATTTCACTCGGACATGCATGGCGGGTGGAGTTTAGAAATCATAACGTAAAATCGATCGTGAATTTCGATGTAACAACGCGCACTGTCTCGTTCACGAATTGTTGTATCATCGGAAATGATTACATTCGTTATATTTTGAGCATATTTGCACTAATAAATAGGGCGTGACATTATCAAAATCGTCAAGAGAAGTAAAATTGAACTCGCAAATTCCGTAAAAAAAAATTTGTATTACTCGGTAACGATATTAGATATAATGATCGCGGGGTTTCTTGAAAGAAAACGTCGGAACTTGGAAGAGTTAGTTATAATTAGCGCCTGGACATCTATTGGGCACAAAAGTACAAAAGCGCAATTTTTTTCATCAATGGGTCGCATATGTAAATTATTATTCAAGGAGCGCTGTTTATTAGCGTCATCTCGTCGTATGGCCATGCAGAAATGCCTTTATTGTCGAATATTTAGTCACTATTTTAAATCAACATTCGGGATTGACGCAATCGCAGCTTTGCGAGGTTTATCTGTAAAGTAACATAGACACCATAGAAAAGCATAAACAAGGTAATTACGGTATTGTCTTAATAAATATCTGCATCCCGTTATCGATAATACAATTACCGTTTGCTTAATATTGTGACGGTAAATTTACAAACGTTGATAAGTGATATGAAAGCCAACGCAAATGATAAAAATTAGAATAATATTAATTTGGGCTTGAAATCAATCCTCAATTTGTTTAACAGCTGTTGCCGACGTGAACGCACGGGTAAAACCGAAATATAAACTTCGATGTCCGCCGACCCGAAAGAATTAATACTTGCAAAAAACAGAAAGGACGGTAATATAGATTATATATCGCCGCAAAAACGGTTACGGTGACAAAAACAATCAGCGATTATGACGAAATTAACCAGTAAAAAAACGCTTTGTATCCGATTTTTCAATGTCTTTAATAATTTCCAAAGGGATTATGGACCTCGCGTTGTGTATAAAAAATGTTCGTTATTCGACTATTCGGTATTCGTTAAAAATATTCGAATTATTCGATTCGAAAAAAATATTCGATTTTGCCCACGCCCTAATTATATGTGTCAATTTTCTATCAAATTCTCATTTGAAAATCAAACTTTGAATCAAGAAAATTTGCATTTCCTAGCATCCATCTTCACAATCGCATGCAGAACACAACAGAAATATATACCTGGAAGAGGTGTAGTAGACTCGCGAATAGCTTTTTCATGTGCTAGTATACAAGGTGCATCAGCCCGGTGGGGATGGAGGAGGAATAGTTGGCCTGTCAGGCACAGAGACGGCACTGCAAAATAATTATCGGGAAACCAAATGAGAAATTCTACCAAAAATGAAAATTGCATTGCATCATAATATTTTTTATCAAACCGTTGGCGTACAATTTCCAACGTTAAATTTATTTTTTACCCAACTTCACCCGTGCAACCAATGCATCACGTTTTGTTTCCAATCGGAAACAATCATTCTCATGGCATGCCTCAATAACCTGCAATGATTGCCAAGGTCAGGGTATTTGACTTATTTATATTTATGATTTGTATAAAAATATTTCCTATCTCCAGTTTAAGATAAATTTTTGTTATTTCATACTTTTTTTCGACTTGCAAATGCATTAAAGTCCTATCATTACCATGACCGTCCTCATTTTTTACTTCGTCTTCTCCTTTTCTGCAATCAGCGGTCCCATCACACAAAGATGTTTTTTCAAGGCAAGCTTGATACGCTCCTTTTCCTCTTCCATTCATGCATTGGAACGAATATGCATCGCAGTCTAAAATTATGAAATCGTATTTAGTATTTTGCACGTATCTGAAGAAATGATATTTTACAGACAAATATTGAAACAAATATATATATATATATATATATATATTTGCTTAATGAGAAGGCAATAGATTGTAAGCAATATACCATAATTTGGTCACAGTTATTGACAGTTTACTCACCGGTATAGAAGTCCATAGAACGGAGGGCTGAAAACTTTTTCTTGTTATAAATAACCAATTCATAAAGACTTCCGGGTTGCAAAGAATTCGCAGCATTGATTTCGTAATATCCTCCTTCTTCCATATCCGATTTCACAAAGTCAGCTACGTAGTCAGAGGGTGCGTCTGCCAGAAACTAAAATATATATTTTGAAAATATATAAAATTAAACAAAAAATTCGTTATGATATGTTGGATGCTGCAAATTCACCGGAATATATAGGATAGGCCAAGGGTGGGCAACATACGGCCCGCGACGAGATTTTGACCGGTCCGCTGACTGTCATCAGTACATTATGATATTACAATATTACACTTTTAGTACATTATAATAAATTCATTATGTGTATTTTGGTCTCTATTTTTTGTAGTTTAAACTTTACTTTAAACGCGATTTATAATTTTCTTTCTTGCATTAGCGAATAAATATGTGATTAAGATATTGAATACTATTCATGTTATAATCCGGCCCGCCGGGAACCTCATTTTCCCACATCTGGCCCGCTGACTAGAGAAGTTGCCCACCCTGGGATAGGCTATTAAATTATGAATTAAAACATTCTCACTCAAAACGTGCTATTTATCTACAACAACAGAATTAGTTGTGAGAATAATATGACTGCAAAATATGGCCTTGATTCATTTTTTAGTCAAAAAATCTTGTGTTTAAAAATTATTTTTATCTTATACTGATTCGCTTCTCTCAAAACAGCTTACAATCTGACAATTTATTTACGATATATTCGCCGACTTGCAAGCTATGATCATATTTACATTTCGTTAACCACTATCATCGTTTTTCTGGCAATGCAAAACAATGAGTTCAATCACCTTTACAGAGATGCTCACGAAGAATGCCTTAACCCTCTTGTATTGTGGAAAACGAGCAACAAATGAAGTCGAATTTTTCTGAAACACACAACATAATATAGAGACATGACTATTTTGATTGTAAGACATAGGCTACATATAAATTTAAATTAACACAAACTGCTCCTCACCGATACAATTTCTATGTCAATTCTTTTCTTTCTTCTCGCTTTCTTTGCAGTAACAGTCGCCAGTAAAACCACCAAAATGAAAAGTTTTAAATAATTCATAGTTACGAACCTACAAAACTTATTGCATGAATTAAAAATCGCTTTCTATATTTGTATTTTATCGATAGCACCACTGAAATTGGTACATAGAACCAATGCTTGCACACAGTTAATAAATAAAAAAGGGAACATCCGTGTTTCACGCTGAATGCAATCCTATCTGAAACAAGAGAGCTATGCTCAAATATATGGACACGTAGCACCACATAATTTCGATGACGTTAACACAAAAAATAATAGCCCTCCAGCAAAAAATATAATCTTTACTCACTGATAATTTCAAAGCAATTGGTCCAGTAATCAAAGAGAAAAGCGATTGCTTCAAAACGTGTCAAAGAACAACAACAACCTAATATCGAAACGATCGTTATGTCCACTACGTGTCCAATAAAATACAATGGTATGTTTTCAGTCCGAATATGTTAATTCGGTCAAAAAGTCAATAGTCCATTTGCGACTGGTGTCCGGAAAATATCAACAAAATAAATCAATCGACTCTCTTGATTTTCTTGCGGTGGCCATCGGAAGTCAACAATGCAATAAATTGATACGTTTTGTGCCAAATATTAGTACAGTAGTAGTTTACCCAATGAAAACTCAAATTTTCAATTCTTGTTTTACAATATGTTAAAATTTTGTGCACATTTCAAGGAAAATGATAAATATGGTCGGAGTGGTCGCTATTTATTAGGATTCATCACAAAAAAATCAATTCACGCCCAGCACGACTTATCGGAAACGTGATAGTTACTGCGATGACGCACTGACTAGCAATACTCAACTCTCGGAATCTGGAGAAAGTATCTTAATAATAATGCCCGCAGGTAACAGCTAAAACGGCCAAATTTGCGTAATCGAATTTATTCCAGTCAAATAAGTAATTTTAGACTGACTACCGTAAATGATATCGAAATTATCGTGTTCTTCTTCGCCAGGTAGCCAGTATAATTTTGTGTGGGTAACTTGGTAATATTTTGCTTCGTGAGCGTCGTTATATTTTTCTAGTTATTTCTTACGAATAGTACTTAACTCACATAAACAATTCAACCATAAAGTGTAATTGACAGTAAGTTCATTACTTATCCCAATGAGCATATATACAATGAGTGGAAACTTCCAAATATATATTTGCTCATTAATCCAATGTGTCCTGCATTCTTACGTCACCCAGCTAAATGGTTCGTTGCATATGGTGAAAGCATATCGTTCACTGCAAAAATCCCTTGTTTCAGCTAGGCCGGGTACGAAATTGGCCGTATTGAGGCTACTAATTTTTCGATTCGTGTTCGGTTTTGGGTTTCGAAGTATGGTACGTTGAAAGCATACTAACTAGGAGCATATGCATATTGGGAATGCATATCTATTAGGCAGAAAACGTAGCTACAGAACAGAATATGAATCAGTCGCCACTTGGGGTGCGGTTATTACTGTATTTATTCATTGATATAACATGGGACTTACATATTTATCCAGGGGGGAGGGGGAAAGCCGAAAGCCTAAATATATGGCGAACCACGGCCTCTAATTACGATGAAATTAGAACAGTGCACCAAAAGTTCAGTCCACGACGGCGTGAGACGTGGAATAAATTAAAAACAAAGCGCCGTTCACAGCGAAATTCCACAGTTACTTGTAGCTCGCCTATGTTTTCTTGACGGTGTTTGGTGAATACAGTATATACAAACACACGCACGCGTGTAGCGCCGATCGAATACATGAAATGTGGAACTTTTACTTGGAATTTAATGCTAATAAAGTTGATTTTTTATTGTCATTCAATGATTATTTACATGCGCCGTGATTAGTGGTGAGTAAAATCGTATTTTTTTTATATAAAATTATTCGAATATATTAACGAACATCGGCGAAGATGTTAAAGACAACGATTAAGGAATATATTCACGACAAAAATTAATTTCATTCTGATTTTTATCTTTAGTGTAGGATTTGTATCATAGTTACGGTCCCAATTCGATATTTGTGAAGCTGATAGTTGACATTTTTATGTTTTGATTTCATATCGTTTCCGTGTTACTTTCGTATATAATAATGAAATAAAATCCGCAAATTGGTAATCTCTTGAATACTAGGTGTTGAGTATTCACGTAACTCAGCTTTCGTTTAAAACACGTGAATAAATTATCAACAAGAGAGCTATGCTCAAATATATGGACACTTAGAATAAAACGAAATATATTATCAATACTTCACCGAAAACCATCGGATACTCTACGAGTCTACGGCATACGCCTTCGGTACGGTATCCTGCACGAATCTACATGGCTATGGTAACTGACTTAGTAGTACTTGGGTACAAATAACGGTACAGGGACTGTCATAGCCCTTCCATGTCCTGTGGTAATGATTTATGTTGTTTACATCAGAACTGTAACGAAAAGATGAGAGCGTAATTCACAGAGGTACCGTACGGTACCTTACCAGTACCTGTTGCCTGTACTGTAGGCATGCTATTCGATCGTGGAACGGTTCTTCTCTGGCATATAAAAACTCAATTCAATTTGCTCTTATCAAAATTAACATATACGGTAGGTTAGATTTGACAGAAAATCTACATTTGACATTACTGCAATAGTAAGATCGCGGAAGGAACAAGAGAGCAATGCTCAAATATATGGACACGCAGAACAATTCCCCAAAAATCATATGCGGTGACCAACGACTAACATACCGGCGGTGACTTACCAGTACCTGTATCGGGGTACCGTGACGGTACAGGGACTGTCATAGATATTTTAGGTCCTGGGACAATTGAAACATCAGTTGAAATATCTCGTGATATGAGTCAATTATGTACCGTATTATCGGATCAGGTACCGAACCACAGTCAAACATTTCAGATAAAAACGTTACTAAATAACATGCGTCAACTTAACACCAGCCGAATCGGGGTACAATTTTTGGTACAGTGACTGTCATAGCCGTTAGGGCTGATGGACAATTCGACTACACGGACAACTCACCAGGCCTAGGGTGGTGTAGCCAGTCTGCGGACAATTTCATTCAAACCGCTATAAAACAAAAACCAATATATCTAACCCGTTAATTTTTCACCGTGGTGCATTGGCGCATTTATTCTACACGCTAAACCTCGTATTAACTTTCTACGACAAAGGGTTGAAGCTATACAAACCCCCAAAGTACGGCACTCGAAAGACGTATTTGCGACCGAACGACCAGTGTGCGACCACGGATTTCAAGCCTTGATCATCGTTTATGCTGCGTCGAGACTATCGCATACGCAGCCATACAGCAATCAAACAGACAAAACACGTGGTCGCAAATTGGTTGACAATTGTTGTCTGTGACAGCGTGAAAACATTGGGCTTCTAATTGCATTTCTGAACCGTCATATATTTCCAAGAACACGGTTATTTCAAAACAAAACCTCGTTAAATTATAAACAAAGCACCACATCACAGCAATCAAACAGACGAAACACGGTGGCCGCAAATTGGTTGACAAAGATATATCGACGTATCGGAAATGCACACCCCCTATTCCCCCTCCTTCAAATGTAGAAACGCGAAACTTTCAAATATTGGTTAAAAGAAACACAACTCTACCCACCTGCAAGTTTCATCTTTTTATTTCTCATATTGTATGGATTTTCAAGCTTTTGACAGCTACGAGTTAGTTCAGTGTCACCGCGCTGTGTTACGGTACCTCCTGTCTTGTGACAGCGTGAATTGAAATTGCAAGATGGTCCGTTGGACACAAAATGGCGTCCGATATCCTCAGAACGTTTAGTGACGTCATAGCAAACAAAAACAAATCTTACAGAGCTAACAGAAATATTTGAAATAAATAAAGTAATACCTTCTGGAGAAAATTTCATCTTCAACCACTGAAAATTTCAAAGCAATTAGTCCAGTAATCAAAGAGAAAAGCGACTTTTTAAAAACGTGTCAAAGAACAAGAACAACAACAACATAATATTGAAACGATCGTTATGTCCACTACGTGTCCAATAATGGCATTTCTACGTGGTCAAAATATTATTTCTCCACAATATCTCGGTAAATTTGCATAGAGTACATTATTCACATGCCTTGCTTATCTGATTCAACGTTTCTGAATGTACAAAAACGATGTTGACGCGATTTACGAAAAATTAGAAATTGAAAAATATGATGGCACAAAAATGAAACAAAACAAAAAATTCTCACATTCATCGCTTCTGCCTGTTGGCGATAGCCGTCGGTAAATTTTACGTAACTCGTTGTGAATTAATGTTAATAAATTCTATTTTGCTTTTCAATGCTCCCTGCTTTGTATTAAAATAAAAGAGAACCGGGAAGAGAATGTCCTGAAATTAGCTTATAACCCTTTTTTCATTTTGAACGCCCATAACGGCGGTTACATACGCGTTACTGAATAACAATCAACAATCACACATTTTTATTCATCATTATCAGCGCCAACTAAAACGACCCATGTAAAAGGGGACGTGGGGCATTGTATTCGTTAATATAGGATGGGTTTAACATATTTACCCAGGCGGAGAAGAAAGCCAATTCCCTGCTATTCTTCTAATTTTTGTCTTCGTTTTTAATGTCAAGATATCCCAGACTGCCAGAGTAATTAAAAATCGGGGAGCCTGGAGGTTTGTATGGAGCACCTTATAGACTATGATTGCGAGAAGCCGTGGTTCGTCATATATTTAAGCCTTCTTATCGCCTTTCTTTTCCCTTGGATAAATATGTACCTAAATTCCATGCTATAATCAGAAATAACCGCACTTGACTTCATATTCTGTGCTGTAGCTACGTTTCATGCCTAATAGATATGCATTCCCAATAAGCAATTGCTCATAGTTAGTATGCTTTCAACGTACCATACTTCGAAACCCAAAACCGAACACGAATCGAAAACATAAAAGCCTCAATACGGCCAATTTCGCACCCGCCGTGGCCGAAGCAAGGGATTTTTGCAGCGAGCGAAATGCTTTCTCCATATGCAACGAACCATTTAGCTGGACGACGTAAAAAATGCAGGGTACCATGGATTAATGAGCAAATATTTGGAAGTTCCCACTCGTTGTATATATGCTCATTGCTTTTCCGTAGCATTTCCTCAAGTAATCAGGTCTGAATTGGTGTACTTTCATTCTCATGCTTCATTGGTGATACTCAACTTACATTGAAAAATGCATAGTAGCGTTAGCCAAAGGCACAACAATTTTTATTATCACTATAGTCACAAACGAAGGCTTTCAATTGCCTCCGCTGCTGTCTTGGAGAAACCAGAAATATATGATGCATTAGGTATGCAGCTCGTCTAATATTTCAATAACTATTCACATACATACGGTAGCCCACGCTTCGTCTCAGTATTTCCACCAATCCAAATCAACCTCAATGTTTTCACCGATAGTTTTTCAGAAAATATAAGTCCTATTGCCTTTTTCTTAACACCGCCAAACGTATGAAAATGAAAAATGATTTAGTATATCTGACAATATTTTTATTCTTTCACCAACACAAGGTTTTGTAACAGACCCAAAAGACAAAGCGTTTGAATCGTAAATATAGTATAGGCCTACTACTACGGTACTTACATTGAAAAATGCATAGTAGCTTTAGCCAAAGGCACAACCATTTTTATTATCACTATAGTCACAAACGAAGGCTTTCAATTGCCTCCGCTGCTGTCTTGGAGAAACCAGAAATATATGATGCATTAGGTATGCAGCTCGTCTAATATTTCAATAACTATTCACATACATTCGGTAGCCCACGCTTCGTCTCAATATTTCCACCGATCCAAACCAACCTCAATGTTTTCACCGATAGTTTTTCAGAAAATATAAGTCCTATTGCCTTTTTCTTAACACCGCCAAACGTATAAAAATGAAAAATGATTTAGTATATCTGACAATATTTTTATTCTTTCACCAACACAAGGTTTTGTAACAGACCCAAAAGACAAAGCGTTTGTTCGTAAATATAGTATAGGCCTACTACTACGGTGTGTTCAAAGCGCTGCCGCACAACTCCATGCTTCCGAAAACAAAATAACTAATCCCATACCCGACTTGGAATGGTAACCGGACGAGAGGCCGTGGTTCGCCATATGGATAAGCCGTCTTATCGCCTTTCCTCTCCCCGGGATAAATATGTAAATCCTATCCTACTAACTAAAGCGTTTTTTGCATATCTCAGTGACGTCATATAAGAAATTGACCACGTGTTTAGCAGACGACTCAGTCTTTTCACCATTAGGCTACGGTTCGTTTTACGATTACATCGTGGACTAGTTTGGAAAAATAGGATCGGCTGGGATGAAACAGAGCAAAATAAATTCCTATTTTAGGTAAGCATTTTGATAAATTACAATGTTGCTACTTTATTGGAATGATGGGGTCGTGATAGGTTGGATTACAGGTAAAGTACCGGTAGTGTGAATAAGCATACAGTTAGGTCATGTGCAAGTTTCGTGCAACTATTGCGGTACTCGACGCGTCGATACTTTGAGATATTACACCACAAAGTGCCTGGCATTAATTATTTCCCTGGATGCACTAAATATTTACTTACGATCAACTTGCTATTAGGTAATACAAATTCTTTTTATGCTTCCACTGTTAAACTAACATTTATCATGATTGAATTTCACAGTACATAACGTTAGCCGATACACAATTATTTCCCACAAAATATCGCCCTGTGTGAAAGCCTATCATATATTTTACATTCCTAGCCCAGGGGATCTCAAGCATGGATCAAGTGGCAGTGCATTGCACTTTCGACAGACGAACACTTCTGATAAAAGGGGATTGTTCTACAGCACTAAAGATCCTACAGCTATTTATGAAGAAATTTTGGTAATAATTTCTCATTAATTTCTCGCCATAAAGTTGAGAATTTCATTTACAATTTGAATGATCTCAGATATTCAGTTTTAAGTATTAAGTTGACGGAATTCGGAATTTTCAAGCACGTTTAACCACGATGTTACAGGAATCGCATGAGAATTTTATTGTTAGTGTATTGTGCCATATGGTCTCTAATGAATGATGATCTTATTCATTATTTTTCATGTTTCTAATTTGGCAGAAAAGGAAGAAACAAGAGTTCAAATTTTCCAAAACTGATCATATGGGATTGGAAAATGATTTGTCTAGTCAGAATAGTTCACAACTGCTGCTAAATTCTCAATTGAATTCTCAAAATTCTCAATCGTTTGCTGGGAATTCGTCGTATTCAGACGTGAGTTATACACAGAATTGTAGTTTACGAGGGGGTATATAGGCTATTTTATTTTTCAATTATTCTATATACCATTATTCAATTATTCTTTCCAAAAAGTAAATTATTGGCTATTAAGACGATGTTGTTATTCCAGCAGTGTCATCTAGAATTTATGTTAGGCTCATGTTTTATTAAATTTAATAGCCTTGTTTAATATCTAAATCAATTTATTGAAATAAATTTTAACGAATCAAATTTTTACTTTTTAGGATGGACTTCTATGGTACCAACAGTATATCAGCAAACCCCAGAATAGTGGAATTTATCGATCGCAGTCTGTGAGTATTTGATAATATAGTTAGAACCAAGAAAAACTACCAAGTGTAGAGTATATATAGTAAACGTTTCATGGGTTGCACTGAATTGTTATCTAATAAGGTATATGTCTTCAGTCGATTTAGTATTGGTATAAAATACCAGTGCATATTTTTGGTGGATTTAATGTCATGCTTAAGAATTGAGATAACTTCATACCACCATCATGCAAGATATTGTCGCTTGCCGATTGGGTAAATAATATTACTATTTAATCCGTTTTCGAATCATTTTTCTTTCATAGAGAAGTTCTAGTCGTCAATCTTACACCAGTTCCAATACACATAGTCAGGATTTCAAACAAAGCATGGAGCATGCAAGAAGAAAGTCCAAAGAAAAGGAGGAAAAGTATATTTGAGTTGTTTGTTTTTTAACATAGTAGAAGAATATACTTTGTATGCTTGATTACCGATTGCGGCAAAACCTAATTTGCTATGATCTATATATATAACTAATAACTAATAACACAATTGCAGTTTTTCAAATATTTCATGTTTGTTTATATCTTGTCCAGGGATATGCTTTCTAATTTTCTTTCTCTGGTGAAAGAACATTGTGAAGAAACCAAGAACACTGTGGTTTTGAACACAGGAAAATGTGATGCCCAAACCACCCAAGGGTTTTCATCTTCTCTTGCTAAAAGTATGATTCTTTTGCTGTATCCTGCTCCTTTTTATGAATAAGATTCATTACTCGAGTACGTTTGTCATACCGAATATACTAGTTGTACTTTGATGTAGATTTTTGACAATTACAATGAGGATTTTGTTGATGAATAATGAACCAGTGCAGTTCTTATATCAATCTTGCGTTAATCATATCCATCAAGAAGTTACAAAATTAGGCGGCACATTGCAATAGGCAATTGTCATGAATAGTTATTATAACATTTTATTATTAAATGTGATTAAATATCATTATGATTGTGAAAGAACACCGTACTATTTCAAAAGTTATTCAATGTAAAAAATGAAAATCATGATGTCATCATCTTTGTTCTGTAATAAAGATCCAATACAAGAATTTCTATAATTTCAGTGGAAGAAATACTGTTGAAGCTGTCGGGTGTTGAAAATTTAGTAAAAGGAAAGAAAGAGTTGGAAGACAAGGTAGTTTGTCGCACGTCTTCTTAGGAATACGGAAATTACTCGTATGTAATGGCCTGGGTTTCTCTGTTTAGTCTAGTCGGTGTTTATGTAACAGGAACCTCAATAGATTACTCAATTCATTTTAAAAATAATAATTTTGCAACAATAATTATATCTGTCTTACAGATTACCTGAGAATTTTGAGGTTAGCTGTTATTTTTTCAATGTATGCTCACATATGTATCAACAGGGGTATTTTTCGTGGTTTTAAATACTTATTGTTTACTTTCGAGCGCCGGTAGCTCGTTTCTGTTTTGAAAACATCTATAAGAATTATGTCTCGAACCCACAATTTATATTTTTTTTCTTATTCCTTGTTGACTGATTCAATTAATTCAGTTGAATTCTCTTTGACAGATCACAAGTCTAGAAACTCAGTTAGATGAAAAGACTTCTGAATTAGATCGAGTAAGAGCTGAACTAGATAAATATCGAAGAGAAGCAGACAATCTGGTTATTGAAAAGTTGACGGAAGTTTTTGATAGAGGACAACAAATGCAGACAGACAAGATAGAGGTTTGTTTCACTTATACTGTGTCATGTGGAATATCCGGTATTCATTAATAACCGTATCTCCCTGCTTTGTAAATTCACAATAAAGTGTCTTGGATACCTGAGTAATTGTATGAGCATTTTAAAATAGAGTTTACTATATTAATTGCATATATGTATAATATGTACTTGTATCGTACTATATATATGGACTTCTATATTCAACTATCCATTTCTCAAAACATAATTGCCATTTTTAAATTAGGAAAATTTTGCTATTTTGTCCCATCTATTTTTGTTTAGGAACTTGTATCAAACACAACAAAAATCGAATCTCATTTGAAAAAACCGAAACTTCAAACTGCTGACATGTGGTGCCAATACTCCCCTCAATTACCATTACTTAACCCTAAGGAGAATCTTCGTTCATCCATCTCTTTTCCGACGAGTAATGTTTCTCAATCAATGCTGGAAATCAGTAAAAGCTCAGCCAATAATAGCATCAATCGTTTTGAACCGAGAGTTTCAGCGGTCGGTACATCAATGAGTATAGTTCCTATTCGTCAGGACGATTTCCAATGCAGTTTCAATCCGCCTAACCAAATTCTTCCTCTGCCACCAAGTTATAATGATGTGTCTGATTCTACTCCGTTCGTTGTACCTACAATACTGCTCCCAAGACATCCTAACTCAGGTAGCGTTAGCATATTTGTTGTTAGATACTTAGTATAAAGGATTTTGTTCAGTAGGAGAAAAATATTTATTCAGCCTATTGTTTTGTCTTTGGAATGTTGCGGAAAAAAATTGGCTAAGTTAAAATTTAATCAATAATAAATTTAAATCAATACCATTTGTATATTAATATTAATTCACGATTAAGCAAACTGTGATGTGCCAAGAACCCTTCTTCACAAATTTGCCATGTGTCGCACTACTGCACGAGCAACATTTATAAAAGTCACCTTCAGATGTCAAATATTAATAAACTATTCTGGGGGCTCCCGAAGTATGCGAACCAAGATGGCAAACATCGGAATGTAATATGTGTACTAGGTTAGGGTTAGGCCATAATTTTAGGTATAAATACTACGGGAGGCTCTTGGCTAGTCTTCGAACTGATAATAGGACTAAAATAAGGAAAATTGGAAAAAATTATCGCCTAACTCTAACCTGTTACCCATGTTACGTTCCGATGTCCGCCATCTTGGTTCGCATACTCGGGAGCACCCTATTCTGGCAGTCAGCAAGAGTGTTCATAAACCGATATTGCAATTCGATTTGGCTCGGTCAAAAGAATCTTCAAAATTTACTAGTTAACTCTTATGATACTGGTTCTTGATCTTCTCGAGCTATAAACTTATTTCGAAATGCATTAATTAATTCATATTAATAAAGAAAAGTTTTAAATCGATATCTTAAAAATTTCCAATTTCAGTTTTCTCTCATCAAAAAGCTTCTTCGGGTCATTCGTTAGACATGATTCGACCAGTTGTATCTTACCCGTCGCATTCATCGCTTGGTAATATTCCAAACACGTTACCGTCAGTACAACCAATTACTAGCATATGTGGTTCTCCGTTTCAAAATGTGGGGAATTCATGGAGCAAACAAAACAAAAGTTCACCAATCGCTACAGTCATGCCTCAGCAACATTTAGTACCAAGTAAGAAAATATTGTCATTATTTTATTTATTATTAATTAATAGGACTTTCGTAGAATAACGTTTTCCCAACACTTGACATGAGTCGGATGATTGTTGTCGAATTTTATGCAATATATCATCCGTTTTCTAAAAGGAATTTTGGAAGAGACTGAATGGAATTTACGGACACACCGCGCTCGGAAACGACATATCAGTATTGCTCATCGAACTGAGATTAAAGAAAATTTTGCATATCAGCGTGGGTTTTGACGTTGTAAACATTCTGATTATTGCTCGCTTCGAGCATTTCTGGCGATGGAGTTATTTAGTTTCTGATGTGCTGTGTTGTGAGAATGGCAGAATAGTTTGTGTTTTATATTAACTAGTTCACTCAAATTGGTTGCTGCAACCTTCCTGCATTGCCAATCTCTATCAGGTTTGTATCGATTACTGTATCAGTATGGATGTTCCCATAATACTACAATTATGTTTCAGGAGAATCACAGAGAATTCCACAAAATGAGGAACCGTTGATACAAAGTTGGCAGGATATGGCACACAATCAATCACAAGAATGGTTCGCCAGACCCAATACCAGATCTATGAGGTTTGTATTGGTTAGAATGAGAATATTCCTATTCAGCATTCCTTAGAAGTCGAGGGCTTTGTTTGCATTCTGCATTCATTGTTGTAAACACCTATTAAATATTGTTGTTTTTCAGCTCTTCACAGAAAGTGAATTCCTTTATATTATATTTTAGAACATCGAAGACACAACAACAGACTTCAACTTCTAATACAGTGGTTGTGAGTCTTTTTTGCTTGATTTCGGTGTACGTTTTCTTCCGCTTTGCTCTTATTCGAAACCTCTAATAAAGCCATAGACCTTTACTACGCAGACATGGACTTGACAATTTTATATTTTGGCATTTTGTCAAAATAAAACGGTAAAACTGCAATGAAAGCAAAATGAGGAGAGTTGCTGTATGGTTTCATGAATTCCAGCTTAAACAATTTTTGTAAAGTTTCAAGTATCTATCAACATTTTAAAAGTATTTTATGCAAGTAGTATAGACCAGGGTTTCCCAAATTGGGGTCCACGAACCCCTGGGGGTCCCCGACGACTGCACAGGGGGTCCGTACGATATGAAAAGAGTCAAATAAACACAAATAGAGCTTAATCTTATTGAATTGCGCCAGCCTGCCAGTATTTAACGTTAGTATGTAATAATAAAGACTCACAAGTTTTATTTCATCAAAGAAAACAACATACTTTCTCGTTTGTTAGGCACATAAATTGATACGACATAGGATGGGGGTCCGTCAACAACAAAATTCACAAACAGGGGTCCGCGGCCCAAAAAGTTTGGGAAACAATGGTATAGACTATTTTGCAGTCACAAATTCACATAAAGTCAAATATGCTTTTTCTTTAATTTTTATGTTATATATGCCACATTGCCACTAACCTGCTGTACATAAATCAATATCTATATACATTTGAATTTTCAGACCGCTGAGCCATATCAGGATGATGCATTAGGTATTGATCAATCTACTGATTCTGTAGTTGCATACAAAAAGCCAAAAATTACTAGGAGGAAACGACAGTTCTTTACTAGAAAAAAAGGAAAGCCCCAAAAAAGTATTATTTTGAATTTTGATATTTCCTCGCCATTGTTTCAATGTTTTGCTGATATTTTAGAAAATGAAGTATTGAAGAACAGGGGACCACGGAGTGTTGTGGTTTCCTCTCTTACGTATTCAAAAACCTTAAATAATGAAGTAATATTTTAGAATCTGCCAACACATTGACACAACAACTGGGAAACAATGGGGGACCACTTGATCTTGATGAACATATAAGGTATTCTGAAATATATATATACATGTAAAAAATATGTCAAATGTTAAATTTATAAAGTATAAAGTAAATTCAGACGAATGATTCGTGTGAAGTTTTTTCAGACTGGGGAAATATACGTGTTTAATTCTATGAATTAATCTTCAGTCATATATTTGTATATAGTAGTTACCTCGGTAGGTAACATCCTTTCATGCTCTTCAATTTTCTTCACCACTACTAGTTGGACGGAAAACCAGGATCCGCAAGCTGACACTGGTAATGTGAGTATTATTTACTTTAATAACGATTTTGTGTGAGGGTTTAAATTATTCTATCGTATGTTACTTTAATTTTAAATTTATATTAATGTAGGGAATCCATGTTATATCCTATGGACAAATATTAATTTATATCGTTATCTAGTGGTCACACTATCGACACACTAACCGATAAGGGAAATATTGTTTTTGTCATGTAAAATAAGTTTGAAATGAATTTTCATATCATAATATTAAATTTACGCAGCCAGGTATCAAATTCATGCAAGTTTGTTCGAAGTAAAAGCAATTGATTTAAAGTTACCAATGACTCTTAAAGACTCTTTTGAATGCATTTATATCTCGTTATAAGGATCTTTATGTACTTTTAGGTCAATTCAATGTATCCATGTTTTCCAACTCAACCAAACGTCCAGTCAGCCCTTGGAGACAAAACCAATGCTTTGGCCAATAGGTATGTTTGAACGTAAAAACAGGTTCACATTTGAGCTCCAATATTGTTTGTTTTACAAAATGTCATTATTTGCATGCTTTCAATGCTTAGAAAATTGCATCTTATTGTTTCAAATAATAATGTGTTGTTACTGTGCCTTAAATCAAATCCTCTTTTAAATAACATACATTTGTTTGTATGACGCACCTTACCGATCAAATGCATTTGACGGTCAATGATAGTTAGTTCGTGATTTTCGATCATCCTTTCTATATTTTCCTCAATGTGTAATAATGTTCACAGCACATGTATTAATGTCACGAATATAAAACAAGAAGATCGAGATATTATCAACAACTCATTTCCAGTGAGAAGACAAGCTCAATCATCATCGTACGTGTTGATTCTATAACGGACAGTTTTGGATTTGTTATTATTTTACTTGTTTAGGACTTGGTCCTTCCTAAACGTTCAAGAGTCTGCCTTGTTCAGAAAGAAGGGAAATGGAATTATTGATTTATGTTGTTTAGTAGAATCTCCGTTGTCAAAAAGTGAACTCTTTATCGTTTTTTAACTAGTGGATTAATGCTTGTAGGGATGATAGGATGGAAGAAAATAATACGGCAGCACTGATTGGTAAATATTTCATATCATTACTATCTTGTATATTTTCAGATGGATAACGCTTTCAGATTCTGATGATGAGTCTTCAGTTACTGATGATGATTATTCCTTCAGTCAAGAGATCAAGGTAATAAATCATAAAATTTTCAACGATTATTGTTTAATTAGTTTACTATTCAATTACCGAAGTGCTTGAAGATGTTTGAATCAGTATATTACAATAATATAATGTGGATATTTATCAGGAATTGGAGAAAATCAAGCTTCTCTTCAGTGGCATCATAATTATTTTATATTCTTAATTATTAAGTCGTTAGAAACGTTTTTAATGCTTTTTCTTTTATCGGCCCTATCGTATTGCATAACAGGAAAATCAGCCGTTCAGAAAGCCATATTCGTCTGCTTTTCGAGGTGAGGCAATAAATTGAATATTATAGATTCAGTCGATTTAAAGTTTACGGTAAGTAACATTCTATTTTTCTCTTGGCCAGGTGCTTCGAACTTCAACAATTGATAATGTCAATTCATACGTTTTGGTATCTCGTTCGCAGCCTACAACCTACTTCTTTTCAGGTTCAAATGGGAGGAGATTCAGGTCCTTGCTGTTCTTTGTAAAATAAACTTGTTGCGTTCATGAAATGTTATGATTATAAAAATGAGATGTTTGATTTATTTTTCTTCCGTGGTAAATAAATTACGAGAATGTGATTATTCACCTTTTTTTTTTCTAGTTACATGCAATTTTAAAAACATGGTATATTAATAATTGGGGGCGATAGTAAAGATTAGCAGCGATAGTGAGTATCAACAACATCAAGCGACTATACTTGTGGAATATTTGAAGTCAGCAAGCCATCTGGGTTTGAAGAGCTGATTGTATTTTTCACCTGAAAACAAGCCCACTAGTACCCTTAGGCGCCATTGCTGCGAATGAGTCGACCATAATGTATTTGTTTTGGGATATTGTAACTATAATTTTATCGGTAAAACATGGCAATATTTTGCTTTCCGATTTTTCACAACATCCAATGTATCATGGACGTGTTTTTTCACCCTCCCCTGCATCTCTTTGTAGGTCTATCCGTATGAGTGTTTCCGTAATTCTCAGTCGACAATCTCTGAAGTAACATAGAGCTCTGCTTTGCTGTGAACTGGACTAAATAGTTTAATTCAATTAATGGCGGTATTTCATAAAATAGAATTTACTGCATGAAATTGTCAACTCTTGTTAAACAATATGCCTAAGTCGATCTACAGTATAAAAATATCAAAATCGTATACTATACACATTGAAAAAGTATGAATTTTCTGCTAAATAACTCGGGTTTTCTGTACATTTTTCACTCGTTTGAGCAGAAAAAAGAAATGAATTTATTAACTCATTTATGGAAATCCTAGCTTAATGCTTCACGATTCAGAAATTTTGATCGAATTGAATCAATTAGTTCGGTACTGGTGAAATAATGAACTAAATGATAGTCTTCGACTATAGCTAAAACGGATGTTTGGGTTTCATTTGATTTTTGTTAAGACAGGATAGGCGTAAAATACACAGACAGTGATAAAACTGAACCGGGTAGTCTACCAAGCTGTGGAAATTTCAAAGCATCGTATTTTAACAATATTTTTCCAACCATCATTAGGGGTATCACTACATGCTATAGAAGTAGAGGTAAAGTTTTCAGCTGTTTTTGTTATTTTTACGAATATAATTTTGCCTATGATCATTCAACTATTCATGATTATCACCTAATACTTTACATATAAAAATCTACAAATATATACTGCATGTAGGAACGGTAACATAAAAAGACAAATTTGAAAAAGCTTTATAGAAATAACGTAGTTGTCTCGTTTGGGCCTGATTTTCTTACACAGTGACGAGCTATAAACAATAAAGTTCGCTTGTATAACATTTGTGTTGATAAATCACGCTAAGAGAAGGTGATACGAATAGGTCGACCCATTATTTCTCTGTGACCGACTCTAACTTCGTAATAAAGTTACAAACTTGATACATTGGTTAAAAATATTGCGACTCTGGGTAATGTTTGTCAAAATAAGTCCATCCTTTTTCATATTTATGCTATGCAGCTGAGTATCTCTATCGGCGCTTGTTTTTTCCAGCTGGTGGCGGTGGTGCCTGAAGAAGAAACAGAATTGTGACATGGTTTTAGCGGTAATAACTTTACAAATGGAGTCAATATTTCCAACTTAAAGGGATAAAAGTGCAACATCTTCCACATCATTACGATGAGGACAAGAGCTACGGAAGTGCAGTATGCTCTGCAGCTTTTTATTTTAGAGAGGATGTTGCCACATTTAGAGGAGTGGTCGACATTTTGCTGTAGACGATAGAACTATTTGTAACCCATAAAAATGTGTTGTGTGTTGGGCTGATCATTGGAATTGTATATATATGTATACGCCACTTTTTTGTACATTTAAACACAATAATATATTTTAGTTGGGAATTAAAATGTGGTCTCATACCTCAAAATTAGCGTGGTGTTTGGAAATTTTAATTCCTTTCCACCCCATTTATAGAGTGTAGGTAAATTTATGGGGAAGAATAACATGAACTACCGATATGTAGCAGTTGGGCATCTCGGATGCAATTCTGGCGTCCCGAATTCTATTACGTGATAGGCTACTTAAATCAAAATGCTTTCATTGATCCAATTATTTTTTATGAAAGACTTTCATAAAGATCAAATCTCTTGCCATTCATTTACGGTTTTTGTATGATGGTGATTAGACCACTCTCCATCGATGAGCTGTAATTCAAAAGCTCCAAATATTTAAAATCATGCGGTTACTCTGTTTTGTGAAAGTTGTTATATATATATATATATATGAGTTATGTTAAGTCATGCTTGAACGTTACTCTGTTGCATTAAATTGTGTTTCCCACTCTTTGTTTACAGCCTATCGTTAATGCTATATCGCTGGTTCTCTGTAATCATTGCTAATATAGTTAGTTAGCCTACTGGTAAGCGACAATGTACTGAAATCTCCTCAAAATGGGTTCGCCGTTTGTATGCATGGCGGCGATTTTGATACACTCAATGATATACTATCATATTTTGCCGTACTTTGACATCTTATCTGAGTTGGTGTGTGGTTTATATATATATATTTATATATCTTAAAGCGGAAAATTGGGATCTTTCGTACAAAGCGCCTCATGTTATTTGAGAAAAATACCCCCGCCACGTTTTCAAATAACAAATTAGTAATAGTCCAGATGGGGTTAAGACTGATTTGAAACAGGTTGGTCCAAATCGCGGACCGCATGCGGCTACCGGAGACATTTCGTGCGGCCGGCAGAAAAATTTTGGCGTGCACTACTGAACCATTGGCAGATATTTGTATTTATTGGCAGAACAATTTTGAGTTATTCTCAAACTATTCCAACTAGGAATAGTCCGTTTCCGATTCCCGATTGATGTTTGGTAAAATCACGGAATTTCAATGTTGTAGAAAAAAGGTGACCGAGGTAAACAGGGAGGAAACGTATTTCCTTACCCACAACAACGTTAAACCGTGTCTGGTGTGTTTTCAATCAATATCTGCCACAAAATAATATAATTCAAATTATAATACATTACAAGACCAAACACGAGAAAAGATACCGAAAATACTACGATATTTCTTGGGAAGCAATTATAAAATAACTAAAGGCTTTATAAAGTTTCCTTGTAAAACTGATTAGAACGGTAAACTTTCATTCTTAAATATATATACAGGTATTTGAAGTGAGTAAACTCGCGATGTTTTGATCATATTTGGGTTTTCTCCAACTGCGGTCCGCAACCTTGAACCACCCTAATTTAAAAAAATTGAATTTCTATCGCAATCTGCATTCCTAACCCAAAACCTTAACCGGATAATTACTCATTTTCTTGTTTTGAGCGTTGGCGGGGGCTTTGTACAACAGAACCAAAAATTTTGTTCATTCCATCCTGCCATTGCAGACATGTGTTTTTATTGTTTCTCTTTTTCCATGTAGATACGTTTCGGCGCAACCAATATGGATCACCCCAAATTTTGATCTCGATTGCTTCTGCATTGTTGATTGTTGAAAACAAAGCCTAAGTCAAGATCACGCGAAATTGCTTCGTAACCATTATGACGTATTAAGCTAAAATTATTACGTCAAACGTTACGATGCGGCTAACCTGTTTATTTAACCCGATTAAACGGTTGAAGTGATTTCCCTGAAATTCCCAGCAATATTATATATATATATAAATATATTGAGTATATATTGAATATAGTTGCGCAGTTCTAATATGAGCAGGCCTACCTAACCGTTTCCCAGGCAACTGTTAGGTTGAACTACAGTTTATGTTGGATTTATCTAACCTTACCTGCTATTCAATTTGATCAACCTGATGTTAGAAGTATCAAACAATTTTCATGTTAAAATATACGGTTAAAATTTTAACAAAAAAAAGTGCTCTACTTTTTCTGCATGACAGAATCAACTTGATAACTAATTTCATATTCACAAAAGAATATTTAGCCAGCCAATGAAAATTATTCAGTTGCAAATAGTTTTCAGCCAAAAATATTTGCCAAATATATGAGGCATCTGAGGTTCACATTTTCACACTATTTCAGTCATCCAAACGTACTAGGCTAACATACCTCTGCTGCTGGTGCCGGAGATGGTGATCTATTGCCAGCAAAGAAATCCTGAGGATACTGATTACCGGAATCGGTTCTGAAAACAAATTTAAATAGATAGTAGTTTGAGCGCACTGCTGATTGCACCATTGTGTAAATGGTATTCTTGTATACCCTCGTGTTACACGGATCTAATTTCTACCAATAGCTGCCAACGTGACTTTCTAGTACGAATAATTTTTTTAATGAATTTGCCTAATAGGAGATGCCATAGTAGAGTAAGTAGACCCATACCAATTACTCTTGTGTGCATGTAAAAACGGATTGTTACGTTTCTCCCAAACTGAAGTTTTCGTCAACTTACTTTTTGATGGGTGGTAGCGGATATGTTCTTGGATCTCCGTAATAATGATGATAATGATGTGGTGCATCGTCATCAGCAGCACCAGCACGTTTCGCCAATGTTTGTGTCATCAACCACTGCTGCATTTGCGCGTTTTGTATCAGCATTAATTCCATAAGGTCTGGAAGTGTGAAAATTCTTTTTATAACGTATAAACTTAAGTGGATAAACTAAAAAAAATATAACGAATTTTATCAATTTTTCGTTCCATTCAATATATCCACATATATTTCATCTTATTCAAAATTACTAATATATACTGCTATGCCAAATCACATAAATATCATTTGATTTATTAAAACTGTTTGAAGGCAGTTTCTCTGCGACGCATTATGTGGAGAGTTACAAAAAATGGATAGTAATATGGGGAAATTGGCAATAGCGCAATTGCAATGCAATTTCCTCGCTGTGACAAAGACGGTTGCATAAAAGAACCAACGTTTTAGAGTTCACAAGCGTTATTGATTTTAGTTCTTGATACATTTATCTCTGCGTAATATTACGCCAATTTTTTCAGCACATTTCAATAGATACATGTTTGGTTGGTGTCTTTTGGGTGAAATTTCGTGGGACCGCTTTTTTAAGAGGTATTCTTGCGGGTCGCGACAATATAAAAGTGCGGAAACGGACGAATGTTGTTTTTATAGAATGTGATTATGTGGGGCATCATTTATGAAAAACCCCATTATTGCAGATCAGACTCAAATAGGAAATCATTTCGTTCCGATAAACGTTTAAACCACGAAATTCCATTATATATATGTTGTTCGACTTAGGTTCATTTATTGGTACTTCCGTAGTGCGTTGACTGCATGTTAGGGTTGGGCCACAATTTCATTCCGATTTTTCTTATTTTAGGCTTAGGCTCCTAAGCTTCAGTCCCTTTACATAACTTGATGTAAAGTATAGGCGAACAAAATTAGTTACCTCTATATTGGTACACACACTTTTGGAGCGCCCATTTATTTTGGTGAATTCGCATGACATATATTTTGCAAATAGGTACAAGTAAGTTTGCGTTACCTTTCTTAGTATTTCCAGTTTTGAAACCTTCATTAAAAGCAAATATGGGCGGCTCATTTTGTCTTCTCGGAGTAAGTGGTGGAAGATATCTATCTCTACGTCGATATTTTGTCCCTCCATCGCCTAATTCCTCCTGTAATGAATGTTATTGGATGTGTATATATGTTCTAATATGCAGCATTGCGGGACAAACAAAAATATATGTACCGAAATAAATTGTAATATATATATTCAGTCTAATTCTTGGGGCATATATATATATATATCATAAATTCACGATTTTTAACCTCGAACTCATATTGCATAAAAGTAACGTATGCATCTACTTACCCATAATTTATGGAGTAATTCATTTCTTTTATCAATTTTTCTGTAAAATCGGTCCCTTCTTCGTTCTGAAAAATGCAAGGATGATTTTTCCATAAAGGCGCAGTTTTTATAGAATCGACTATCTGTCTATAAACAACCGTAAGCAATGAACGTGACTTGTCAGGAAAATCTTATCTGAACTCTGAATAGTGAGTGAACAACCATAAGCAATGAACGTGACTTGTCAGGACAATATTACCTGAATAGTGAATAGTTCAATAGTCAGCGCCTTGCTTTGGGAACTTCCGGGTTATCACAATCCCGTCCGCACGATATCGAAGAGTTCACGTGGAGTATCGAAAATTCTGGCAGCGGTGGGATTCGAACCCACGCCATCGAAATGACTGGTGCCTTGAACCAGCGCCTTAGACCGCTCGGCCACGCTACCACAAGGGACGCAGGATTTTCTTTGGCCATTTAAATTGGGAGACGAATTTCGTATATTCGAATCCCATTCGATTCTGATAGTTTGAAGTAAACTCAAGCGTGCTAATTATTTGTAATATTCTTCACTCGTGAATATTAATGCTATGGAAACATGGTCTTTTATAGTACAACTTTATAGGCGGGGGTATATGGATTTCAATTTGATCTGATGTTGTTTGGTTTGGACGGGACCGCCGTAATCGCACACTGTTTATTCAGTCAGCATTACAGCAAAAGAAATATAGTTTTGTATTTCTCTGGAATGTACTCGCTCGATAAGCTTAATACCAAAGAGTACTTTTAGAGACATTTTATCGTAACTTTATTCACCAACCTTGATCAATTTTTCTCTTCTCTAAAATCCCATAAATGGATAACTGAATTTCGATGTAATGTAATGGCTTGTGCTAAATGCGCTTGTATATTCTCACTGGGCGACATGTGTATATATGAAAAACGCTAATTGTTAAGTACAGCATATTGAAAGCGTTGATAGTATAAATTTGGTGACATGTTATCTAGTAAGTTTTCAGATGAATCTGATAGATCATCATCTAGAAATTGATGTCATAGATATAGAAATGGCTAATCAGCCAATTCGTTGTAATGAGTCAGATTATGCTTTTCATATCGGGATTGAGTTGAAACAGCCGACCAAATTTCCCGCAAGATATTTTGGAAAGACATTGCTCAACTTATACATAGCGTGATGCTTAAGATGGAAATGCAAGTGTATTGATTTTACCCGAAAACTTTATTGAATCTTAATAACTTCGTTTTATTGTATAACAATTTCCCTTGTGACTATTTTCATTTCTTTGAGTAGACTATGGTTGTCAGTATTTCTTGACTCTGCGCCCGACTTGTCTTACAATTCCAGATTTTTGTGGTTATCCATGAATGGAACACCACGTCTATAGTTTGACTTATGACGTTCAAATCATATCAAAGCACCCATGGTCGATATATTGTTAATTGTTTGATAAAACCTGCTTTGTTCCCGTATTTGTTCGAAATATTTGATACTTTTGTTATTGAACAGGGCAGGACTTATGATCGAATAATTACAACAATAGATGAGTCATAAGTTTAGTCAAATAGAAACCTTTTTATCTTAGTTTGTGACACGCGGGCGCGCGATAACATCCGCAAACTTGTGTGATTTGAACAACGCGACACCGACTTACTTTGAATAAGAATCTGCCAAGAGTAACGTCCCAAGTTGGAAAGTAGATGGCGAACTGGCCACTGTTCTGAACTGAACTCGTTGTTCAATATGTCTTCATTAGACACACGCACCAAAAACCGAAGTATTTTGTTTTTTTGTTTTGAAATGTTAAATAAATATTATATATATATATATATATATATATATCGAATGTGGTTTTCCAGTATTATGATTACATTTAATTACTCAGACCGATATCAAGACGAAAACATATCCATGTAAAAATAATCAGGTCAAAAGATCGAGAATCAACAAAGAAATTAACTTTTGATAACAAAAGAATGTTTGTTTAATCCAGATTTGTCAATTGGAAACGACAAAGCGATGGAGTCGCCTGACGTCTCGGTCAAGTGGGGGGTTGTTATGATGTCGTTTAAATCGTTGTATTGATGATATACCATTGATACAAATTGATAATGTCTATACGTATCCTCGAAATGACAAGATGTACTTGATGTACAATTTTTTTAATATTATAAACTTTTATGATCGTATATCAAGACTTTTACATAAAAATTACAGCTATAGGATTGATGACCATATATGTACGGCCTAGTAAATCACCAACTTTTTGGCCCACATAGACTCAAGGAACTCCAACATTCAAATACGTGCCTTCGTTTCCTAAACGATCTGATGAAAATATAGTATTGACTTATGAAAATCTAGGCGTGTCAAGTGCCCTCTCTATTTGCTCGAGAGGGTTTTGTCATTGACAACAAGACAAATATTACAAGGAACGACAAGTAAGATCAAGGTTTACCAAAGTGACAATTAAACATTGTTGTAGTAACAAACCTTATGTATGAAGTGACAGATTTTTCTTCTATGATTAATTACAGAAATAGTGCACATATATTCATGTTGCTCATCCCATCGCCTTGTATGTCTTAATCGTGCATATTAAACCGTACATACGAAATTGATTTTGACCAAAAGACATAAATATCGGAAATAATTCGTTGAATTGATTTTTAAATTTATCTTGAAACCATGATTGTTGAAAATACTAAAAATAATAAGTTGTATCTTAAACGAATTTAGGGCCTAGCAATATGATGGCATTCACCTGGTGGAGGAAGAGGAGGTGGAGTCTCCGGTTCATATCTGTCTGAATCCGGAGAGTCAACGTAGCGACGCCTGTGGTGGTATTGACGATATCGTGTCGGTGTTAAGACATCTCTGTTCTCTCTATGTGTATTTGAGTTCAATTTCTAAAGTAGCAAGTAAACATTGGATTTTCTATATTGCTTGGAAAACTGGAGATTATATCTCTATCTTGGACAAATATTCTCCAATGTTGAAATCCTTCGAACATCAACGGACCACACTAACGCAATGTACAACAAATCAGGAAAACGTTGTTAATGATTTACTACCCGGAATAAATCATATCACGCACTTAATGACAAATTTATAACACGATTAAACGAATTCGATAATATTCTTATATCCATTTTATATAAGTTATGTTCACCAGAATTCCGACATGAAATTAGTAGTATCTTCCAATGTTATAAAGATGTTATAAATCGATTTCATTCATTCTGACATAAAAAAAAATGAGGTGTACTGCTATAATTTTCAATTTTATTTAGTATCTGGACAGTGAGTAAACAATGCGAATCTAAGTTGCATAATTTAGCTCACCTTTTGAATAACTTTTAATTTTAGCCTGGTTAGGTCATCAAGAAGTCGTACATCATCACTGTAAACAGAACCCGTTGGCATTGTGCTGCCCTGGTATTTTCAACAATTCTTTCAACAAAAACCTTCTATGTCGTTCTGTATTATCTTGGTAATATTACAGCATTATGCGGTAACGATCGATTTTATTGTAAATTTCTTTTCTACGATCTTGTGTAATGAAAATCTAAGAGAATTGGCTGACAATTTGAAAGTATATATATAATATTATTCATTCACTTACTTTGAAATTTCTTGTACTGTATAACAATTGGATCATTTTGTTACATTTATACAATGACTAATTGCAAATTTTTTGTTTTCACTAATCATGATATTGACCTTAATATTTACTAAACGTCGCCTCCATAAAATGCCTCTATTTTCTTTTATTCCATTCCTATGCTTGTATATATATATATATATATGGAATACTCTCAGCTGGTTCAGATCTAATCTACTAAAAGTCGATAACTAACCGTAGCATAACAATGTACTTCCTCGACGATTGTTAAGGATGGATGCCTAAAAAGCGCATATATATAGTAAAATATACCATGTATTTTGTACACTTTAAAACGAGTATTTCAGGCATTCTTTCGGTTTTTAGAAAATTCAGATTCTCATTCCTCCGTTTACGTCGAATATATTGAAACACGATCATATAATCTAATATAATATGAAACTTATTCTTTATTGTACGAAATTGTTCAATCTGAAGAAAATCTGAATATCAAGCTCTCTAAAACCACTCACAGATAAATCCCTTGTCAACATCTTATCACTTCATGATACCGCGGCGTCTGTATTGACATATTTATCCACTTATACCAACGTACACTTTTACTGTTTCTAGATACGAATAAGTATCATTTGCACGTAGCAAGAGGGAGATCTTTTAGTAAAAGAAATTCTAGAAAATGACATCCCGTCTATCCGCATATCAACAAGCCAACACCAAAACGGTATCTATAGCACGGGGAATTGCGCATCGTTGTCAGGGAAACGCAGCGAGTGAGCATAATACCATAACGATCCTGTTACCATCCTTGACCTGTCATCGCTCGAGCGAGAATTGTTACAAAACTTGAGGTTTTCCTACTCCTATACCCATTATTTTCCTTGTTATATCCAATATTGTATTTCGTAACGCTATATTGACGCAAGATATTATAACAATAGCTGATGTAAAAAGTAACAATACTCGGGAGACCCCTTATGTCAACACCCTTGCCCGCTGCGTTGTGATGTCTTCAAAAAGTAACTAAAACCTATTTGTTCTGTTGCTAATTGATGAGAAGCGAGTGGTTACTTCGATGATTTTTATATAAAACGTTTTCAAATATCTCTGACACTTGTATAAGGGTGGAACAAACTGGGCAAATTTTAAAGTTCTTTGTTGTGGTGCAGTGGATTACAACACATATCAAAATCAAAACACGTTCTAAATGTAAACGTGTTATCCCCTAACATCTGGAAACTTCGACGACAAGATGTGAATGATATTTCTAAAATATGCTATGGAACATATTTAATCGAACTCGAAACCAAAGTGATGAATTTATTTTAATTTGTCCTAACACAAAAAAATCCGAAAGGTATTTTCAAGAATGAAACTGACAATCAAGCGAAAAAATACAACTTGAAACGTGAAATCGGTATTTCAAATCTACATATTAATTGAACAAAATCCGTTTGGTCTCCAGCAAATTTAAACAAAAGTATACCTATAACGTCATTCAGTTATGCATTGTTGAGAACTATTAAATTATTTTCATGTTTTGTTCACAACTTCGATATCGATACTTTTTATTAGCGAAATGATGGTAATATATTGTGATATGTCTTACCGAAATGTGCAAAATACTATTACGCTCAATGAAATTTACCAAAAACTTCAGGTTGTGCACTCGCAAAAATGCGTAAATAAATGTTTATAAAACACTGTTTCGAACACTTCGAGTAGGCCGATATCATATCATTTTTTAGGTCAGTTAAAGCTGCGGATGTCGACTAAAACTCGACAATCGTCCTTGGGTCGATAACATATCATTTTTTTAGGTTTTCTATCATTTCGAGCTGCGGACGTCCGACTAAGCCTCGATAATCCTTTTTGGGCCGACATCATACTCTTTTTTAAGTTTTCTATCATTTCCAGCTTTCGGATGTATGGCTCGATAATCGTTCTTGCAGCACGATATGTATATATTTATTAAATATATATCTATCAACCTTCATTTTGGTGGCAACTCAGCCAATCAAGCTTTTACGGAATGATTTCTTTTATTTGAGTGTTATAATTGTTTTGGTTTCTCGCGATATTGAAAAAATCATGATGATGTTCTGTAGCTCTATACCCGCATACCAGACAGACAGTGTAAATTTTAGTTTGATACTTTTGCCCTTTTGTGTTGTTTTGTACAATAATATACGTTTCACGCCGTGCTGTGTTGAACCACTTTATTAAAATGTAGTCGCAGTAGTCGTAAAAACAAAACATTCATTTCGGTTCGCAACAACTTAATAAAATACTTTAACATCTTAATTTAGTCGGTTCAAATTTATCATTTAGGACGTGTAAAGTCGAGGACCCGCATTGAATATTGCATGCAATGTTTAACACTGATCTTGAAAACTGTAGAGCATTGTTTTTCAAACGGGTTTCAGAGGTATTCTTGGTTTCCGCCACCGCATTCCAGGGATTCCGCATCCTTATGCAAGTTCATATTCAAATCCGAGATTATTATTATAGTCCAGCGGATAAGACCTCAAATATGATGGAATTGTGCACTTTTGGATGCAAGCATGAAACTTGGCACACATGTACAGTAGCATATTCTGATTAATTTTAGATATGGTGCCATCCATGGAAATACCTCGTTGCCATGGAAACGAGGCATCATCCGTATTGCTATCCAAGTGTAAGAGACATTACTTTAGGGAAGAATATTTCCAAGATAAGTAAACTGAGGTGTATTTAAGAAGTAAATAATAAAGAATATGATCAGAAGTGCATTTTGACCATTACTCTTGATAATAGAATACCTGGTTACCATGGAAACGAGGTATCGTTATCGACCAAACGCCATTATAAGTCACACAACCTGTATTTTCTGTTATTGTCATGGATCACTAATTAAACTACATTCACTTTCAAAATGTAATTCCTTTTGTGCTCAATCAACTGTCATCGCCAATGATATACTTTCAAACTCATAGCCACGTAAAGCTGGTGAAAATATAAAATATATATTTCATAACTGACGGATTACTGTTATCTTGGAGCTATCATATCGTCATCATATAAATTAATAAAGATAAGTTCATTCTCTTAACTCTGGCATTAGTATCTCACTCAGATAAAAACGGGAAGCTTACATTTCAGCTCAAACTCGTCTAGAATTGTTGATTATTCTAATCGATATCTAACGTCGCCTTATTAGGTTTGCCACTTATACTCAACTTGCTACACTTTAAAGTTCATTTTTTGACACTATTAAGTTTGTTGTTATATATACCTATATAAATATTCAGACAATAACACGCAATTAACTTGTTACATTGTTGTTACTCGAATTCTGTTTCATTGGGTTCAGCTTCACCTAAAAAGTTGAAAACAACTGCTGTTTTAGATTGGCCCGCGTTGTAGCGTGCTATACTCGTTTACGTCCTCGGCTTTCTGACCGATTCGGTTCAACTTAATTCTTTGCGCCAGTTATGTTGTCTTTGTCATACAATAGGTGTGAATATTGTTAGGCATGGAGTGGACTTATAGGTCGTTTTGCTTCATCGTCCATCGCGACGTTTAGAGCGCGGAAAACATCGCTTATCTACGGAACTGATGGGCTATTATCGATTTCAGTACTTAATGATGGAAGTAGTTACAAGAAGGCTATTACTTTTATTTAATTCTTTTTAAAATTTCCTAGGAATCCTATGAGATCCGATATTTCACCCAAAGTTTTGCTCTTTTATTTTAATTCACGGGAACACTGTCTTGAATCCGCCAAGGATGACCATTACGTCACGGCTGCCCTCGGTTTCTATTTTTCGAATCCCGTGTTCAGCCACATTTCCTTATGAGTCGCATATAGGCTGGCGGTACTACGGTTCGTTATTGCATCTTCGTGTCTATATATTTGTGCTTCGGTTTTCTTGTATCATTTGTTTGGGACCTTGTTACGCTCTATTGGTTTTCTGTGCTTGGTTTTCTTTTGTAAGTTCATACTACTCTATGACTGTTCTATACGATTACTGCGCTAATTCAGTGCTGTATTCCGTGCAAAAGTAAATCCCAATACATGCATATATGAGATTATTGCCGTTGTTAATGTTTGGGAAGTAGGTACCTCATTAGTAGTAATTATAGTTGCTAGCGATACATTGAACTATATCAGTCCTATTCGACACATTTCTGAATAAACTCGCATGTCATGCCGTGTGCCTAATAGCGTATACATCGAAAGCTCAAACAAATTTATTTATTGCTGCACCCATCCATAAACTGCACTTCCATACTCTCGCACCCACGGATATTTGCACCCGCTTACACATTACACCCAATGATCTTTGCTGAAAATTATATATAGATATTGGTATTCTATTATGACGTTACATCGGACTCCTGGTCTGCAATGCCGACATAGTTGGGGTGGCACAATAAAGACAAGGCCGCGCGACACGAAACATTTACTGGTTAACTAATTTTAATTTGTCCGCCCGACCTGTTGAAGAAACATATTATTTAAAATATCCACCAGTTCTTGTTATTTGGTGATTCTTAAAATCTAATGCTTTTATGAGATGAATGGTCGCTAAAAGCTACAGCTCAGAAAAATCAGACCAGAGCTCATCAATGTATTGTATTCGAGGAAGTGATCTTGAATGGCATTTAGACCTACAGGCACCACAAACGTCTCTAAAAATCATGATTTATTCGACTACAACGCATATATCTTCAAAATATCTATCCCATGCATTCCAGTTTTCCAATAGTGAACCAAGCCTTCTCTCCAGCATCGCCGTTATCACCAAAACCAACTTCTTTTAAAGGTAGCACTGTTTTGTCCGTGAGATACCCTTCATCAGATGTCAGTATTTTGATCTGATTATTGTCACAATTGCATTTATACCTATTGTCCACGCAATTTCCTAGAAGAATATATATATATATAATTGTTAACACGTAAACAGTTTTAATCCTAGTAGTAATATTTAAAAATTTTCACAAACCATTTTCCCCACATGCGCAGTAATTTCCACGCATTGAGGTAGAGCCACCCCAATACCTCATCTTTTGACCAGTGCGTGATACCCAATGTCCATGTCCATCTCGAAATAATAAGACGCCTTTGCACCGAAACTGTAAATTGAATAAAAACATAGTTCAATAGATGAATTTCTATATATTACCATAATACGTGTTTTCATTAGCGTGAACGTCTCCCAGGTGTCATTAATCTTTATTATTAATTAATCTTTTTTTTGTCTCTTTTTATTATCATCACAGTACCCAATTTGAAGGTTAAAATTTACTGATAAAATGTTTTAGTTGGGAAATGTGATAAGCACCCACGACAGTCTTTGCAAAAAAAATACATTTTTAGTTTGTTGTACAGAGATATATATGGACGCAGTTTTATTTGTAAAGAAATAGTTAGTCGTCCGTACCTTTACGAATTGTCTACATTCTCGAGAAATCGAAATAATGCTGACAATCTGCCCTTGATTCAACGAATAGTTAGGAGTCCACGTGTAACAACCTGGACTCTCACAATTTCCATCAACTTCAATTTCATTCATATTGTCATGCCATATTTCTGTTATTGCTTGAAATCAAATAGAAACACTGTTATGTTAAGATAGTCTTGCGTGAATGGAAAGATTCACCATGCAATAGTTTCACAGAATTATCGCCCGTAGGATTCAAACTCATGAAACCGTGACAGGGATGATATAACACGGAATCGACCTATGAATCGTTTTGTCATTTTGTTTTTTTATGTTGTTGTTATGAAAACGAAATTGCTTTTCTCTTTAACTACTGCACCAATTTCATTAAAATTTCAAGTAGTTAAATATTGTTGCTGTCACTAGGAGGCTATTTTTTAGTTTTGAAACTTCCTGTGAACTTTGTGGGATTCGTTTATTTATTTGACGTTTTGCGTGGTGAGGTCACCAAAATTAAAAATGAATTGTAGCGGTTCCGCGACCGCATGTCAGCGGATCTCGTGCTTAGCGAAAGTTTTGCAGCTCCGTTCAGTGTATAATTTTGGGGCAAAATGTGGGTGAAAAAAACACCTTTTTGGACTTTGTTTCGAAGTACCATAAAGCGCCTTCTAAGCCCGTGCGGATCAGCTAGTGATTTATGCCTTATTGCCTACACTCAAAACAAATCGGTACTTTTTTTTCATAAACAAACCGTCGCTTTAGGTTTTCTTCCAATGAAATACATTAAGATACAAATATTGGCGCTCCGGAAGTGTTCGTACCAAGAGGACGCTCAACCCGAACAACCCTAACCTGATACACATACTATATTCAGGTTGTGCGCCATCTTGGTACGATTACTCCGGGATCACCCAATTGATTCGTTGAGATTTATACGGTAAGTCGATACTTCGTACAGTTGAGGGTTATCCGGTGCGCCTTATGTATGAACAAATCCCCAATCTAAACAATTTATTGACGAGGCCGGTGCGCCATATGGTCCGTAACATACGATATACAAATGATTGATCTCACCATCGCGTAAAGAGAATTTGCAGAATATTTTGAAAGACGGCAACGATGCTTCTGGTCTAACAATATAAAGTCCAGTCTCATTCACTCCTTGACTATTTCTGAGTTGATTACACGTGGTAATACCTGAAAGTGCAAAATAAATTCTATTCGTGATATTATGAAATGAGTGTATTCATTTTACTAATAAATCCACAAATTGTCATCTTTGTCAAAGATATATATCGAAGAAATAATTTGATTTTTTGATTCGGTTCGAACAAACAATATTGTTATTGGATATTCCATTATTTATTTTTCAAAATCAAAATAGAGAAGAGAACTACAGTGGCGTACTTTGCAAAGCCAAGTTTAACTGCAAATACTTTATTCAAACTAATAAAATTTTAACCGACCGAAAATATTACACACTTTTATCTTACCGGGTTCAAAACTACAGTAGATGTAATTTAGTTGAGACGTTTCAATGGATCGTAAAATATAAAATCCCGATTTTGTAACTCCGTGATTTTCTGTCAAATCTTCACAACTATGTGCACCTGAAAAATGCGTTAGGGCCACTTATAATATTCCATCACAAACCAGCGGCAAACTGCCTTTGGGTTTTTAAATGATTGACTTGCCAATTTGCTTCATGATTTGATTCTTGATTTCTTCAACGTTTACGCTGTTACCAGGTTTTCCTTTCGGACCTTGTGAACCCTGAAATGAAAGAGATGTAAGTACGTTATGACCAAAATAATATTGCCACTCACGATATAGGCTTCGAGGTGAAAGAATTCGTTGCTCGAACCATTACCTTCGCACGTTAAATGGTTTTATGACGTCGTGTTTTCGTTCTATTTGACATATTTCTTTGTAAAGTTTTGATTGATTGATTGATTTGTCGTATATATATTCATTTTAAATGTAAAAATGACGAGACAAGATTTGTTTCAAGTTAATAACATGTATAAATCATAGTTAATGTCGTGGTATTGACCACACCAAATACTACGAAAACTAATTTTTTAATGAAAAGTATATAATTGATTTTCTTTCAATGATAATCATTTACTGACAAAGATGAATTTTTTTTAAAAAAAAAAAGTTTGTATTTCCAACATAAAAAATTGAAAAAAATATCACTTTTTTATGTCAAAGATTATTATCAGCTTTGGAAGTAACCTGTCAAATGCGGTAAACGATTTCGAACGGCGCTATAAACAAGTCATGAATTACAAACAATATGCCACAATTAACCCGTCATTTCCTCAAAAATATGGTGGATGTCGCGCCACCGTTCCTGAAGTACGAACAAAATATGGCGTTCATTATATTTGTTGTCTAGATCGGTTTTTTCCGTATAAAATAAAGTTGGTTAATTTTACGTTGTTTTTTGAAGCAGTGTTTTTTAGCCTTCGTCCGCGACCCATACCTTTAATGCAATTTTTTTTTGAAATTCTGCGAAAACAAAATACGAGTCCAGCTGAGTGTACTTTCTCCTATGATAATATCTGCCGAAGATTTTCATTTCGAACTCGGCCCTCAAATTTTGTCAGACTAAAAACCATGATTGGGATGAAATGTGAGGTTAATTGGTATACATTGGAGATTATTTTGTATTGCACGAGATACAAACCACGTACGCAATGCCCATAATTGCATTCTGCAAATCATTCCAACAAGATAACAACACAACGTTCTCCTCATTACCGTATTTCCTTTGGGCCCTCTAGGGCCAGTTGCTCCAGCTGGACCGCGTTTTCCTGGGGGGCCATAAAGTCTCGTACCGGTTTCACAATCAACGGTTGTTCCTTGTCCTGATGCGCAATTAACATTAACTACGCCACATGAACTTTTATCAGAAGGTATTTGAATATTCTTTTGCGATTGACAAATTACGCCGCTCCAAAATTTGAGAATCACAATCAATAAAATAAATTTATTATACGTCATATTATTTTGTCTGAAATATGCAATAAAGATATAGGGATACTATAAATCGATTTCGTAGAGTTGTCAACTAGTAGACACTTTTTGTAGCCATAGGCGTTTTTGTACTAAGGAACAGACTATAGCTCAACCCGCGTGAATAGCCGACAATGTGCTGCATAACATTGTAATATTAGCCACCAACAATTACTCGTTAAAATAGTCTCTTTTGAATCGCCATAAGTCAAGCCTTTACTGCAGTGGTTCTCAACCTGTGGTACGTGGGAGCTTTTCAAGTGGTACGATAGTAGCTTTGAATTAATGCAACAATTAACTTTTAAGTTGGTTAAAATATACCGGAAACGATGTCTCTCATCTTTTATTCGCTTAACAGCGTTTATAGAGCTACTGCATATATTTAATACGCTGAAACTTTGAACGAAGTGGATGTAGTGCCACATTATAAAATACTCCCATAGCGCGTTTCCAGATTCATTGTTCCCCGACCAAAAAGAACTTTGTTCGTCTTTGGTACGCGAACAGAAGTCAGTAGAAAGTTTAGAACCATTGTTTTACCTGAATTAGCCCAGTATGAATCGTTAGATTATACCTACTCGGCTATGCGACGCATTTCAGTCTTCCATCGAAATAATCGCGCATCCATGAATTAGCAAGACAGTGTAGTAGGACATTTTTAACAAATCGGATTTTTTCGAATTAGGTTTTTTACGGAGTCAGATCCATGCAAATCGATATTGATGACTCAGATGCTCATCTAAATTTCTTTAAGCTTTCCGACTTCGAAATTATTTGTATTCGATAATAATATAACCAATTTATACGGAATATTTGTAGCTACTCGGTGCTGACTGTTATTCGGTTCGACATACTCTGTTTCTATAATACCAGGCCAAAATATAGCCAGGCATTCAACTAGTTGCTGTTCTCGCAAGCCAGGGCTGGGTAGTGTTATTTTTCATTCTAATAAAAATAATGAGTAATCAATAACAATATTGTTTCAAGGCAAACAAATTTGAAAATCTTATTTTCACTTGTTCAGATTAAAAATTGTCTTCGGCTAACTGCCATTCTTTCAAAATAAAAAGTTTCCTCTCGCTTCCCCACTTATAATCACCCTATTCCCACTAACTCTAGAGCAAGGCTACTCAACTCTTTTCGTCGAAGATCCGCATACAAAACTTCAAAAATATTTGGGTCCGGTCTTTCTAGAAATTATATTTCGCATCCTTAAACACGCACTTCCTCGGCCGACTTAATTAGCTAATAATCATTATTGTTTATTATCGCGTTATAGTTCTTTCCATATATATTTAATAATGATTTTATAAAAGGAAACTTCAAAAGTGGGGCTAATGATCCAAAATAAAGAATTAGGCGCGGTCCGAATCGAATACCCGAAAGGTCCGGATTCGGACCGCGGTCCCCAGTTGAGTAGCCCTGCTCTAGAGTACAATACCAAAATGCACGATTTCATTACGTAAAAACAAAATTAAGGTTTAAGATGCCATGCAACATGTAGAAAATTGTCACACGATCGATAACTTCCGCGATGCAATCTTGAACCAACCGCCATCTCAAACTTTCCCATACTGTTAGTTCGCCAATCTTATGCCTTTGTCAATGAGAGTATTCGTATAGGCGTTTTCCCCATACATTACCAAGGATATTTCGTCGAGCATCGATTTCCTTGTTTAGTCATAGTCATGTTTATTCCCGGAACAATTCCCAATTAGCAGTTTAATCAATCGGTGTAAATAAAATGATCAGGAGCCTCGAAGACCTGCAAATGTGTTACATACTGACCTACACAATTCAAGGTTTGAATTGTTTACTGCAATGTATTTTTTTTAAATCTGTTTCATTGTCTATTTTAACATTGTTTTGTGAAAATAAATTTCTCTCACTCCAGCAATGAATCTACATTGGTAACCTGACAAATAACACGCAAAACGACGAAAACGAGCCAATGTTTACAACCATGCTTAGGTATCTGGCCGAGCGACTACACAAATTGCCCTTGTTATGCTAAGTTGACTCATTGTTGATTGGTCCAATGACATTAAACAACATGATAGGCAACTCTGACGTCACTCCATAAGACTACAGGCGAAAGATTGTATCTCATGATACGCTCCAATGCACATAGTTATCGTCGCCTTTCGCGACCGTTTTCCGTTCGCTCTTGCTACTCGGCGCCGCCTTCTTTACGTGTAGTACCTGCCTTTTTGCGCCTGTAACGAAAGAAAATAATCATTATATCTTTGCTCACTTGGAAAGCTGGAATGGCAGACAAGCACGTTTTTTTTTTATCAGAGAAGATTACAAACGCGATAGTGTAAAGATTTGTGTGGAACATTTTGCAGATAATAACAAAGTTCAAGATTACTAATTTTAATGTTTGCACTTAAACATTGAAATTTCATTTAAAGAGGGTGTCATAAAAACAGCAAAACTGTTTATACTTCTCTTAACGGTGCTTTGATACAATTCCATAACACAAAGTTTGCACCCATCGAACTTGCTTTAGTAGGTGAATGGACTTGTGTGAATGGAAACTACCTATATGTTTTGCCTTCCTCCGATTTTAGAAGACAAATTTAATCTGAGGTATTTCGCATATAGTTCTCATTGATTGTTGGCTGTTTATATTTTCTATTAATTGTGAATTCTGATTATAACGAAGAGTTAAAAAATTTTTTACGTAATTTACTGGCACCTTCTTCTTGTCAATACTCCAAGCTGAGGTAATAAACAAGACAATACATTTATGTCACCTGGAAGCAAAATATGCACACTAATTAAAAGTTTGACACATTAAGATAATACATCGCGACAGCAAATACAAGTTACAATACAAGTCATACAATATGCCGCATCGCATTTTGGAAATTGTAAAAAGGGCCGCAAACAGTTTTTGATAATGTATACTTAAAAGATATTTTTAAGATAGTTTTAGTTTGTGACAAATATTGTGATGCAATTAAACAGTTGGATTAGGTTTTATTTATTTCTTTAATTTCAAATGTAATTACATATTAATATTTGCATTCCACTATTATTGCAAGTTACTGTATTTATTACAAAAAATCATAAAATTTTATGTACAACCATCAAAATCATTTTTGAACAAGCTTTGGATAAGGAAAGATTAATACATACACTAAAAATGACTTAATCTAAATATATGGGCCTAAAATTAACAAAAATACTACAGTATAAACTCAATGTTTACTCAATTACATTTGTCCTGACGTTTGGCATCTTTTTTGTGTCACCAGCATACTAAGGCCAGGCTGAAATGATTTTATAGTACCAACTCTAACTAACGAGGTCACATGATCATGGTTAATCTGGATCTTTAAGAATGTTTAATTAATTCCAGTAATGCAAAAAAGTGTATAGATCAGTAAATAAACAAATGACGGATTTTTCGCGCCACATTGCGTGGCATAGGATTGCTTGAATTATTATTGATATTGATTTTTAGTAACTAAGTCGTTGTATAATTATATCAATATACAAACACATAGAAATTTTCTGTTCGAAGTTGGTCTTTGAATTTGTCATATTGACTGCTGAGCTTATTGTGTTTTTTCATTGTACTGATGGAAATATGACAAATTAAACAATGTGCTTCAAAATTTTAGAAATGCAGAAATATTGCAACTCCCATTTTTCTTCGAAAATGCCACCTTCTTCATGTACTTTGCGTTTAATTTATTCACTCAAGTGTTTTATTCAAGTATTCTTTTGCTAGCTTGATGTGTATTCTTAATTGGGTCAAAATGTGAACAAAAAAAATTAATTTTCCAAAACTACTTTCAGTAAATTGTTTCCTGCGTGAATAATCAATTTCACTTTGAAAAATTCAATAAATAGTCTTGCTGCACACTAACACAAATATATTTCTGTAACGTTTCGTCTGACCACGGTCAAACTTCCTCAGACATACATATTTCAACTAAAGCAAGAACAGCAATTGCAAGCATATTTATACAATGGGTGCCATGGCAACAAAACAATATCATAACAATGTGAGTTAACGAACTCATGTAGGTGGTGATTGAAAATTTAATTAACAACACTAAGTTTAAATATTTAAAATTAAAAAACACATGAAAGTTTCATGCACATTCATAAAATGGGTGTCATGGCAACATAACAAATCACAACAATGGGATTTGAAAGATAAATAAATTGGTGATTGTATTTTAATTACCTGCACTAAAAAAATACATGGGGGAAAATAAAAAGTAAATAAAAAAAAAATATAATAATACAAAATTCGGTAAAATTACGAAAATATACGGTGTATAAAATGTTCCTAAATGCCCTAAACTTCTTTAATGTTCATTCCCAATGGTTCATGCGTTCCAAGTAGGTGAATGAAATATGATTCTTTAGTTTTTCGGTAAATATGGTCTTGAAACAGTTTTTCAATTCCAATTACATTAAAGTCTTTCAGTGAATGTCCAGGTTGGTTGAAGTGAGCACCGACGACCAGGTCTCTGTTTTTTGATTTTATACTTCTAATGTGTTCTGAAATACGATATTTCAGATGCCTCCCTGTTTCGCCAATGTACTGCATGCCACATTTTTTACAGCTTATCAAGTAGACGACGTTTTCCGTATTGCACGTTATTTTTTGAGTAATTTTTAGTTGAATAGTTTTTTGTTTGTTTGTCGCTACTTTCGTTTCATCAGAATGTTGGCAGGTACTGCATGACTGTCTTCCACATTTAAAAAAACCTGGATTGTTGCTGACAGGTGATTTTGGCTTTAATTTGGCTCTGACTAGCCTATCTCTGAGTGTGGGACATTTTCGGTGAGCTAATTTGGGTGGATTTGGAAAAATTTCTTTCAATCTCTCGTTATTGTTTAAAATGTATTGGTAGTCGGAAAAGATTTTTCGAACATTTGGTAAGGTTGGATGATAGGTTGTAATAAAAGGGAGCAAAGTTTCATTTTTACTTTCCGTGTTGGGAGTTAAAAGAAGTTGTCTATCTAAT